ATTTAAGATCATTAATTTTTTTTTATATTTGATAGTAAAAAAAAATTTCTTTTAAAAAGTTTATTGAATAATAAATCATATAGATTTGATTGTATACGAAAAAAAAAGACCGTTATCTTTTTTCTTTTTTTTTATAATACTATAAAAATAATTGCCTAGCAAGTGTCCAAGTATATTTATAATTAAGTAATCGATTATTCTGATTTCAATTATATGAATAATTCTGTTCGATATTCTTGAAAATAGATTTAATTATAAAAGAACTAACTGTATCAAAAATGATAATTGGATTTATCGTTATTACATTAATATTCTAGAAGAAGAAGAAGAAAAAAAGAAGTCTGTTAGTTTTTTTTTCTGTTCTGCTTATCAATCATTGTGTATTAACGATGATGAAATCGAACTGATGATTAATCCCTAGTATGAAACTAAATAAGGTAGTAATATCAAAGGAAATGATGCATAGAATCAGATTAAATAAGAAAATTATAAGAATATCTCTTCTCTTATTACATACATATTCACTGTTAAATATTTTGTATTGAAATTATTTTTAATTTTAATATGATAATAATATTTCATTAGGTATATCTGATAAAAAAAAGTCTCTTAAATCTGAGCTCAATCATATACATAACTAAACTAATATTCGTTTTTTTTATTATGTCTTATATAATTTTGATTAATGAACATTTATGAGTATTATGATCGAAATTTGAGTTCATTTGCAAGTGACCAAGAAAGAAATTACGTGACAACATGATTTTATTTATTTTTTTTATAATACACCTCCCCTAATCCCTTCCTCATCATCACTATTATTATTACCACCTTTCGTTTTTTCTCTCTTCTTCTTCTGTCCTTTTTGTTAAGTAATCTGTTCTCCTTCATTATGTACATCTATACCTATCTCTATAATGGTCGTCACTGATTACTTTTTATTTGAGATTATTGTATGAAGTAGTGATGGCGTATCATCATACACTTACTAATTCCTTTTTTACAAGGCAACATGACAATGATGATGATGATCATGTATTAGTTTCTCTTCTTTCATTCGTTTTCGCTCATTGCTCAATCCAATATATATGACATTGTATAAAAACTAAATACTGCTACACTTCATTTTTATGTAATCGATCATATTCCTATTAAACCATAAGATATCTGATCAACATCAATTTTTGTTGTACTCTTTATTTTAAGAATGGTAAGCGATCTCAGAATAGATATTAACATTATTTTCTAAGAATTATATATTGTACTATATGATGTTTTTCTTTTATTGAAAAAAAAGAAGAATTTATCATGAATAATTTATGTTGTATAGAATTAACATGTAACATCTAAAGAGTTGAAGATGAAGGCCATTTATGTACAACATATTGTTAGTTTTACTTTCGATTGATTATTTTAATCTACTTTCAAATAGTTTTGATATCTGATTTTCTCTTTTTGTTATCATGAACTAGAGGTGAAATGATAATACACTTTTTTTTTAAATCCTCCGTCCCTCAAATTGTCCTTTATAAAATTAAAATTACAATAAAAAGAAGACAAACAATAGCGAATTGATCAAGGTTTTGTCTTTCTCATGCTGAATGTTTATGCGTACACAAGAAGAAGAAGAAAAAAAACGAACGAAGAAATAAGAACAAGGAAGAGATATACACCTTCAACTTTGAAACAAACAGTATAAGGATATAGACTAACGAGTAAATATCAATCTGCTGCAAACATATATACGTAATCAGAGGATATAAAATAAAGAGAATAAACGTCAATTTAATAAATTTCCCCTCGCTCTCTCTATCTGTGAGGACATTTTATATTTTCGAAATATGGTAAGTGAAAAAAAAGAGACTTTGTTCCCATCAATTAATTTGTTATGTAAAACAATTCTTTTATTAGATTTTTGGTTCATTATTATTGTTGAGTATTTATATTATTTCATGTACAATTGCTAATCCGACTAATTCTACAAATGATCATTGGAAAAGATCAGGTTTATAGCCAATTATATAAAAATCATGAAGATATATGTTTGGTATATTTTAGTTATTCAATCATCATTATTAGGTCGATCAGCAATTTCAATTGTTGAAGAAGATAAACGATGTTTTGCATGTCCAAAAATTCCAGATACAGGCATTAATGGTCGATGTATTGTGCCTTGTCATTATAATCAACGATGTTATTTAAAAGCTTTGCATGCTAATGCAACACGTGAATATAGAGGAGAAATTTTCAAGAAAATAAAATTTACTATTCTTTTTTTTTTAACAATTTTTTTAAAGTCACTGATCGTCGTTGTACTGATGAACAATGGGTACGAGATTTACTTGTTGATGGTTGTCTTACATACAATGGTCAATATTGGTGTATGTGCTCAACTGATTTATGTAATTCCGGTGATTTTACATCTATTCGTGGTATGTAAAATAGAAAAGAAGATATTTTTAAATTTTTGTATCTAAATTTAGGATATGATGATTGTTCAAACGATCCATGTCCATCGAGTACAATCTGTCTTGATACAAAAGATGGATTTAGTTGTATATGTCCACCATGGCAAGATGATTGTACTTATGGTAAGCAAATTATTGGAGTATACTAGACATTATGTTTAAATAAAATTCCTTTTTTTTTTCTAGCTTCGAATGTTGGTTGTTCTTGTAAAAATGGTGGTCGATGTTTGATGGGTCTTGGAACATATGTTTGTGAATGTCCATATGGTTATAATGGTTTGAGTTGTGAAACAAGTACGTTTATATGGAATAGAAATTTGTCTATATAAATTTATTCTATATTATAGGAGATATTTGTATTCCAAATCCATGCATGAACGGTGGTACATGTCAATCACAAGGCTTACTTAGTTTTACATGCCAATGTCGACCTGGATTTCAAGGACTTACTTGTCAGATATGTAACTATTTAAATCCTATAATGATTATTCAATATTGAATATTGACAAATCCTTTTTCATATTAGGTGATGCTTGTATACCGAATCCCTGTCAAAATGGAGGATCATGTATATTTGATGAACCAACTGGATCTTTTCTTTGTACTTGTCCACCTGGATTTACAGGTCGTACATGTGACATTGGTAAGCTAATCAATATCATTATTGAAAATATAATTTCTATTAATAATTATAGGTAGTTCAGTAACTATTCCTCCTCGTGATATATGTTCACCGAATCCATGCCGTAATGGTGGAAACTGTCAAACAAATAATGCAGGAGGTTTTACATGTCTGTGCCCTGCAGGTTTTCAAGGCATCTGTTGTGAGATACGTGAGTGATAATAAAAAAATAAAAAAGAGGTTTGTTTTATTAAATATTTATAAAATAGGTGTGGATCCTTGTACACCAAATCCATGTCAAAATAATGGTATTTGTATAGCTAGTGGAACTTCTGTTATTTGTTCATGTCTAAGTGGATTTACGGGTCAACGATGTGAAACACGTATGTATTTATATGAAATATTGAAATTCATAGTTTCATATGGACGATATATTAGGTGATCCTTGTGCACAAAATCCTTGTTTAAATGGTGGCCAGTGTATATCAACTAATTTTGGTGGATTCACATGTACTTGTCCAAATCCATACACAGGACCACGATGTGAAGATCGTAAGTTAACAAAAAAACAAAATCACATCTATGATTGACAAACATTTTTATTTAGGAATTGATCCATGTACTAGTCAACCATGTCGAAATGGTGCTACTTGCCAATCTCTAAATGGTAACTCATATCAATGTGTTTGCTCACCAGGATATTCAGGTCCTGATTGTTCAATACGTAAGTTTTTCTTGTTTTAATTGACTAAAACAAAATTATACATATACATATAAACATATAGGTGATATATGCGCTGATAATCCTTGTTTGAATGGTGGCACTTGTATTTCGAATAATGTTGGTGGATTTGCTTGTCAATGTCCACCAGGATATAGTGGTCAACGATGCGAAGATCGTAAGAGAATAATATATTCATATGTTGCATGTTTTATTTTATTTGCTTATATCAGGTGATCCTTGTGCTTCACAACCTTGCATGAATCAAGGTAGTTGCATGCCACAAAATGGTGGATTTCGTTGTGTATGTCCACCAGGATATACAGGAACTCGATGTGAAATTCGTGATGCATGTCAAAGTAATCCTTGCATGAACGGAGGAACTTGTCAACCTATCAATGGTAATGTTGGTGGTTATCAATGCATATGTCCATCAGGATTTAGTGGTCCACGATGCGAAACAAGTAAATTTATCTATTCACAGTTAGATTTTCGTCTTCATATACTATGTATTTCAGTGGAGTTTACACATGAGCTGAAAGAAATTGTTTATTTTCTATAGTTTAATCAGTTTACTTATATTTTTTTAAGGAGATGCATGTACTCCGAATCCTTGTTTGAATGGTGGTACTTGTATTTCGAATAATGTTGGTGGATTTGCTTGTCAATGTCCACCAGGATATAGTGGTCAACGATGCGAAGATCGTAAGAGAACAGTATATTTATATGTTGCATGTTTTATTTTATTTTATTTTGCTTCTATCAGGTGATCCTTGTTTTTCGCAACCTTGCATGAATCAAGGTACATGCATGCCACAGAATGGTGGATTTCGTTGTGTATGTCCACCAGGATTTACTGGAACTCGATGTGAAATTCGTGATGCATGTCAAAGTAATCCTTGCATGAATGGAGGTACATGCCAACCTATCAATGGTAATGTTGGTTATCAATGTATATGTCCATCAGGATTTAGTGGTCCACGATGCGAGACAAGTACGTTGAACCATTCGAGTATAATTGCTTCACTTCCGATGTTGCATTTTTCTTGATAATACTATATGCTGAAATAGATTTATTTTATTATTAAAACTTAAACCAATTCATTTATTTTTATTAGGAGATGTTTGCACACCAAATCCTTGTTTGAATGGTGGTACTTGTATCTCGAATAATGTTGGAGGATTTACTTGTCGATGTCCACCAGGATATAGTGGTCAACGATGTGAAGACCGTAAGAAAATAATATATTTATATGTTGCATGTTTTATTTTATTTTGCTTCTATCAGGTGATCTTTGTGCTTCACAACCTTGCATGAATCAAGGTAGTTGCATGCCACAAAATGGTGGATTTCGATGTGTATGTCCACCAGGATTTACTGGAACGCGTTGTGAAATTCGTGATGCATGTCAAAGTAACCCTTGCATGAATGGAGGTACATGCCAACCTATCAATAGTAATGTTGGTGGTTATCAATGTATATGTCCATCAGGATTTAGTGGGCCACGATGTGAAAATAGTATGAATAATGCATGTTTCTGTGCATTTATAAATTGATGAACATTTACTATATATATAGATGATATAATTTTTGTTTTCAATAGGAGATCCATGCGCTCAAAATCCATGTTTAAATGGTGGTCAATGTGTTGCGAATGGATTGGGAGGTTTTACATGTGTCTGTGTTCCACCATACAGTGGTGAACGTTGTCAAGATTGTGAGTAAAAAAATAAAAAAAAAGTAAAAGAAAGGTTCTACAAGTTACTTTTGTTTCAGCTAATCCTTGTGCTAATAATCCTTGTGGGAATAATGGACAATGTATTCAAAGTAACGGTGGATTTTATTGTGAATGTAATCTTGGTTATTTTGGAAATCGATGTGAACGTAAGTTAGATATATTTTACTAATGATAAATAGAATGAAAATGGATTCTATTAGGTCGTGTTTGCGTACCTAATCCTTGTACAAATGGTGGTACATGTGAACCTCGTCCTAATGGTGTTTTTCATTGCATTTGTCCTCCAGAGTTTCAAGGTCAACGCTGTGAATTTCGTAAGTATCCTTTTAGAGAGAGAGAAAACAGAACAAATAGATAATGTTGTAATTATCTAATATTATTTGATTTATATTTAGGCAAAGTTTGTGAACCAAGCCCATGTGTTAATGGAGGAACCTGTAGCCCATACGGTCTTGATACTTATTCTTGCAATTGTCCATTCGGTTATACAGGTCGAAATTGCGAAACTCGTAAGTTATGCAAAACAGTAATATAAATATATAATATTAAAAAATTTTCTTAGGTAATCCATGTATTCCAAATCCATGTAAAAACGATGGTCGTTGTCAACCAAATATTGCCACAGGTACTTACGTATGCAATTGTCCTGCAAATACCGCTGGTGCTAATTGTGAAATAAGTAAGTTATCTATACGAATAAGTTTAATACTTGAAAAACTAACTTTATATGAAAATCTTAAACAGGAGATGCTTGTAGTCCGAATCCATGTCAAAATGGTGGCACTTGTCGTACAGTCAATGGAAATGGTTATCAATGTGTTTGTGCAGCTGGTACAACTGGAACGAATTGCGAAACTCGTGAGTATATTTTAGATATAATTAATTTTACTGTGTTAATATAAATTTATTATAGGTGATCCTTGTGCACAAAATCCTTGTTTAAATGGTGGACAATGTGTATCAAATAATATGGGTGGATTCACATGTACTTGTCCAAATCCATTCACTGGTTTACGATGTGAAGATCGTAAGTTAAAAACCAACGAGATCACAGCTATTATTGACAAATATCTTTATTTAGGAATTGATCCATGTGCTAATCAACCATGTCGAAATGGTGCTACATGCCAATCTCTAAATGGTAATTCATATCAATGTGTTTGTCCACCAGGATATTCAGGTGCTGATTGTTCAATACGTAAGTTTTTCTACTTGTAATTGAATAAAACAAAACTATATATATATATATGAATATGTAGGTGATCCATGCGCTAATAACCCATGTTTGAACGGTGGCGCTTGTATGTCGAATAATGGTGGAGGATTCATTTGTCAATGTCCACCAGGATATAGTGGTCAACGATGTGAAATTCGTGATGCATGTCAAAGTAATCCTTGCATGAATGGAGGAACTTGTCAACCTATCAATGGTAATGTTGGTTATCAATGTATATGTCCATCAGGATTTAACGGACCTCGATGTGAAACAAGTATGACATTTTAGAAATAAAACTAGGAATTGAGAAATTTGTGATGTAAATTTTAAAAAATATTGTATTACTTTAGGAGATGCATGTACACCAAATCCTTGTTTAAATGGTGGTACATGTGTATCGAATAATTTTGGAGGATTTACTTGTCAATGTCCTCCTGGATTCAGTGGTCCACGTTGTGAAGATCAAGATGGCTGTGCTAGTCAACCATGTAAAAATAGTGGTGTATGTGTTAGTACAAATAGTGGTGGATATACATGTCAATGTGCTACCGGCTTCGAAGGACCAAATTGTGAACAAGGTATCTGATTATCAAAATTTTCAATTGATATTAACTGCCACTTTTGTTTTTTTCTTTATTTTAGTCGATATTTGTGGTGTAAAAAACCCATGTATCTGCGGTACATGTCAAAACGATCAATCCAGTGCTCAAGGTTTTCGTTGTTTCTGTCCACCTGGTTATTCAGGAAATCGATGTGAAAAATGTAATTTTTTTGAAATAATAGTAAATTTTTATTCTTTATATATTTTTTCTTCTCTTTCTAATAGTACTCAGCTGTTTGGATAGTGGAGAAGAATGTATAAATGGTGGTGAATGTATACAACGTCCACTTGGCGATCATGTTTGTTCATGTCCTTATCCATATTGTGGTCTTCGTTGTCAATATCAACGACCTGCATGTGATGGTATTTATTATTAACAAAATAAATAAAAAAATGACATATATATTTATTTATTTTTGATATTTTAGGAACGTCAGTTGGCGTAACATCAATTGCAGCAACAACATTAAGTCCAGCATGTTCTTCCAGTCTTTGTAATAATCGTGGTATATGTCAACAAATTGCATATGGAACAGGTATACAATGCTATTGTGCAAGAGGATGGTCGGGCTCACGATGTCAATACGGTAAATTGTAATATTTGAAACTTTCTCTAGTAAATATTTTTTCCTTTTAGCTGTACGTACAAATAATAATAATCGTAGCCAAAATCTAATTCAAAGCAATCGAACAACAACAGCAACAACAACAACAACAACAACAATAAAAGCGAGTACAAATGAAACTGTTCTTCGACAACGATCATAATTCAAAACACGAATATACATACATATACATATATACCTATTAATTCAAAATGTTATTATTTCAATTAGCTTCTTTATTTGCAGATATATTTCTTTCGTTTTTCTTCCTTCCCTCTGAACAGTATACGTCAATTATCTATTAATATTTCTTTTTTGTTTTGTTTTTCCGCTCAGTTTAAAATAAATTGATAATTGAAAAAAAGAAACCAGAAAAAAGTTATTTATTTAAAATGATCGATAAATATTATAATATCGGTTTTAAAAGAAAATCGTATGGAAAATAATTATAAAAAATATCGTAAAAATTTGATAAATTGATATAATAATCGATGAAGCCATATTGTTTTCACCGAACCTAAACAAATTTTATTACAATTAACAGTTAAAAACCTATTTTGTGATCTATCTAATGCTCGAGATGTTCGACTTAATTGATATGAATAGTTGTGTTCCTTTTTTAGTTCCAAAACTCAAAAATTCTTGAAATAGAAAAGACATTATATATGTTCTACATATTTCTATTTAGTTCTATTCTATAAATTGCTGACTATATTCACTCTCATACATAATGATATAATTTAATACTCTCCTTATAACTAAGGAAGTTAAGATAGAATTACACAAAATCCAATGTTAGTTGATCGTAATTCAATTGATGTTGGCTAGCAATTATGTTTTTAAAATGCTATGAAATTAATATAAAAACGATATTTATATATTTTAATTATACAGCTAATTTGACTCAAATTCTGCAGGGTTCAAACTGTATATCGAATGTGAATAATTCTTTTTTCTCTTTTAACGTTTCATTGACTTTAGTGAAAATCGAATCTACTTCCATTTGAGCAATATTCTCCTATACTTACTTGACATTTTGAGACGTATCGCCGATGAAATTACCAAAAACCCCACCTATGCCACCGCTTTTTACATATGTACTCTTGTATGTAGAACTAGGATTCAGGTGTGCTGTGTCGATATTTTGAGGTATATTATTGAATGAACCAGCAAACACCGTATATGTGACGGCGCCATTTAGATTTGTGTTCTTGGATGTAGAAGTAGGATTCGAGTGTGCTTCGTCGCTATATTCAGACGTATCGCTGGATGTATCATCAATAACTTTAGATGTGTCGCCGCTATTTAGATGTGTATCCTTGAATGAAAAAGAAGTTCTTTTTAATATAATAGATCATAAATATTACTAGAGATCTTTTTTGAATTGATTTTGTTTCGGGTAGGGATACAATTTTAGTTAGAGCTTGTTCTAGACCTTTGAAATCTTCAATTACTATATCAATAAATGGATTACTGATCGAGTTCTGATATTTATAATAATTGTTGGAACCATTTTGTGCTATAGCTATACGTGCAAGTTCTTCACAATGAATAAGTTTATCTATATCAAATAATAATTCTAATACATGTTGATCAGGACAATATTGATTGACAACTATTCCCATTGATTTTATTATTGTTGCTTCGCTCAATTTTAATGTAATAGCTTCTTGAAAAATTTTAACAATATTTTCTGCTTGATTGTAACTTTTTTTAAGAAAGCTAGTTTATCAAAACTAGAAAATATATTAATTCAAATGTCTATATTACCTTTGACGTTTTTTTATAACTTCACTAAGTTCATTATAAGCTACTTGACAATCTCCACTATAAACAACACCAGCTTCTAAACTCGATTTACTCTGTTTGAGAAGACTATAATAGAATGAACTAGTCAATTGTTTAATTAAAAAAAATAGCAACAAACCATGCACGTAATAATTTATCCATCTTCACAAAATCGGTACTATAATACAACAGATATTGATCAAATAGTTCATCTGTTTCCATTCTTCCGCAACAAACTCGATAAGTATGTGCACGTTTTCCATAATATAAAACCATTGGATGGGAATTAAGAATCTTATATTTTCCTATTTTATTTTTAATTGAAGTCATACTGAGTTCAATTTCTTCTTTTGATATTACTGGATCAACTCGAATAATTGACATCTTCAGTGTGTTTATATGAGACTAAAATACATTCTATAAGTATTACTATACATATTATTTTCAAAAAAATCGATTTTTAAAGGTTTTTATAAAACTCAATGGATTAGTTTATATCTGATTTAATAAATTCAATAAAAGAAAAAATGTGTACTTATACCCGCATATTAGAATATAAATTCTGCATCATTAACTTGAATGGTCTACTTATTTCTTCATGAAATTTATAATACTTTTCGAAATTTATAGGCTTTTCGGATAATAATTTTTTACGATAATCTCTTTCACATTTATCAAGTGCAAATGGTTTCCATAATATAAAAAATGCTGAGTGACATGTATTATATGTTGTCCAATAATAATTAGTAACAATATTGCTTGGATAAATTTTGTGTTCGATCTGATAATTGATCTTTCTCAATAATGATGCATTTTTATATTTCCTAAAAATGTAATTAATTATCGAGTAGGAATATGTCCAAAGTAGTAATCATATACTAACTCAGTTTTTTTATTACGAGCTTTATTTGAATAATCTCTATCAACTTCACATGCTGTATCATCAAGTCCAGTTAATTCTTTAGCACAACTATCAATTATTTTCTCTTGCTCGTCTGGTATGCCATAGTTCTCGATATATGCTGTTATCAGTGTTTCATTCTGTTTTTCCGCTGTTTGACAACAAGTTTCAAAAGCCATGTCACGGAAATGGAATTCATCAGTAATTTCATCATGACCTGATTTCATCCAATCAAATATCAATGCGTCTATCAGCTTCAGATCAGATGCATATGCATGTTCGATCCACTTGTTAATATCTGTAAATTCTAAAAACGAATAAAATAAATAAATGAATAAAGTTTCTCGTCATTACTAATTAATATTATCACTAAACTTAAAATCAAGTATGAAAATTCTATTATTAGCTGCAACAATATTGTTTACATGGAGTGAGCTTTAACATATGAATATTTCAAGATAGAATTTAAACTGCTATTATTTGTCAAACATTCGATCTAGATCTGTTATTGAATAAACAGTTAGAATCCTACTAGGAGCCATTTTTCTGTTTGATTTATACAGTAAAACTCTTGTTGACCATAAAAGCACATTATTCATATTTCTGCGTATTAGCAAGCAACTGATGCTCCTAAAACTCATTTGATTGACTACGTGAATGGTTTCATTAAGACGATTAGTTTTATATAAATGTATACATAGATATGGCCGGAATTTCATATAGTTTTAACATTATCAGTTAAGTCAAATACTGAATATCCGGTTTTTAGAATATCGAAAATATTGAGATGTCTCACAACAAAAATAAGTTGTTTATAGAATTATTCTATTGAAATAAAGACTTTTCTTTTATAACATTAAGAATAATGATCAAATAATATGTTGTGCTACTTGTTAAGTGTCTAATTACCTGAATCATTGCATGTCACTTTCAAATGCAGCTTTAGTTTTTCATCAGATAAATCATGAATGTTAGATAAGTCTACGTCAAAGAAAAATATGAAATCAAAATGATATAAATGACTAACAACAAGACTAATAATTACCTGTGTCATTAGATGTTGACTCTTGATTAACTAACTGATGCATATCAACTAAAGTCTCATCTAAAAACAAAAACATTGAGTATATATAATAGCAGTTAATTCCAATGACGGTTACTTGAATCAGGAGACTTCGTTTCTGTATCAGATTCGAGTTGTTTAACAGTTGAGTAAGGAATGTCAGTTGTAGTTTGACCTGAGAATAATATATAATGAAAAATATTTCAATAATAAATAAATCAACTGATGATTATCTGATTGATTATGAAAGGAATTATATGCATCAACACATATTTCGTGTATGAAATATACAAAATATCTAAAAGCATCTGCTAGGCATTGGCATGACTAGGTTTCTACGTTGGTGTCAAAAATTTGTTTTTCATTCATAGTGTGCTTTTTTCGTATTATGTAATTTTGATGACAGGTGCTTAAGGTATCAATCGTAATTATATATACTGGAAAATATATCATAGAAAAACAGAGAAAAAGGCTTTTAATACCAAATAACAGCGGATTTCTACATCACATCAACCATCAAATCACTCCAGTTAAATGTTTGTTAGATTCATTAATATAGAATTTTGAATAGATAAGTACAGTTTCTAATATTGTAAAAATTCGATCGTGTATATTCATAAATTACCGGAAGAATAATTCACGAGTTTAAATACAGACTGAAAGGATTAAAATTATATTATGACAATATTTCATTTTCGATAAGAGTAAAAGAATTCAAGCTGAAAACTCTATCTTAGTTAGGAAATAATGAAATCGATTGTTAAAGATCATGATAATATCTATTATATTTTTATCCTCATCCCGCTACGAACTCTTTTGAAAGTAACGGAAACAAGGTCTCAAAAGTATTCTCAAAAACCTCTTCTTCATTTTCATATAATTAGAAAATACTATGAACTGATACGAACAGAGTCAAGTTATAAGATTGAATAGACTCTAAGTTTTAGTTACTAATTTAATATACCTAATGATTCATGTGTTTCATTATTGTTTGTCAAGGCAATAGTAGTTGATTGTAATGTACTCAGGACAAGAGTTTCATTGTTATTACGGGATTCAGTTGATTGTAATGTTGTCAGGACAAGAGTTTCGTTGTTATTATGGGACTCAGTTGATTTTAATGTGCTCAGGATAAGAGTTTCATGGTTATTATGGGATTCAGTTGATTTTAATGTGTTCAGGACAAGAGTTTCATTGTTATCACGGGATTCAGTTGATGCAGTATAATTCGTGTTATATTCAGTATCGAATGAAGCAATGAGTGTTTCTGAACCTTTAACAAACGTCATATACAATAATTATTAATATAAAATTTTTTATTATTTGATTTAAGTCTACTGAACTTCTTTCTACTATAGAAAATCTTCAAACATGAAAAGATTGTCCCTTGTTGATTTTTAGAACACTTTTTGAAGATATAATTTTCATAAGTTTCGTGTTTTTTTTCAATAACTGTAGTTATTGATACATTAGAATAGATTCTAAATTCAGAAAAGTAACAAGATGTTTTAGAAAACTTTCTGTTCGATATATCATTATGATTAGACACAATTGATACAGTAAAATGACTAAGCAGCTGCTATTTTCATTGGCAAAGACTGATTCAATTCAATTTTTATACAATGTATTCTGCTTTATTTTTCTAATGAAAGATAAGTTATTCTTTTCAGTATGAAAAGTAAAACATGATAGATCACAAACAAAGATATTTATCTTGATGCTTAATTATTGAAATTATTATTATTATTACCAGTACTAGACGATATCGAATGACATACATCCAAGACAATAAAGAATATAAGAAAATTCATTAACATTATTACCAAAGTTGATAAATGTGACACAGAAATAAAAATAATATTTATAGTAATAGAATATGATTGATAATTGGAGAGAATATAAAATGATTGAAATAATTTAAACAAAATTATTGAAAACAATCTTAGTAACAAATAAGGCGCTTCATATATGTGTATTCTATTTTTATGCACAAATAGTTTTCTTTATTTTTTAAAGAATAACTAAGGATAAAGACAAACATGATTTGTATATGTAAAGATCTTTAAAACATCTTTCTTTTTAAAAATATAATATCCTGAAATTCTTGTGTTTTTGTTTGTATTATCACTTATAGGTTGAAGATGATTGTATAAGATCGAAAATTTCTTTATTTATATTGAGATATTGAAAATAACTACATCAAACTTCTTCTTTTTTCGAAGCATAATGAATTGTATATTATACATGAACATTTAAATTGAAAATATTATAATTTCCATATAGTAGTCAACATGCATGATACTTTAAAGAATGCAGATAATGACTGTTTCTAATGATGAACTAGTACTCATTTTTGATTAGTCTTCTATTCTCATGATTAATAATTGTCAATTTTCGATAAATTCAGCGTTAGTAGTCATTTCTAATAAAGCATAGAATGTGGCGCCCAATAGCAATTGAGCGTCTATGGAATAATGATCAGTCGTATCTATTTCTTTCTTATTTGATATTTTTTCCTTCCTATGGGAATTTTATGAGTATCAGTTATTATTTGAAAAAAATTGCTAGTCAAAAATAGACAAAATCTATTATATATTATGTTTATAGAATAAGTAGAAGCAAATGTTTGGTTTTCTTCACGACAAATTGACGAAATAATATATATTTTGTATTCTAGATTTTGCAGAAAAAACAACAAAACATCATGTCAGATGAAGAAGGTATGATTGAAGATGGTGAAGAAGAAGAGGAAGACGAAGACGAAAGAGGCGAACATGAAGAAGAATATATTCATCAATCGACTGAACCGATAATCGATGTTTTACAAATTGACAATGAATTATCATCAACGAAATATCGTTTTAAAAAAAATGAGATTATGCTTTGTTATCATGGTTTATTATTATATGAAGTTAAATGTGTTGATCATAAAATGAAAGAAAATGATAGTGGAAATTTTCATCGTCCATCCTATTTAGTACATTATTGTGGATGGAGTTCAAAATGGGATGAATGGGTTGATGAAACACGTCTTGTTAAAATGGATGATGCTGGTTTAAAAAAACAAGCACAATTACTTGTTCAACATGGTAAAGGCAAAGCTCGATTGAAAAATTTACGAAAAAATAATAGTACAAGTCCATTAAAACGAACAACAAGTCGATCAATATCAGATCATTCAACAAATACAAATATCGATTCAATCACAAATGAAACAACAACAAATCATAACAACAACATTAATATTAATAATAATGTTAATAACAATAATAATAATATTAGTCATTTTCCATTAGAAGAAACACCATCATTATCTGGACGAAGTGATACGGGAAGTAGTAGTAGTAGTAGCAGTAGTACAACCAGTGAATTTACATCAAACGCAGATTTAACTACTACAACTAATGATTTAATCGAATCTGATGCAAAGAGATTTAAACGAAGTATAAATACAACCGGAAAAATAACAACGAAAGATAAAAGTAAGAAGTTTATATAGTATTATTAACCCTCCGGTGGTGTTTGGGGATCCAAGAGGCCCACAGTAGTGTCTTTTTGTTTTTTTCTACTTTAAGATCTATGCAATTCGAAGCGATCTTTTCGCTAATCGTTAGTTTTCTAATGATACATAAGAACCATATGAAATTTCTTACAAAACTATCAGCAGTCAAAAACTAGAGTGTAGGTCCGTTTGGACCCCCTGACAACATTCGTGTTATATAGATGATTTTAATTCGTATTACGTATGCCCTCTCTTGTTTCAAAGGTCTATCTATTGAAGATTGATTAGTTTGTTGCTGCCAGTAAGGGATAATGTGTTTCTCCATCTTTATTTATCTATCGAAATATTTCCACCATTCTCTTAACTTTTACTCACAATAATTGTAAACCTTTTTTTTTCTTGAAAAATCAGCATCTTACGTATACTACAAGCGTATCAATGCATCAGTGACTGAAAAGAGATCATGATATAGACCTTGATCTATCTTATATAGTACAATACAGATGAATTTTCATGTTTTCCTTATGTATTTACGTGTGGATCCACATACATCGTTCGTGTGACTAAGCGAGAACACCTCCGGAGGGTTAAATAGTAAAATTTCGTTTTTAATCTTTGCTCTAAACTCCTAAAAATCTTTAGCAAAAAAATTTAATTGAAATATTTTCTATTACTCAAGGTTATACATAAAATGATTGCTTGACATTTGACAGTTTGCTTCAAAACATTTCACTCATCATATCCTTATCGAAAATCAATCAAATAAAGTGCGAGATAATATTTGTTATTGAACTTGTCGTCAGTCAAAAATTTTGAGAATCAGTCTATTATTAATTTAATGAAGTTTATTATATTAATAGTAACATATAATTTATATTTAGAAATTGATTCAACATCGATTATTATTAATGATTTATCACCTTCAATCTTAGCTCAACATGAAACATGTCAACGTATAACGCGTCGTTTTTATTCTTATCAAATGGAATGGTTACAATTTCCATCTGAACTTGTCGAATTTTTAATAAATGATCGTGATCTAGTTAATAATCAAAATTATCTTCTTTCAATTCCACCAGCAGATTCATCATTAATTATACGTAATATATTTAATAATTATTTAGAACAACAAATCAATGAATGTTCATTAGCTGAAGTACTCGCTATAAGAACATTAATATCATCGTTAATTGATATGTTTAATATAGCACTTGGTAAATGTTTACTTTATCGTTTTGAACGTTTACAATTACGACAATTATTAGAAAAAGATTCAACAATATTATTATGTGATTATTATGGTTCAATACATTTACTTCGATTTTTATGGCGTATTAAAGATTTATTACGTGATATGAGTTCAAATACAAATCGAGAAGAATATGGTTTATTATTAGGACGTGTTCAACATATTTTGAATTATTTATATGAAAATAAAACAATATTATTTCCTTCAAATGAATATGATATTTGTTCAACAGAATACTATCGTTGTTCGTTGCAATGTTTTCAATAAAAAAAAAAAGTCTTTTTTTTTTCCTTTTTTTTGTATTTTTATTATTGTTATTAGAAATGAGAAAAACTAATAAAAGAAGACAAGAGAGATGTTTAATTATAATGTAAAATTGTTTATTTTTTTTTTCATATGTTTGTGAATAGGAGAGAATCATTCGTTAAATAAACTATGAGAATTTCTTGCAACGATCTTGATTGCAAGTTAAATAATTATGATCAGATATTGAATTTCTTTGACGATGTGTACGTGTACGACGTGCAGTCAATTTTTCATGTCGATTTCCTTTAGTCTTTTCTAATATATCCGATAATGTATCTGATGTTAACCAATCGGAATCGGAATTAATTCTACCACTCAATTGAGATAATGAACCAAAATTACGAGAAGTATAATTCAGTTTAGGTCGATTTTTACTTTTACTTGAAGTTATTTCTTTACGTACACTATTATTTAGTCCAAGATTTGAAAGACTAGCAGCAATTTCTTGAGCTTTTGCACGACGAGAATTATTTATAGATTTCGGATCAACTGTACCACGTTTTGATTTTACAGGTGTTTCATCATTTGATATTGATTCTGAAGTAGAGTTAGTAGATTTATTCGATGCCATAACTAATGTTTGACCAAAACCATTTTGTGTAAAACCACCTTGAGATGGTAGTAATGGTGCACCAGCTGGTATAGAAAAAGAATTATTACAACCAGCCATAATGGGTGGTGCAACAACCGTGACCGGTCTTGGAACCGGTACTTGTTGGATATTAGGAATTGGAAATGGAGCAGGACATGGAACAGGATACGGTTGTGGAACACATACTGGACGTGGATAAAAACTAACAGGAGGTGGTGCTGGTGGTGTACAATAACAACAACAACATGAAAGTCCACGACTGAAACTAGCTTGTGGACTAAAACCACCAAAACATGGAGGTGTAAGCAGAGGATTTGGTGCACCATACGGAACAGTCATTACCATACCAATATTATTTGGAAGTTCAAATGATGGTGGTGGTCGATAAGGCATAGGACCATTTGATAATGCAGACATAAACGATGTTGGAGTCATCCAGTTAGCAGTATTTGCTGTTACCACTGGATACATACCTTGAATTAGTGGATTATAAGCGACAGGTAATGGTGCAGCAACTGCCATCATAGGTGAAGCCATTGGCATACTACATGCTGATGGCATACAAGGCATCATGGGCATCATAGGCATCATTGGCATAACTCCACTACCACCCATTCCGCCCATTCCACCCATTCCACCCATTCCACCCATTCCTTGTCTTAGTGCATATTTAGCTACTTTTCTTTGCATCATCGGTAACATTTGCAATGTAGTATTTCCCATATAAAAATTACCATAATTCCATGGAGATCCAGACATTTGACTAAGTCCTATAATATCAATTTTCTATTAAAACTTCTTCTTTCGATTATTGAAACATACCTCGACCATATCGTCCACCATAATAATTGGGTCTATATCCCATTGGTCCTCCATAAGTTTCATATGGATCAGTTTCAGGAAATCCATAACCATATGGATCAGGTTCATATCCACCTAATCCACCATATGGATCAGCACCATAAGAGTATGGAGCTGGGACACCAGTAGGTGGGTAACCTCCAGCCTGATAAAATGGATCATTATAATTATTAGGATCTATCTGATTTCTTCTTCTACCAAATCTTCCTCCCATAGTTGTTTATATAAAATCTCGCTCTAGTTTGTATTTGTTTTTTCTCCTCACATGATCACCATCTAACCGCGTCAACCGAAGGAAAAAAAATATATTAAGTGTATGTCGTTACCGATGACTGGTTTCATATTCTACATAAATATGCATGTCGTTTGCTTTTTTTTCCTTGTTAGTACTATTCTTTGTAGTAAATGTACACTCGGCCATATTAGCAATCACTTTTGGTCGTATAACGTGCGAAATTGTTCGTCCTTGTATGTACAAAAGCTCGTCTGATACACAAGACTATACAAGGACAAGTGACATCATAGAAAATATCATTGAATGATAAGGTATTCATCTAGACGTAACAAAATGATTTTTTCTTTACCTACAAGGGCCTTTTCGTTTTTCAATAACTCAAAAATACATGAATCTCTATTTAGAAGCGTAAAATTAATTAATATATCTTTTCAAGGGCAAATATATTTTTTTTAAATAATAACAAATATATTGGTTTCATAAGACACAATAATACACAGAAAAGAAGAAAAAAACAGAAAGAAAACATTAGAATTCTCGTCGATGATATCGATCTGGATCATAATATGATGTCACAACAACACGATTGGCAAATTTTCGTCCTGTTAATGCTTGTTGAGCTTTTTGACATTCACTTAATGATGTAAATTCAACAAAAATCTATAGAAAACAAAATTGAAGAATTTAAAAAAACGTGAATGCACATATATGTATAAAATTTTACCTTTCCAACACCGGGAACATCAACACCTTGAATGGGTCGAGGAATTTCAAGACTTTTAACTAATCCATATTTACCACATTCTTCTCGTACATCTTCCATAATATCTATACAGAAGAAAAAAGAAATGTTTGAAAACAACGATTAGAATATATTTACCTTCAAATTCTTCATCATCACGTAATTCTTCTTCTGTAACCATATTTAATAAACACAATACTTCTGTACTAGCATTCGATGCTGAAAAATTAACACCAGGTAATTGAACACCAATAGCTCCGGGCATCTAAATAAATATATTATTTTCAACTTAAGAAATCTATATTTGATAGGAAAACAAAAACTTACTCCAGGCATATTCTTCGCTCCAACACTTGCTAATTGTACGATTAATTTTTTATCACCTAGTTGCATACCATTTAGACCTTGAATAGCAGCTTCTGTTACATTAGCTTCACAATATTCACAAAAAGCATAGCCTTTCGAAAGTCCTGTTGCAGCATCTTTAACCAAATTAAAAGCTTTTAACGAACCAAAACTCATTAATAATTCTTTAACCTAAAATTAAATATATTGAAATAACAATATCTAATGGAATAACCTGAAAAATAAATCGGGATAAATAACTCTAAATGATCGGAAACTATCAGACTCACAAATATGTTCAGATTTTGATTGTTCTAAATGCGTGACGAACTAGAGATGAATATTTTATTTTAACCAAACACTCGACAAATCATTGCTGATCTAGTCTAGAACAATAATATACAAAAATCAATTGTATGTTATGTCGCTTTATATAAATAATTTATTTAGATATAAAAAATTTACATTCTATTGATTTCAACAAATGAAAAGTTATTTCAATCACTCCAATCGTATCAAATCTCTACGCTTCTATCTCAATTATTTGACATTAAAGTCTTTATTCAGAAATATTCTTTGAATTAAATTATTTTTATGAGCTTTTATAAATACAATTAAACGATTAGATAAAACGAAATATTTGCTTCTCATGGATGATGATATGCAAAAACTTTCTTTCAACCCTTCCGAGTCATACGACCCATTGGTAGGTCACAGTATTTTTGGGGAAGACATTATATAGACGAACACTTCCTTTTACGTTTTTTTTGTAAACAGAAGGTTACATAATATAATGTGTCATCTTCTCTACCTTCGGTAACTTTGTAGTCCTTTATTGAAACAATCAGAAAAAATAAATTTGTCACAGTCTGAACAGAAGGTTTTTATTTTCTTTGTTACTGTTGTACTCTTTGCTCTCATAGAAGCTAGTTGCTTTCCATTAAAGAGTTCATAAGTGTTGTTCTGTATATCTGTTAATTTCGTAAATCTCGAAGCTACTCTAATTTCTTCAGTAATAAAATGTCGATAGCAATGAATAGGATTGAAACTTCAGTTTTTTTCATACGAAATAAAAAGAAAGAAAAACGAATGCATCTATTAAAAGATGAATTTGTTAAAGCTATTTTCTAAGAAAATTGAATCGACTCGAAAAAATTAATTAGAACCTGTATTGATGTAGGTAACGGACTTCAGAGAATTACATTGACCTATAGAAAATCAAGTGAGATAATAAGGTACAATATAATCGATGAACTTATCAATAGTCATATAACTGCCTATCATATTGGAAACAATCCTAAAGATATTTGAATGTACCAAATGTAATTACATTTCAAGACAATGAGTATACAGTTTAGAGACTAATATCACGATTTGTCATAATAATAAAATGAAAATTCATTATGAAACCATTAAACTAACCTGATCATCAGTTAAATAATTTGGCAAACCACCAAGAAAGATTTTAAATGGTGAATCAGCCACAACGGTAGAAACAACTCCTAAAACAAAATTATATTTATCTAAAAATTTCTCCTGCAAGAATCTTACCAGGTACATTTGAATTAGGTAAGTCTCCTCCTGGCATTGGTTGATAATCTCTTGGTCGACGAATTTTAAGTGATTGTCCTTGAAAAACAATACCATCAAATGCCATGGCAGCTGTTGTTTCATCAATTGAACGAAACTAATTGAATTCATAAGTTAAATATTTATTTGATTTTTAAACTTACTTCAAGAAATGCAAAATTTTTATCAAGATTTATCTGAACAGCAATAACAGGACTTCCTTCTGTTTGAGATAGACCAGTTAACTGCATTTGTTGATTAAAGAATTCCATCATTGCATTCTATAATACAAACTAATAGTAGACTAAAGATTATTTTAAAAATAACTTTTACTTCAGAAACACCAAATGGAATATTTCCAACATATAATCGACGTGATTGATGGACAACATGACTACCAAGTACTGGTGTAGCTGCAGCTGTATTAGCACTCCAATCTTTTCCAGTAAATATTTGAGAGATCTGACCGGATGCTAAATAAAAGAGGAATAAATAATTTCCTATTGAAATACGAATTTTGTTTTACCTTGCATAGCTTTATATTGAACAGGAGTAATATGTTCAAAACCAACGGGTGGTACATCCCAATATTTATATTTTTTTAAAGGTTTTCTTTCGACGACGACTTTGGGTTCTTTTTTTGAACGTTCTTTTGGTGAACGTGAACGACTATGTTTATTTCGACTATTCTCATGTGGTGAACGTGAACGACGACGTTTACTTTCTTTTTCACGTGAACGATCACGATGACGACGAGATTTACGATCACGAGAACGTGAACGAGATGAACGGCGATTATTTCTTTCTAAAAAATAAAAATAATTCAGAATATTTTTCTAGCGAAGAAAATCAATAAAATTTATTCTATCTACCTGGCTCATCGTTTGCCATCTTTAATGGAATAAAATATGATTATTATTTTAATGAAACAAGTATACAACAAAGTGTGTAACTGCTCGTTCGGACATTATGAGAATTTTTAACCAATAAGTATCTAGATCTCTTAGAGAGGACGCTACCTATCAATAACAGGAATTGAGATATTGATAGGAAAATGTTAAAATGAGATTTTCAGACATTAATCTGGAATGAGAAGTTTAACATATGATAATATTCTTGAGTTCTATGTATATTTAATGCATTTTCAACAAAAAAAAGTTGAACTTAGATTTCAATTATATCTCTATTTTGAGCCATCATCTCGATAAACTTTCTTTTTCCAAATGTCCAAGCACATGCAAAGATACAAAATACATTTTCTGTCCGATGAATCATATTCAATGAGTGGCATAAAAGTTGCATCGCAATCAATTTTCACAATTACTATATGAGCGATATTATCTATAGATGAACATTGATGCCTTTCGATGATGATCAAGAGATACTTCATTTCATTTTCTTACCTATATAATATATTATATTTAGAAAAAAAATAGAGTGCCATCAAAAACGTTCACATATCTCTTTTTATTCTGCAGTAAGAAAACAAGATATTCATTTAGAATGCGAGATTTAAAAATATCTACCTCCATCTGTCGTGATTGCTATAATATTCCATCTGTTCATTCACATATTGTTACCTTAGTTACTTTAAGAACAGAAGAAAAAAACCGTAAACGTGAGCACATTGTTTCTTTTTCTTCATGCTCGTCATCGTTTGTAGTACATATGATTGTATCGTATAAAGCATTTACTTTATTGAACTATATTCAATAGAAATGTGTAAATCATGACGGATAGGAAAAGATTTAATTGAAAAAAAGAAGAAAAGTAAAAATCGATTGACAGTTTTTATCGAGTAAGTATGCAAATGGAGAATATTATTTTTTGATTTTCTATTGCCTGTGATAATGTTCGAATAAATAATAACTTGTATTTCTATTGTAGATAATAATGACAACAAAAACTGATAATCTTCTACGTTTAAAAATTATTAGTCTTGGTAATGTTAGTGTTGGAAAAAGTTGTTTAATAAAACGATATTGTGAAAAACGTTTCATATCAAAATATATGGCAACTATTGGTATTGATTATGGTGTTACACGTATACGTGTACGTAATTATGATATACGTATGAATATATTTGATTTTTCTGGTCATCCACTTTTTTATGAAGTACGAAATGAATTTTATCGTGATGTACAAGGTATTTTACTTGTTTTTGATTTAAATACTCGTCGATCATTTGAATCATTGGATAATTGGATTTGTGAAATGAAAAAAGAATTAAATTTAAATAGTACACAAAAATCTTCACCCATTGTTTTTATTATTGGAAATAAAAATGATTTAAAAAGAGCAGTTGAAGAAAATGAAGCAAGAATGTGGGCAAATATTCGTGGTTATCAATATTTTGAAACATCAGGTATTTACTAGAATTAAAATCGTAGTATGAAAAAACGAAGGAAGATAAAACAGATCTTTGATTTCATGCATAATAATATTAATCATACGAGAGATTATCGAGTCTAACTTCTCCATGACATTCTGAGTATTATTCAGTTTATATCTCTATTAGGGGTAGGACAGTTCGCAGTTCCAAGTTCAGATGAACTGATCAAAAGAACTACCAGTTCAGTTCTTTTTAGAGAACTGTTGTGAAAACGATTTTTTCGTAAATAAAAACAAATTTGAAACAGAGCAGTTCCTCCGAAAGAACTATTGGTTCAGTTCAGTTCTTTTCAAAAGAACTATTAAACAGTTCCTAAGAACGGAACTAATATGGAACTGTTCCACCTCTAATCTCTATAGATCTGTAAAATAATAATTATTATTGGTGTTAAATGTGTCTAACACATATATTACTGAATATACTCTCGCGATTATTTATAAGATGACTTCTAGCAACATACTTATGAGTTGTTGCCTTAGAATGATTCTACTTCACATGACAAGAAATCTTCGGAATCAATTTGAGGTTCATTTTCATTCATTAGAATTGACACTAATAATCTCAGTTTTGATCAAATAATGGTCTAGTGGAACTTACAAACCTTGATGGATTCTAGATAGAAAACTCTTGCAAAGTTTCAATGAATAGATTATAATACCGTGCGCAAGAACGTATTCCAGCAAAACGATTGAAAACAAAGTCTATGATCAAAACCAAGATTTTACTTTCTATACGTTTTATTGACTTATTTTATAAATCAGATCTTCAGTTCATTACTAGATTAAATTAAATTTTATGCTCATATATCTGTTTATTTATAGCTGCAACTGGTGCCGGTGTACAAGAAATGTTTGACAGTCTATTTTCCTCATTGATTGATACGAATGAAAATGGTGGTGTACCACCAGTTAATAATTTATCCAATCTAAATTTTACTATTGAACAAGTTGAAGCAATCAATCGATTACGAAATAATAAAGACAATTTTGAACGATTAGGTTTAAGACATAATTGTACAAAAGAAGATGTTTTAACAGCGTATAAACGTTTAGCAAAATTATTACATCCAGATAAAAGTGATGCGCCTGGAAGTGAAGATGCATTTAAGTTATTACTTAATGCTAAAACAGAATTATTAAATCGTTTTGACAAATAAAAAAATGAAATACATTTCTTAAAGAAATGTACTAGTAATACACAATGAATTTTAATTTGTTGTATATATTTTATTGACAGACACTTGTGTAATTCAAAATATTCTAAAATTGATTGTGTGAACAAATATACAGGCAAGGCGCAATACAAGATCTTTTAAAATGCATATGATAGAGTACTCACCAAGTGAGATAAGAAGCGGATTTTGCATGCTAAGATGCACTGCAAGATATAAAAGTTGTTTTTTTCCGTCGTTAATGACTTTTATTTCCTTTTTACAGTACGAAATAAAAAGTCTTTCGAAAAAAGGTTCTTTTCTGAAAGATTGATTTTAATTGAAAAATATGATGATAGATGACGCTATTATCTTTTATAGGATATATAACTCAGGAGAAAAAATCAATTGAAATATATTTTACAAAATTCTAGTTTTAAAACGTATAATAAACAATTTTTATTTTATTGTATAATTGATATTTATGAAGTATTTCATCATTCGTCTATATAACTAACCAAAGAGATATGATCTAGGCAACATACATGTACAATATAGGTATCAAAATCTTCTGTCTATTATAATATCTAACTAATAAATTTAAATTTTAGATAAAACAATCAAATGTTTCGTACAATTCGTATTCATTGGAAAAAATCATTATTTGCTTTTTGTGCTTTATCCTATGGTTCGAAATGGTCGTATGATCGTTATCAAGCAAATAAAATTCGTGCATTTTATTGTCGACAAGCATCATTATTAGGTGCTCAAAATATTCCATCAATGAATCGTTTAACTCGTATTGCTGTTTTACTTAATGGAAAAGCAATGAATGGTAAAGCGAAATCATTATATGATAAAACAATATTTCCCTTATTACATTTAATTGGACTTGATGTACGTGTTTATCGTTTGGATACAATTACAGATACAGATGGTATGACTGATTTATTAACAAATAAGATTGAACCAAATGAATTAAGTGCATTAATGATTGTTGGTGGTGATGGAACAATAAGTGAATTAGCACCACATTTTTTTCAATCAACTGTTTTAGAAAATTTACCAATTTGTATTGTACCAATAGGTGAACATGTTTCATTTGCACGTAGTTTATTTCCAGTCACAGATAAAAAAAAACTTCATGATGATATTAGTTTACTTTGTGAATCGGTTTTTGCTTTATTTAATGGAAAAGTTATTACAAAACCTTTATTAAAAATTACTATGCCTGATACGAATGATAAACCAATGTAAGTTTTATTGATAAATATATTTCGAATACTATAAAAAGAATATTTATGGTAAGATCTTGTAGAAATGAACTTTCGAAGTACAATTTCAAATGTGATATTGAATACTAGTTTAATTAACATTAATAAGTCTTTTTATAGTATTAGTATTATATGCATAGTAAAGACAATTAATATCTGAAGAAAGATGAGATACAGATTACTTGCTTTGAAATTTGAACATTCAGTATTTTATATACGTTTGATTACTATCAAATATCGTTTACAGGAATTAATGATGTTTATAAGTTGAACCTTTGTATTTCATATCATCCTTTAAGATATATATTTAACGTATAAGAAACTATAGTCTAGAAAATGATAAATTTAGTCTTGTAAGATACGTGAATATTTCACCAAATAATAGTAAATTAAATTCTTTTCAAATTTTATTATGATAAAAAATCTATAAATTAATCAAGGTGTATATTTGAGTATAAACGCTTCAGACTTTCTTGAAATCCAGAATAGAATGCGTTCAGTCATGCTGCATAATCAAATAAATGCTTGTAGCAATAAAAAGAATCTTATCTAGACACCCCTCGATATATTGAAATATGAACTTTACATGTCATGTTTACTGTCACCATAGTCATAAAAAATATGTAAAGTGCAATATTTTAAAGAAAACAATAGTGATAATCAATCTTTGAATATATAATATGATTTACTTATCTTTTGTTTTTATTGAGAAAACTCAACACTTATTGTTTTTCTTCATAAAATATATATATGAATTGAATTAGAGAAAACATAACAAAAACAATAGATAATTAATGACCACATATCAACAAGATAAAATATCAGAAAAATGATAAGAGGAAATAAATTTGTATAGAAATAAGTAGAACAAAATACTTTTATTTTTGATTAATCAAAATAGTAATACAGTTATATTTTATTAGAAAAACATTTTGACATTTATTATATAGTATAATACTACTGAAATAAGTTTATACTTGATTCTATGATGAATGACATTGACAAGTTTTTTTTTTGAACATTTATGCAAAAGATTATTCTATTAATAATAATTCAAACGATAAGATATTGATCATTTGAATAAAAGCAAAACAATCACATAAAAATATATACTTAGAATTTCAGTATTCTTCATGAATCTTTGCTATTTCGAACATGTTTTCTTTCTAATTACATTATAAATTCATAGGATATGAATCCATTAAGAATTTTTCTTTTCAGAGTGTTATTTAAATATATGATTAGAATTAGATAGAATAGAAATAGTTCATTTACAAAAGAAACATAATATTAAGATAAAATTTCATTTTTGTATAGATTCAAAAACTATCATATGACATTCGTTTTCATCGCTTATTTGTATTTCATATATTTTTCTTAACTAAAATTATGTGTTTATTACTTTTTAGTTATGCAAGTACATTAGATTTCGGTCATTATACTCGTCTTGAACAACTTCAAAAACGTTTATGGTATTTTAGTTATTTAAAATATCCTATATCATCAATCTATCATTTCCTAACAACTTCTGTAAAATCAGTTTCATCATCTGAACAACCCGCTATTACATATTCTAATCCATGTTCTGGTTGTTTACGATGTCAACCATCATTAATGGATGAATATAATTTATCACAACAACAACAAAAAGAACACAAACCTAGTTTCTTCTCTCGTATATATCAATCAAAACATTCAAATATAAAAACAGTTAAACCTCAATTATCACTACCCATAGAAAATCCTGATTGTGGTATTGAATATTGTATGAATCCAACTAAACAACCGATACAAATATGGGCAAAATTAAATAATAACGAACATAATATACAAGTTGATATAAGTGATACATTAGAACGTTTTAATTATGATAAAGAAAAATATCCAAAACAATCAATGAATGTTCAACATATTCGATTTAATCCAAATATTGATTTAATACCAAAACAAATGTTAATTAATCATGATAAATTTAAAGAAAATGAAGAAAAGAAATATCCTAGTGAATGTCAAATTGAATTAAGTGAAAAAACATTAAAATTTATTGAAATAAATCAAGATTTATTATTAACAAAACAATCAACATTAAAATCAACAATTCATGAACTAGAAGAAGACGCTCTTGAGAAGAAGGGTATTTTTCTATTTTCTCGTCGTCATCAGCAACAACAACATGCATAATCATCATAATGTTGTCTAGTAGTTTATTATTATTTTGTTTTTTGTGCTTTTTTAAAAAAATATCTGCTTAATGTTAAATGCTCATCTGCGTGATGTCTTCTGCTTTTTTCTTTCTCTTAATTTATACATGTCATTCATTGGCTTTGTAGTAAATTAAGGAATGAGGAAAACTACTTGCACACATGCATGCGTTTCTTCTTATATTATAATTATGAGTAAAGACAACGAAGGACTAATAGAGATCTATACTTTTCTAAAGTATTATTGACTGATGTAACACGAGGTTTATGTTTTTGTTGTTATTCACTTTTAAGTTCGACAAGGAAGAAGAAAATAAATTTGAGTCTATTCTAGCTGCGTGTGTTTTTTTTCTCTATTATATTACTTGTCTTTTAGTACTCTATACCTGATCTTCAAGATATCTTTTCCTTTGTCTGAGAAATGAGGCGAACAGCCTTTCATTGATGTCTAAGTCGAATAGAACGACTTATATCATGTTCATTATAGATCCTTTTTTTTTTACATAAGATGACAACGTCGACGACAAGAAAAACCCGTCAGAAGAAGAAAAAAACGACGAGAAAGAATCAAGACTCATGCACGTACTGCACATGAGTGTGAGTCTCGTCCGTTCCTCGTATTTTTTTTATCTGGTGGTTGTGATACTCAAAATTTTGCATAGGTTAAAGAGAAAAGCAAAAAAAAACACACACATCATACATATAAACAAAAGTAGTTCAGATATCCAAATAAAATTCATTCATATATATAAAATGATAATTTATTCGTTTTTCTTTCAATTTTAGATACAATTAAATATTTTCTTTTTTTTCTCTATGAGAGATCAAAAAAACAAGGTAAGTGCAAAAAGGTGCTTCACATGACGTATCAAAGTCTTTTCATAATGTTGTTTTTCTTCAATATAGTTCTGATAATATAATATTTTTTTATTTTTTAATATTCTTCCAAATCATTGTCATTTTTTCTTTTCTTTTCTTTTCTGATTTTCTTTTTTTTATGTATATTAACTTATTAGTTGACGAAACGAGCAAATTCTTTCGTGCTTTTTCGTTTTTTCTTTTCTCTATTTTTTTGCCATCATCAATGTCTGTAGATAGAATAAAAAAAAAAAAAAAGAAGGAAAGAAAAACACATAACACATATGTATTCAAACAGTTATTTAGTGTGCCATACACGTGAAAGTAAATTTTTTATGAGAAGAAAAAAAAGAAATTTATCTACTTATGTATATACAAGGAAAAAAAGAACAAAAAAGTCTAATGATATCTTTTCAGATTATATCATTTGTCAAAAAAAAACAGACACACACTCACACGTTGTTATGATTCAATATGTTGAGTAAAACAAGAATAGACCGTAAGTAGAATAGAAAAAAAAAGAAATCTAATTTATTTTTAAATCATTTTTTTATTATTAATTAGAATAACAAATAGAAAATCTGAAGACGATAATAACGCCAACATTCAAATTGATATTTAACTAATTTATCTATTGGATTATTATTATACTGTCTTCGTCACCTTTTTTTGTTTCTTCGTATTTCTTTATTATCATCGTCTGAAAGCATTAGGACGTGTTATTTTACAGATACAAGAAAAAGAGAAGGCAATGCTGCAGCCGTTGGCGTAATGTCCGATGGAAACAAATGTAAGAAAAATATTCATATTATTTTAAATATAAATAACTATCAATTGATCATTTATTTATATGAGAATAAAAATATTAAGTTAATTTCATGGATATCATTTCTTTTCTATTTAGTCGACGTAACTGCATACGCACAGCAACGTCAGCAAAATCAATTACCATTAGAAGAAATGGGCAATGTATTGCTCGATGCGATGCAGGGCACACTTATTTGTCTTGATAGTCATCATATTATTATTGATGTATCAAAAACAATTAAACGTTATTTTGGTTTTGAACAAGTGTGTTAACAAGAATTAGTTTTATTAATATAAATATCTTTTTATCTAGGCTGAAATTATTGGTCTTTCAATATTGTTACTTATTGAAGATAGTGAACGAGATTTATTTTTAAAATTTCTTTCTTGTACATCACAAGGTAAGCCAAAAGAAAACTAGTTTTCTAAATTGAAATTTATTATTTTAGTGTTTGATGTTTGTTGTGTTCGAATGGTAATGGCTATTTCAAATGAATATCGACAAGTAAAAGTTCATCGAAAGAAAAAACTTAATCAAGATAACGTTGGTAAGATGAATATAATTCAAATATTTATTTTATTCTATACAAATTATTTCTAGATGTTCATTCGACTACAACTCGATATGGTAGCTCTGTTGGAACAATACTTGTTTTAACATTAGATGATTCATCTTATATTGATATAACACTTTTTGATGTACATAAACAAGAATTTTATACAAAAATTAATTTAATAGGTGAAATTATATTCGAAGATCATAGGTATGATTAATTTACTTATTAATGAAAATTGTACCCTAATAATTTCGAAAAAAAGAAAAGTAAAACCTCATAGTTTGGAGAAGATTAGTTTTTTTTATTCTATAATGTGATTCTAAAGAAAATAGTTTGATGTATATAGGAATTCTTCTTTCATATTAATCCTAGAAATATAAAACTTAGTAGATTCTATCTAAGCTTGAATAAGAAATTTTAATTATGTTTTTAAGAAGCTCAGGTAATTCAAAATCGAAACAATTTGTTTTGCTATTATAAGAAAATAAAACAATGCTTGGTACAGATAAAGAATTTATATTTTCTTGTTTTTATTAAAGGAACAGTATAGTTATGTTATCTCTTCTTCTCTCTATAATTTATTGATATAAATTTCTTCTAGTTAAATTTTCCAAGGCATCATTTTCTAGAGATGAAAAAATGTTATAATTCGGTCAATAACTTTATCCTATCTTTGAAATGTCAAAACATTTTCTTTTCTATTATTAGTCATAAACTAAATATATATATATATTTCTAGAGGTGCTTTAATAACCGGTTATTTACCACATGAACTAATATCTCAATCAATATTTAATTTTGTATACCATGAAGATCGTTTAGTAAAATTACATGCACTTTGGAAATGTAATTCTATTTTTGCAAACTTGTATATATAATTAAAATATTCTTTTCAGGTGTAACGAATGGTACAAGTAAATTAGAATGGCGTTTAAATGCTCGTGATGGTTCTTTAGTTTTTCTTCAAACTGAATATAAATTAATTGCAAATCATCGAAAACAAGATACAATAGTTGCTCGTAATGAAGTTCTTAGGTTAGAAAGAGTTTACTTTTATGAAATTATTAGTTTTCATTCCTTTTTGAAAAATTTATTAGTCCAATGCAACGATCACAATTCGAAGAATTACAAACAGCTTGGAGGCATCAATGTGCAGCAGATATTAAAGGAAATAGTTCATCATTTCGATTAAGTATGTTATTTTATTTGAATTTTATAATTATTTCAAAACCTTTCTTTTTAATTAGTTTCATCAGCCGATACAGATATATTATCAATTCCCACCGGTGAATGTCGTATATGTGTTCCATCATTAAATATGTGTTTTTCAACGAATAAATTACAATCATTAAATATTATGGGAAATATATTTGAAGTACCAAAATCAACACATCCACTAACTATTGAAGATTATATATCTATATTAATTGATAATGATAAATATCTTGATAGTGAACTAGTACATTTGATTAATAATCTACCTGCACGTTCTAAACGTTGGAGCAATAATAATAATAATAATAATCAATCAATGAATAATACAGATATTTCAGGTTAAAATAACGCTATTAAAATATGTAATTCTTATTAGAATTCATTTTTAATTTAGATGGATCGATGGATGAAAGATTACAAACGAATTTAAATGAATCAACTTTACATAGAAAACAAGATTCTGATTCGATTGTACGTGGTATACTTAGTAATCCAGCGAAATATAATCATGAAAAACAATCCGGTTAGAATTTAATTTAAAAAAAGAAGAAGAACACAATAATTTTGATTTTGTTTCTTAAAGGTGATTCATCAGCGACATTAGCTGGGCTTCTAAATAATAATAATGTACAACAGGATATTACAAGAATGCCGACATTTCAACAACAACAACAGGTTCAAATGAATCGATCAAAGGTTATTAAATAAAACTGAAATTAGTTTGTTCTACTTTTCATTTTAACTATTTAGACGAATCAAGTTCCGTTAAATTCGGAAGCAATTCAACAACAACATTATGATTTTATTAAAAAATATAAATCAGGTAAAATATTTTTTTCTCATCTAGTTTATAAATCTCGAGAGATTATTGATATCTAGCTTCTTTTTTTTCAATATTGTTTATCTGTTATTTAAATAATGAATATGATTGGATATTTTTATTGGTAACATCTTGAAAAAATCGGGGCGTATACTTTAAAGAAAAGTTAATCAAGCCATGTTGTCTTGTCTTTATGTGATAGGACTCATATGGAGATAATGATAATGCATGACATTATTTCAAATGGTTTTAACTTGTTTTTTTCTCTATATTTCTGACACGTAGTGAGGCGTATGTGTCAGTTTATTTTCAAGATAATCAACTGGGAATAGTTTAATATATTATTCAGCTATTGATATTATAATTAAAATAACGTATAAATTATTTTTTGAAGTCGTACATATATATAGTAGAATAATTTAAGCATTGATCATAACAAATAGACTATATAGTTTTCTTAATCTTAGTGAAAACTATCTACAACCACATGAATCAATTGGACTCTTTAAGTTGTTTCAGAATATATATGATTATTATTTATTTCATAAAAATATAGATAAAAGGAATTCTATGTGTTCAGATTAACTATAGTTTGGTTATTATAAAATCACTATTGAGATTGTTTAGCTACGACCAAACACCGTACAAATGCATTTCAAACTTCATAGATTTGATCGCTAATTAATTTAAAGAAATTCGAAAATTTTTATTAAATAAATCTTTTTTTTTGTTCTTCTAGCTAAAACCAAATTAGAATCTCAATTAGAAGCAGCTCGAGCACAAGAATTAGCTAGTGGTGGACAACCAAGTGATATCATAAAACGAGTAAGATTTTTAATCAAACATAAAATACTAAATAATATTTTTTTTATATTTATTTTTTAGAATACTATACTTAATAAATTATCACAATTAGAAGCTATTAAAAATAAACATTTAACACGTACTATTGAACTTAAACGTCAAACACAACAATCAACATCAGCAACGGCAATAGCTGTTAATAATATTGAACAAAAAGATTTACTTAATAGTCTATTTAGTTCATCATCACCAAAATCAATTGGATTAATGTCAATGGATAGTAATAATTCAACAGCAATATCATCACCCATTTCTTCTCTATATAATAATTCATCACAATCATCATCACCAACAACACCATCATTGTATACATCAAGTTATCAACATCAACGAAATTCTTCTCCTGGATATCGACCATATGAATCAGGACAATCATCAACATCATTTCATGATTCACATACAAGAGTTAAAACTCCTGTATTTGATGAATTTTTAACATCTCCACCATCATCAGTATCATATGTACCGGTTAATAATCATTCATTATCTGTTCATTCATATATGAATGTATCATTTCAAGAAGCAACAAATAATTCATCAACAATAACACCATCTTCTTTCAATTATCATCATCAACATCATCATAATACTACGTATCCTTATTAAACATATGATTATTGTTGTATAGTATATTTTTATTTTATTTTATTTTTTTGTTTCTTTTTTTTCTTTTTTGATCAACTGTGATTTTTGTACAAGCTAGTTACTGTAACTGATTTGACAGTTGTCCATATATAGATTTTATTTAAGATGATTTTTTTCTCTCTCTTTCTTTCTTTCTGTTTTTTCCTTTGTTTTTGCTCAAATATATGTCATCCTTGGTTTGTTTTTATTTTTACTTGACAATTAAGGATTGTCATTATTTGTAAAGTATTATATATATTTTATTTTGTATTGTATGGTTATATATATATATATAGATATACATTATATGTGTTGTTTATTTTCTCTTCGGACAATAGCTGAACAGTGTCTTGTTTTTCTTTTGTTTGTCGCGATTTCTTTTCTTTTTTTTGTCTGAAATTCTATGGTTTCTATGCGAATGCCTTCTTTTTGTTATTTTAAATGAACAGTAAAAAAAAGAAAAGAAAATAAGATGAATTTCGATTTAAATAATATTTATAATATAAAAATTCGATTGTAAAAAGAGAATATAAATCATTGATAATCACTTTATATTTTACCAGTTAATAAATATACAAAAAGACCGACGATTATCCGAATAATTGACAATAATTAGAAACAATATCAAGATAAATATCGACTGTTTGAGCCATTGATGGAACTGATATCCATTCATCTACTCCATGAACATTGCCTCCAATTGGTCCAAAACCGCATATGGTTGGAATACCACTATCAATTAACATATATCCTTCGTTAGCTGGACCACATCCATTAGTTGTAGGAGTAATATTGAGTATTTTTTTAACTGCATTGACACAAGAAAGAACTAATGCATGATTTGAATCAATTGCTGCAGCTGGTAATTGGTTTTTAATTGTAATAGATGCTGATAATCGAGCAGATAAATTTGGATTCGGTGTCATTTTACGATAAAATTCATTTCGTTCATCAATTATAGTTTTCACAATATCTTCAATTGTTTTCAAAATATCCTTAGCAGATGTTGATGGCATTAGACGAATGTCTACCATAGCTGAAGCATTCGATGGAACAACGGATACAAAACCACCTCCATTAAAGATTGTACCTATAAACAAGTAACTTCTTCTTAAAATAATGCAGATTGTTTTGACGGAAACTTTCGTGATTCAAATTATCTTTATTTGAATAAATTGATTTCTATCATCTATTTAAAAAATTCATGCATGTCCAATGCTGATCGTATGCGAGAGATAGAACTATCGTACTTGTAAACGAAAGAATATTAAATAGAAAAATGAATCGTACCTAGAGTTACAGTTAATGTTAAAGAAGGAAAGGATGGATCTGTATCGTTGTTCCATGAATAATCTTCCAATGCTATTAAAATTCGAGCTAAAGCAGTCGTCTATTTGAAAAGCAAGACAAGATATAGTTAGGTATAAGATTAAAATAAAAAAACTAAACGAACCGCATTAGCTCCTTTTATTTTAGTATTCCATTCTACACTTCCAGTATGTAAATTTTCACCCTTCACATCAATTGATAATCTCAATAGTCCTCGATGTCCAATAGTAACATTTGTACCTGGATAGACATAAATAGCACCAGAACCAGATATTAATTTTCTATCTAATAAATAACGAACACCAATGGATGAACAAGCACCACTTTCTTCATCGACAACACATGCTAATTGAATACTGATATTTAGTTTTTCTTCTAAATTGTTATACATATATATTGAAAAGACATTTATCTGTTTAAAAAAATTATTTTACCATCAATAATTTGTTGTAACAAATACAATGTATACAAAGCGCAAACAATACCACCTTTATTATCACATGAACCACGTCCAATAAGTCTTTGCGTTTTGTCATCAATGCTACCTGCGAATGGTGGAAATGACCATTGTGTTTCATCTTCAACATTGACTGTATCCGTATGACCAACAAATAAAAATTTTGAAGGACCATTTCCTAAAGTAAATATTAAATATTATTTGTTAAATAAATAATTAAACATACCAGCAGTAACAATTACATTTGGTCGATCTTCTTGATTCGGTGCTGATACTAATTCATATTTTAATTTTAATTTTTGACATTCAATAGAAATTCGTTCAGCGACAAAATATTCAGTATTAATACCACAAATCGAACGAATACGTATTAGATCCGATAAAAATGAAACCATTGATGATGTTAAAGAAGAAGACGAAATTTTCGATGTCATTTTCTAAAAAGAAAAATTATTATTATGTATCGAATTTTGTCTTGTATAAGGTTTGATTACAATGTTTCAAAAGCAAAGAGACAAGAAAAAGAATTGGTTATCTACTTGACTAATGATAATAAAATAAGTGTGCTCTATAATATGTACTTTTGAAAAAGTCGAATCAAGTCTTTATGAATAAACACAGAAAGTTTATGTTCATTGAAATTTAACACAGCGAATATCAACTAGTCTACAATATCAATTGAGGCTCTTTTTTGTAGAGTAATCGAATACTCTGATTTGCTATGTGTTGTAGCATGTATTCAATATTATAACGGTAGGTATATACAGACAATTTTTTTCATTTCGTTAGTTTCCATCAAGAATGGTTTTTGAAAAACTTAATTTCATCGTTTCGTTAGAATCTACTCTAATCGTTATCAAAAAGATTTAGAATTTTGTAACTATTGTTAAGTTTGTTAGTTTCTTTCGAATAGAATACCGTTTTCTTAAAATATTTTTATTCTAATTAACTGCACATAGCGGGTTATTCGTTAAAATAGATGTCACTATAAGCGTATATACATATAGATGATTATTCTTTATTCAAATCATAACAAAACATTATTTACATGTTTCAAACTATAACAACAAAAGAAATTCTCTATCATTCCATAAAATTTTCTTTTTTTTCTTATTTATCATTGATTGTAGCGCTTTGATCAATTCTAATATCTTGAGGTCGTCGTACATGATTGATGGCAGATGGTGATAGTATGTTTCTTTAGACATACATAAACATAAACTACGATTGTACGCGACATATATAACCGTTGTCAGCCTCTACATATAGAAAATGAAATGAATTTAAATGATGAAGAAGATGAAGATACATTTTTTACTCAACATTGTCTTGAATTAGCTAAATTATTACGTACAGAACAAACAGAACATTTCCTTCATCTCTACGATAGTTTACCATCAGAATGGAATGGTTCTCGAGTGAGTAATATCCGAGTAGCTTTTTTCGTTTTTTCTAGATAGGATTTCTAAATATTTAATGACGAATATCTACAGCTTGAATCAGCAAAAGAATATATTCGTCAATTACAAGAACTCGACGAAAACGAATTTGAACATATTTATCAACATAAATTTTCTAACGACGAAAAATCAAATCATTCAAATACTGTTATGTCAAAACAATCAACAATAATTCGTACTGATGATAATGATAATAAAACAACAAATAATCGTATAACATCATTAGCACTTCTTCAACAAAAACAACATATTGAACGAACAACCGCTAATAATCTTGCATGTGATGAACAACATAATATATCATCAAAACATTCGTTATCTTTAAAGTTCGTTTTGAAATGAATTATTTATTTTTATCTTTTAACGAAAAAATATCTTTTTAGAAAGAATAATGATGAATTAAATACAAAAACACGACGACTTCAACCAATAACAAATAATAATACACATGATATGATATCGAATAATTGTCGAACTCGTACTCCTGTTGATTCTTTTGTTCAATTGAATTTAAAACCAGCAATTGATATTACCGTTGAAGATTATAAAAAAGTAAACTAATGCTTTTCTTTATCAATATATTGAATCAAATATATATATATAAGCTTAATACATATATCATATGATTAGAGAAAAGGAAAAAACGACTGGTCTACTGTTGTTATGTGCCTTTCTTTTTGGTATAGATGCGCTGATAGGTGTGTGTGTGTGTGTATGACAGCAGGTTGTGTGTTACTAAGGCACAGAACGGCGAATAACAATGATGTATCTCATCTTTTCTTTTCTTTTCTTTTCTTTCATACTATACAGCTTTCTTTTTTTGTTAGACGAGAGTTTCATTACCGACTACTAAACACAGTAGTATCAATAGTCGATCTTCTCTTTCACAATCCAATGATATTAATGAATCGAATCAACAGAATACTACAACACAAAGTAATATGATAAAGAATCATAAAAAATCAATGGAAAATAAATCTCATGAAGAAGCAACATTTGGTTATTTTTTTAAAGATGGTGATGACGATGATGATAATAGAAAAGATTCTCGATCATCATCATCATCACCAATAATTCCATTTTCAAATTCATCAACTAAGAAAAATGATTCAACAATAAAACAAACTTTATCACATGAACATAGTAAATTAATAACTAATAATGATTTTGACTCACATGGTTCATCTATAGCAACAAAATCATCATCAGAAAATAGTGGAAGTACTCGAACAGGTTCAGGTTCAGATAGTGATGATGAACATCATCATCATCATCATCATCAATCTCACAAAGTCAATTCATCATCAAATACAAAATCTTCTCTACCTTCAAAAACGAAATTCTTCAATAATGATGATACACCTACAGTAGTGGTAAATATAATCTCTATTTTATTTCATGTTCTACTTTTTTCCTCCTCCTTCTTTATAGTTAAATACAATAAGTGATAATCGACCAAATCAACATGATCGTATATCATCTTTACGTAAGTTAATTGAAAGAATACTTCGTCTTAAAATATGTATTGAATAATTTAGCTACACAAGATAGTTATGAATTAGTTCAATCGAATTCAAATGATGATCATCGTTTAGTTGCTAGTCAAGTACCTCGTTTTAAATTATCTTCTAATGATGGTTCGTATTAGTTGATTTTTCTTCTTGTTTTTTTTTTTTGTTGGTCGAAATATGAGATGTCAATTTATTTCTATTCTTTTACTCTTTGTATATAAATCATATATTGCAAAGAGAGTAATTTCTGACGATTTTGAAATAACTGGACGATAGGAGAGTGTGTATAGATATCTGAGTCATGCTCTTGTTTTTATATCATCGAAATCGACGTAAAAGATACGAGAAAGAGAAAAGAAACGAAGAAGAAGAAGAAAAAAAGAACGAACGAACGAAGCGAGAAATACTATATTGCACAAGTACGCTATAATATTCATCCTACCACATCATCTTTCCTTTCTTCCTCTTTTCGTCGACAACGACCAACCGAGTAGTAGTCCTCTTCTTTTTTTTTTACTTTCTTATCTCATTTTTCAATATAATTATCACTCCTCTATAACGTCATCATCATCCATCCAGTCCAACTTACGATAAAAAAAAAACTTTGTATATATATATATATATATAAATACATATTTAAAACCCATCATGCTACGTTCAGTATTCAGGTGGATATGCCAGATCTATATAGTATACGGCCTCGGCCGCTAATAATGTTCTTATATTATAAACGATCCGATACTTTCAATTATACGCCAAACGGTGGTAAGAATAAAAAGAAAAAACAAAAATTTGTTTTTCGTTTTCTTTTTTTTTTATAAATAAATAATTTTTATTAATTGTTTATTTTTTTTTAAAATTTATATCATAGATCCAAACGGCAATAATAATTCAAATAACGATATCCTTTCCTATACTACGCAAAGGTCTCAACAAAATAATTTATCATCATCTAGTCATCAAAATCGGTAAAATTAGATTTTATTAAATTAAATATATAAAACTTCGTTGTTGTTTTTTTCAATAGAAATTCTGAACGTCATGAACAATATAATACGAATCATTCCAATTCTGAACGTAAATCAACAACTCGACCAAGTAAAAAACGAAAACAAGTATAAATTTTAAAACAACAACAAAATCAAAAAATATTGAATTGTTTAATTTTACTTTTTAGTTACAACAACAAGAAATTATTCGAACAGAATTAATTCCAGGTCATCGTGGTGATCGTGACGTTGATGAACTTGTCATGTTTATCGATGGAAATTCATCATCAAAACAACAACAACGACATAATACAACAGCTCCCTTACGTTTAACAGATACAAATAGTAATAATACTACTACAACATCAACTCGAAGAAAATCTCGTAAACCAATTAAAATTCTTCAAGAATCATCAATTAATAATAATAATGAAAATAAAACATCACCGATTGATGAAGATACACAATCAATTGGTTTTATTGATGAAGATGATGAAACAACATCAACAGCAACAGTAACATCAACAACAACACATTCCCTTGATAATAAATATAATGAACAGAATACGACTAATACTAGTCTTTCAAATGATGATGAATCTCATTCAATTACAAATGACATTAATTCGACCAATAATTCTAATACGACTGTAAGTTTCATCTTAAATATCTCTTTTCTTATCTATATCACATATCAAGTCAAATTGATTTTATCAGAGTCTTTTTTAAGGACATATATATACATATACATGTTCTTTAGTTATATATATATATATATCTGATCTTGATACTAATTTTGATAGACTTTTCAAACTTCTAGAAAAATACGTTTAAAAATATTAGATATTCTTTTTTTTTGCTTCCTCTTTACTGAATAAAGTTAAATAATGATTACAGTCTGTTTGATCTTTTATATAAAATAATTAATTCACGTGAAACCATTGGGAATACTTTTTTTTGACTTCTATAGTATATCTATTTTTGTAAAACTATTTATAAATTAAAAAAAATTGAATTTTTGTTTTTTTAACTATTAATAGAATGGCGAAATAACATTACCAGAATGGTTTGAACCAATTCGTAGTACATCTCCAGTTAATGATGATAATGATTCATTTTCATTATCATCGACAACATTAAATAATTCGAACAGTGAAATTATTTCAGAACCATTTGTAACTGTAACACATCGTCGTCGTTTAACAAAAGAACGTCGTCAAGATTCAAATCCATCATCATCATCACGGACATCACATTTTCCATTATCTTCTTCTTCTTCGCATAATAATAATAACAATAATAATGATAAACGTCGTTTTCAACAATCGTCTTCAATACAAAATGAAAATGTACGTTCAACCATACGTAATGGCCCTTTAAATACACAACCATATGTTAATACAGCAACAAAAGAAGAAAAGATTGATTCACCTTCACAAACAGTATCTCAAACATCAGTACTACAATCACCACCACCATCACAACCGCCAGCGCTGCCTGTGCCACCTACATCATCCATATCAAATAATTCAACTGAACAAAGATCACCTCGTTTATCATCTCAATCATCATCGTCATCATTATCATCATTACTTAAACGACAATCAAAACCACCACCAGTAGTTTTTCTAAATAAATCTGTAGATGTTGAATTAAATGATGTTTCATTTGGTTTTGATGTTGATAATCCAATAATAGATGATAAACCTTTAACACCAACATTATCATCTCCACCACCTCCACCATCAACTGAAAAAGAGCCTGAAATTTTATCATCTACACAATCAAATGATTTCTTAATAAATTCTAAATCATCTTCATCTCGACGTTCTTATCAATCACAACAACAACAACAACGAGGTAATCGTGGACCATTCTTTTATTCCGGTCCAGATATTCGTACACATAATCATCGAAATTATCCATCACAAACACCAGTCACACAACCATCATATATTGATCCAGTTCTTCTACAACAATATAATCAACAACGTTTAGCTAATTATTCTCAACAATTAGCTTATATGAATTTATTTCGTACACAATATATGCATTCTCAACAACCATATATTCTAATACCAACAACATATACAGCAACAAATGATAATGATCAAGATGAAAAAATTCTTGATGATGAAACAATTTCAACATCGGAACATATTCAAGAACCATTACTTGTTTATACACCTATTCCAACACAATTAGGACCAATTTATCTTCAACAAACTAAAAAATTATCTAATGATCTTGAACAACAAATGCCTATTCCAACTATTTATCCACAACAATATTATTATCCACCACAAACATCACATCCAGCATATTTTCAACCAATATCATCACCAACATTAATACTTGATACGAAATTTCAACAAGATGGTTCGGATGATGAACAAGAAGAACAAGATAATAATTATGAGAAATCTACAAGATTATTTCATCAAACAAGACAACAATCATCATCACATATTATGTCGAATGCATTACAACTTGTTTATAGTCAAGAAAGACGAAATGCACAAACAGATCATTTTAATCTTGATCAATTAACTGCTTATTTAGCAATGAAATGGACAGATACTATAGATCACTATGAACAAGGTAATATTTTCGAAATAAAGATATAACTTTAATTCGAAACTACAGATATCAAGACTTATTAAATAGAAGAAAATACGAAATTACTCGAATCAAACATTATAGACTTTCGGTTTCTTAACAGTGCATACGATTAAGTAGAAAAGAAAGTTAAAAATTCTTTCTCACAAAAAGATTTCTCTTAATATTCAAGTATTTTGTATCTACTTACGATAATGAAAAACTCGTAGTATCAATAACATGTCAGAAAATTCTTGAAAGAATAACAATTTTGAAATGATTGATGTAAACAATTATTTCATAATAGTAATAATAATAATCTTGTTACCATTGGTCGATATCTTCGCATGAAAAATTGTTGGTTTTTTCAACTTTATTCCTTACGGAGATAATCTTGTCACTTGTATAATAGTATTGGATTTAGTTCAATCATAGGAACAACGAATTGAAAGAACACACTAGAACTTTCTAAATAAAAAACATATTAATATATTCTTGCTTTTAAATGACAAAGAAAGTATGAAGTAAATAGTGAGACTCTTGGAGAGAGTGAATCGGATTGAGAATATTTCAACTCGATTCTAAATCTAAGACTCACTCTTTTCATTTTTACCTATTCATACTGCACTTGATAGGCAATGTTTTAATCATAATCTGCCAGACTTAATTCTCTTAAACTTATTTCTATTCTTTGTAAATATTTTATTTTTCTATTTTAGGTGATGATGAAATATTGTTAACGGTTGAGTAACAAATCAAACAAAACTTTTATTTTATCATTTTTTGATCGAATAAAAAATCTATTCGAGCATTCAATTGAGAGAATGGAATATAATTCTGTCATATGTTTGATGGTATATTTCCTTGTTGATTAAACGATTGTGACTACTTTTTCTGTTCTTTCTTTCTTCTTCTTTTGACGACGATTACGAATTTTCGTGTGAACTCAAAGCTCATATATTATCTATGTTGCTATTTATTAAACATTTGCCTTTACTCGTTTTTTTTTATATATGAAAAATACATAACAAAACTGTTCTTTTTTCTTTTGCTTGTTAAAGCTTCGTTTTCTTCCTTTCTATCTCTCTCTCTCTACATATATAAATAAGTGTGTTTATGTTTCCTTTTTTTTATGACAAGTAGTATGTGCGCCTCTTTTCTTTGTCTTGTTGTTGTTGTTATTGGTCCTAATGTGATAACATGTTTTTTCTTTGTGTGTTTGTGTGTATGTGCGCGATGCACTACCTTCTTTATTTCTGTTTACCAAGAAGATGCAGTAAGCTTCTCTTGTTGTATATGACATTGATTTGAAAAAAAAAACACGAATATCTTTGGGCAAATTTATTATTAGCCGTATCAAAATAGTATTTTCTATCGATGATAAAAAATAAATACATTTTCAAGCCCATATTTCTTCTGTCTTGTTTGTGTACTTTATATTTGTTTTTTTTCTTTGGCCGAGTGATATATTTGTGAGCGTGTTCTTTCATCGTATGTATGTCCTTTTCTTTTCTTCTTTTTGTTTTTGTTTCTTCTCTATCAAAAAGGTTTTAAAAGAGAAAATTAAGAGGATGAGTTGAGAAAAATTTTGTAGTTTATTAATCGAAAAAAAAAAATATATATAGAACAAATCAGACATCAGGAGCGAAAGACACGCTATGGCGAGCTTCCAAATGTGTGTATTTTTGGACCATCATTATTAATCTATCTGTGTGTGTGTGTTTGTTTGTTTATTGGCTTATTTGTTTTTCTTTAACTAAGAATGTACTTTTGTTTCCTTACTTTATGGCGCGTCAGTGTGTGTGTGTGTGTGTGCTGTTCTATGCGCGCTCCTGTATATTTCGCATTTTCAACAGGCTTATCCTTTTTTCATGTTCATCGTTACGATCGCTTTGATTGTTATTGCTATTGATTTTTTTTCCTTTCTATGTATCTTTTCGTTCTTTCTTTGTGTCTCTGATTGGCTGAATTTATTATGTTTCGCTCTCTTTCTCTCGTCCCATTTACACACTTTTCTTAAACTCTATTTTGAACAACATATGCATATAAAAACAAAGCAAAAATAAACAAACAGACAAGCTAAAAAAAAGAAAACTTTAATTTATGTAGGAAATAGACGATTACCAAGAAAGTTCAAGAAGAGCAGTAGCAGCACATGCTGGATCAGCACGAATACTGAAAGAATTTTTAATTGCTTGTTCAGTACGTGAGACACGACCTTGAAAAATCATACCATGTCCATCGAGATAAACATTGATTGATTGGTCTAGATCAAGCAGAGCATCGGAGAGACGTAGAGTTAGTTGTTGAATACCTTCAAAAGTACAAATAGTAATAGTTTGTTCATTTACTTCGGCTGTAATTTTTTGACCTTGCTTTGGTTCGATAGTATCAGGCAAAGAAATCCAATAAAAATGATGATGAGTAACATCATCTTGAACCCAAACAACTTTCTTTGGCCATGGATTACGAGTCCATTGTGACATCCATGTAAGTGCTTCAGCGTCTTTACCACACATCCAATGACCCATATTACTACATATATTCACATAATGATGGTATGCGTCAGGATCCGACTTTTGTAAAGTATCAAGTTGTTCAGACCATTGTTGTGCCATTTTATTTCGATTATAGCTACTGTCATTTTCACCAACAAATATAGCAAAAGGTAAATTACGTAAACCATAAGGTAAAGCATCATTCGGATGTCCGGCCATCATAGCAGCAGCTGCAAAACGATCTGCCATACGTGGAGCAAGTTGATAAACACCATCACCACCTGCAGAATAACCTAAGATATAGACACGATTAGGATTAATTTCCTTAACCATAATATAATTTTCGATAATTCGATCGAATAATACATCAATATGTTCTTGATGCCATTGATTCCAACTATCAGTAGGACTTCGAGGTACTACCCAAATACCTTCATTTGGATTATACAGATTAATTTGATTACGAAACTGTTCATCATTAACAGGAGCAGGACAAGAACCACCGCCGTGCATTGATATCCATAAACTATAACCAGTTGGTGGTCTCGTTTGACTATAGATGCATTCATTCCAATGTATTGTTTGATTATTGAGAGTCAAACACGTTTCATCTAATTCAGATTGTCTTGTAGAGAGCTGTTCTTCTTGTAATTGTGTCCAGATCTTGTCTATGATAACTGAAGCTTGTTGTTTACTTAACGTTGTGAAATTATCATCAGAGTTAGATACGAAACTACTGTCGCCAGAATCTTCCTGCAAAATAATTTTTCTAGTTTCAAAGTTTTATCAATTTGTTGAATATATTTACTGAAGAGTCTTGTTCGATCTTTGTATTAACGGGTGGGTAGACAACAATTTGAATATTACCAATTTTCGATTTAATCGATAACGTTGCTTCTTCAATATTATCTATCTCCGGGAATCGTGTATTCAATTTTTGAATGTCAGTGAGAGCATCTATAAAGAAATTAAGTATGAACTTATATATCGACAATGTAATGTATTGACTTACGTGTATGATCACCTTTGAGATGGCCACATGTACGACAATAATAATTATCAATTAATTGCTCATCAGTTAGTTCTTCGATATATAAATTACAGATCGTGTCACGCGCATTCCAAATAGTTGCGTTAAGCATTATTATATCTGAAAATGAAACATGTAAAACAATTCTTAGTTTTAATAATGCCTTTAAAAAAATGCTTTCTACTGATTTCAAATGTACTACAGAATCATTTTTTCGTCTCTCATTAGAAGCTTTGATTTATAGCTGTAATTATATTTCTATTTACTTGCATTTTACTATTAATCATTAATGTTGTTTTCGAAAAAATCTTATTTCTCTATTCAATAATGTCAGTATACCTCCTATATTGTGACAGCTGCTCTATTGATATTTTATTTAGGTTGCTTGAATTAAAACAATATTGTTTGCATTAGAAATATGAATAATAAAGAAGAAAATTTCCATTCACAACAAAAAACCTCACGAGAAGTTAATCGAGGTATTTTAATGCATATTCATCTATTTCGATCCAGTCATAAAAATACATTTCATTTTTTCTAACGAAATAATTCATACGACAACTTAATTAGATGCCTACATTTTGTCGTTAATGATACATCTAGGGAAATAGAAAAAAAATCATGATTTTCATGTGAGAAACAAACCATGTCTGATGATGAAACGAATATTATTTTTTTAGTCCCTAAAAATTGACCCATTTTCAATAAATAATCAAGCAAAAATATGCACATTTAAGTCGTAAGAAAAACAACATCGTACAAAACATTGAATGTCCAATGGCAGAACAGTTTGTTCTTTTTCCTACCTGTAAAATGATCTTTTACTGTAAGAAAGATTATTTATTGGGGTATTGAAAAAGAAAAGAATGCGATTAATAAATATTAAAAATACTCATATATTTCTCTTCTAGTATTTTTCAACATTATTAAAATAAAGGAATTCTTCGAAATATGAGCTCAATCAAACCATCGAATGTGTAGTATCTGCTTGTTTTAAATTCAATCGATAAAATCATATCTGTTTTTATACAAATGAATTATTTTTAATAGAAAATTAAGCAAATTAACTTCGACTACTAGATCAAACAATCTGAAATCTTTTGAACGTATTTCATTTACATGAACTAGGAGCGCGTTACGCCCCACCCCCCCCTCGGTACGCCCCTGATATTAACTGTATGTTTTCTAAATAAATCAATAAATATATGAGACGATTCCATACATAATTAAGCTATCATTTTGTACATTACTGTCGATAGCTTATTAATAGCATTTTGTTTACAGCAGAAAGCAATGATTACTTTCGATGAATGATAACAACACTTCATAGACTAAGCATCTTCATTTTTACGAAACTATTATCCATGCATTGTATTCATAAGATCATTATTTGGCTATATTTTAGAACTAATAACAACAAATCTATTGATCTACATTCAGTAAACAATCTTTGCAACGCTATTTTCATAAATTTTTCGATGGCAAATATCGATATGATTTTATCAGATGGGAAACAAAAAGTTGAGTTGGAAAGTTTTTTTTATTTTATTTGAAGGTGATCGATAGTATTTATATTAAGATAAATATTGAAAATATCTTATGTAATTTCAAACTATTTTCTCTTTCTTCTTGAATGGATCTTGTTTGTTTTTGTTCGGCTTATGTTTTACATTGACGATATATTGTCAGACAATCAGGACGAATGATGGATGCTATATACTGAAAGAAAAAAAAAATCTATCTATCTATATGTGGTATATACATAAATGTACATAAAACAACAAGGTATATTATTGGTTAATTATTCTTTTTAAACAACGTCAAATAAATATCAACTTAATTTAAGAAAAAGACTAAGATAATTTTTTAAACTTATCATTTTAATTACATATAACGATATGATTATATGTGGCACCACAATCAACATTTATTGACATTGATTGTAGTACCAGGACAATTTTGTATCCTTATATGGAACCGGATGTATGGTAGACAAACAAAAAAATCTTTGATGATATTTGCTTCTGCGACCTTGTATGACCCTTTAATATGATTTGTTTTTTTTAAAGAATTCTTGATCTCCTCAAGCTAATTTTCTTGTTGTTACATTTTTTTCATTTAGATATTTGTTCTAAACTCTTCATTAGCTATTATGTTCTTCCAGTACAGCAAAGAAAAAAGGAATGTTCTATAATTTGTCAGTCAGTAAGTTTCTCTTTTTTTTCTTCTTCTTCTTCTTCTTCTTCTTTTCTTTTTTGATGTTCTGCTCAATTAACTTTCTAAATCGATACTTTCATTTTCTTCTTCTTCTCTTAATAGTCTCGTTTGATTATCATTCCAAATTTCTATACCGAAACATTTTGTCAATAAAATCTTGATAAGATAAAATGTTTAGTCCATTACAATATTCATATACGGCGGATGACGAGTACGATGCACGTAAGTTCGCAACAAAAAAAGCCCTCTTAAAAATATAATGATTTAATTTAATTATATTCTAGTCCCACCGTTACCGCCGCAAATGAAAGCACCTCCCAAAAAGGCTGTAAGGAAGTTTTGTTTTCTCCTTATTTACCTATTATTTGTTTTTTTCAAGGCACATCTACTTGATATCCCAACTGGTAACAATGCATGGAGTGCTGTTTTACAACAAGCTGAAATTCGAAGACGTAAACGACGACAAACAACACCTGAACATCCTAGTCGTGCATTATTTTGTTTATCACTTGATAATAAATTACGTCGTACATGTATTAAATTAGTTGAATGGAAGTATGGAAATCAGATTAGTTCGATTTTAAATAACTATTTTTGTCTATTTATTCTAGACCTTTTGAATATTTGGTGCTTTTTACTATCTTTTGTAATTGTGCCGCATTAGCTCTTAGTACACCATTACCACATAATGATACAACACCAACAAATTCTGTACTAGTAAGTAATAAAATTATAGATGTAGAAGATTTTTGATAAATCTATTGAGGCAAAAACAAAAAAAAGGAGAATTTGATTACAAATTATCGCTCCCATGAGATATCGTTTGTTTTTTTGTATATATCATAGTTCAATTCAACGGAATCTTTGATAAACTTTACCTCCGAAGAGAGATATAAAATAATTTCATTTTAGGAACAAATCGAGTATATATTTTTGGCCATATTTACACTTGAAGTTGTTCTAAAAATTATTGCATATGGTTTATGTCTTCATCCAAATGCATATCTAAGAAGTGGATGGAATTTACTCGATTTTATTATTGTTGTTGTTGGGTATGAAATAATCTTTTTTTTGTTCTTGTTAAAAATTTAACTAAAACAATGAAATCTTTTGTTAGATTTCTGAGTGTAATATTAATTCGATATAATGTCCAAGGTTTTGATGTCAAATCTTTACGAGCATTTCGTGTTATTCGTCCATTGAAACTTGTCAATGGTGTACCGAGTAAATAAAAATAAATCAGTTGTCATTATTACTTTTTTCCCTTACCTGCTTATATGTATGGTGATTTATTGTTGTATTTTTTTAAAAAAAAAGAAGTTGGTTGCATGCATTTGTTTGTTATATATAATTTGGTAAGAAGAAATCTTCTCATTTGCATGTTATTGAAATTAGTTTAAATCAGATTAATAATACGAAAATGTTTTTCTTTTTAAAGGTTTACAAATTGTATTAAATTCAATTTTACGAGCTATGTTACCCCTATTGCATATTGCTCTATTAGTACTTTTTGTTATTACAATTTATGCTATTATTGGTTTGGAATTATTTTGTGGAAAAATGCATAGTACTTGTTATATTAATGGAACAAGTATGAAAAACGAGACCTTTTTTTCATGTTAATGAAAATATATTTTTTAGGTAAAATGCCGCAAGTTGACGAAATTCGACCATGTGGTGAAAAAGGTCGACATTGTCCGCCAGGAGAAGAATGTAAAGATATAGGATGGGAAGGTCCATGGCATGGATTTATTAATTTTGATAATTTTGGTTTGGCTATGTTAACTGTATTTCAATGTATAACAATGGAAGGATGGACATCGATTTTATATAAAGTATGTGTATCTCATTTCAAATTCCAAAACTTTTGTTCTTCGATGAACTCTAGTCAATAGAATTATGTATACGGAATATATCGGAAGCTATTGAATATATAAGAACTATTTAACTTGATTCTTTCTCTCGTTGAAATATAGATGAATGTTTTCATACGTTAATATCCGGAAATCATTTCTATACATATATGAATATCTTGACATTCTATAATGGATACTCTGATCGAGCATATTTATTAAGAGGATATCTTCATTGTTGATTATATTTGGTTAAATATTGATTATTTAGATGAATGATGCTATTGGACGTGAATGGGCCTGGATTTATTTTGTTTCACTGATAATAATTGGTTCTTTTTTTGTTATGAATCTTGTCTTAGGTGTTCTAAGCGGGTAAATTTTAATGAAACCAACAACAAAAATAATAATAATAACTTTTTTTTCTCAATAGTGAATTTTCTAAAGAAAGAGAAAAAGCTAAACAAAGAGGTGATTTTCAAAAATTAAGAGAAATTCAAATAATTGATGAATCATTTCGAAATTATATGGCATGGATTCGTAAAGCTGGTAAATTAATAAATATATATCTATAAAAACATAAACTAATTTTTATTAAGAAATCGGAAATGATACAAATGATGGTACAGAAAATGATGGTTAGTTATAAATATTACTTTGTCTTGTTTTTTATTTGAATATGTTTTCTTAATTTAGTTACTCTTGATGCATCAGGAGATCCAGTAAAAAAAGAAGGAACATTAGAAACACATTGTGGATGGTTGTATGATAAATTGTATGTATTATATTAATAATAAAAGTTATATATATTATACGTGTAATTTAGACGATATATTCGAGTTTTTCATGCATACAGTCGACGTCGAATTCATACAATGGTTAAATCACAAACATTTTATTGGATTGTTATTGCACTTGTATTAATGAATACAGCTGTGCTAGCAAGTGAATATTATGGACAACCACAATGGCTAACAGATACTCAAGGTATGAATATAAAAGAATGACTTTACCAGACAAAAAAAGTTACAGGGGTGGTTTCGAGTAGAGATAAACCATTCATAGGAAGGTTGAGTCCACCGTCTAGTCAGTGGCGGATTTAGGGAAGTCGGTGGGAGTGATTGCCCCCCCCCTCTCCCTTCCAAAATCCTAGATCCGCCGCTGCGTCTGGTTATGCATTTATACAATTTTGATTTAATTATTTTTAGAAATAGCTAATCGAATATTCGTCATATTATTTTCATTTGAAATGTTACTTAAAATGTATTCACTTGGCATAACTGGTTATTTCGTATCAAATTTTAATCGTTTTGATTGTTTTGTTGTTATTGCATCAATTATTGAATTTGTACTTATATTTAAAGATCTTATGCCACCATTAGGTATATCTGTGCTTCGTTGTGTTCGTCTTTTACGTGTGTTTAAAGTAACACGTTATTGGACAGCATTAAGAAATTTAGTTGCATCATTACTTAATTCAATGAAATCAATTGCATCTTTACTTTTACTATTATTTTTGTTTATTGTCATATTTGCTTTATTGGGTATGCAAATGTTTGGAGGAAAATTTGATGAAATATTTGAAGTTGAAGAGAAACCACGAAATAATTTTGATTCATTTTGGGGTGCACTTATTACTGTATTTCAAGTAAGAAAAGGATACAAAAACAAAATTTTATTTTAATTCCAATATTTTCTTTTATAGATTTTAACTGGTGAAGATTGGAATGAAGTTTTATATACTGGTATACGAGCACTTGGCGGTCTTGGACTTGTTGGTACAGTTGTTTGTGTTTATTTTATTGTTTTATTTATTTGTGGTAATTATATATTATTGAATGTCTTTTTGGCTAGTAAGTTATTTGAAAAGAAACATGAATTGAAAAAAAAACACATTATTATCGTTTTCTAGTCGCCGTTGATAATTTGGCTGATGCTGAAAATTTAACTGCAGCTGAAGAAGAAGAACAAAAGAAACGTGAAGAAGCTAAATTAGGTGCAGAAGTAAAACCAAACGGAGATGTAAAAGGAACAGATCAGTAAGTTTTTATTCGAAATTTTATTATTTATTTGATAATTTATTTTATTATTAGAGCGAATACTGAAGCGATTGAAACAGGTAAAGAATTATTTTAATTGCTTAATGTGTATGATATTTGATTTTCTTATGTAGATGAAAAATCACGCGGTGGAACAGATGAAAATCCATTAGATGAAAATGAAGATCGTCCAATAGAACGTGGTGATAATGAAGACAATGCTGGTCTTAATGAAGATCAAGTTGTTGAAACAGAAGATGAAGAAAGAACTACAGCAAGGTTTGAATTGAAAACATTTTAATCATCTATAAGCACACTGATAGAATTTATTTCGAAAAAAATGCTCTATATCTTTATGAATGAATTCTAATGTTTATATAATGAATGCATTAATAGTTGTTAATAGCTCTGAACAATACATGTGAATTTAATTATAAATATAATTCCCATGAGAAATATTTTGTTATGAAAAAAAGCAAAATGCATAAAATCATGAATATTAAACATAAAGTTAATTAAAAGTAAACATGTAATCATATAAACCAATGAATAATGATCTAACCAATTAATAATCAGTTTTTTGAGAAAAGAAAATGAATAGACATATTCAAGGTTAATTGTAATTTCAGCTTGAACTTAAAACAATCAAATCTTTAAAGCGATAATAACTTATTCTATGCTGATCTAACGAGAAAACCATTCAGGGTGTCACAAACCTTTTGAGCGTAAATTTTGTCCATAGGTAGAAAGTACATAGACTAGAAAAGGCCTAGGAGAATATGACCGCAAACTGAGATATCAAGTTTTTACTAGAATTTTCCTATCGAATCACATTTTCTTATAAAGTCAGAGTTTTGGGGTTGAGCATTCTGGAAACATAATGTTTCTGGAATATCCGTCAACAAATGCGTTTATACTAACAGACTCGTATCTTGAGAATGCTCAATTCGAAAATTCTGAAACCTTGTGAATAAGCTACTTTGATTGAAGTCTTAATATGGGCAAAATTTAAGCTCTTTGATACCTCGCATGGTTCCCTTCATTAAATAGAATAACTAGAAAAGCACACATGATGATATAAACATAAACTTGATTTTATTTTAGACCTCGTCGTTTATCTGAACTGAACATTGTTGAAAAAGTTAAACCAATTCCACCTTATTCATCATTATTTGTATTTTCACATACAAACAAGTAAAAACTTGAATTTTATTTAAATAATTTTCTACGATTAAAATCAAAAAAAAACTATATTTAGATTTCGTATATTTTGTCATCGTGTTTGTAATCATCGTTCATTTGGATATATTGTACTTGTTTGTATATTACTTTCAAGTATATCACTTGGTGCAGAAGATCCTGTTGATCCAGATTCAGTTCGAAATAGAGTACGAATATATTTCATAGATTATTTTATATGGTTATTTTTCTTTTTACTTTCATAGATTCTTAATAAAGCCGATTACTTTTTCACAGCTATTTTCACAATTGAAATTTGTTTAAAAGTAAAATGGCACTATTTTTCTTGAAAAATTAAGTTTAATATAATTATTAATATTTATAGGTTGTCTCATATGGTTTAATATTTCATCCAGGTGCCTTCTGCCGAAATCGTTTCAATATTCTTGATATTGTTGTTGTATCTGTTTCATTAATATCTATGGTTATAAAAGATCGTGCAATATCCGTAGTAAAAATTCTTCGAGTACTTCGTGTACTTCGTCCATTACGTGCTATTAATCGAGCAAAAGGCCTTAAAGTATGATTCGATTTTTCTTTATAAAAAATTTCCAAAATTTTTCTTTCATTTTACAGCATGTTGTACAATGTGTTGTTGTAGCCATAAAAACTATTGGTAATATCATGTTAGTTACTTTCCTACTACAGTTTATGTTTGCTTGTATGGGTGTACAATTATTTAAAGTAAATTTTTTGAAGATTTTATTCAATAATAGTTATTTTATTCTTAAAATTAGGGAACATTTTATTCATGTAACGATAAATCCATGTTAAGCGAAGATCAGTGCAAGTATGAAATCAATGATTTGATATTTTGTGTTGATTTTTATTTTGTTAAAATTTGTCTAGAGGATATTATTTAATAACAACTGAAAATCATATTTCAAAAGAAGCTCGATCTTGGACGAATTCAAAATTTCATTTTGATAATGTTCCACAAGCTCTATTAACATTATTTACAGTAGCAACATTTGAAGGATGGCCAAAGTAATATCAAACAAAACTTAATATATACTATCTATGTGTGTATTTTTTAGTTTATTGCATACAGCAATTGATTCGAAAGCTGAAGGTCATGGTCCAGTTTATAATTATCGACCATTTGTTGCTCCATTTTTTATTACATTTATTATCGTAAGAAAAATTTTTGTGTAAAAAAATGATGATTTTCTAAAAAAACCCATTTTAAGGTAATTGCATTTTTTATGGTAAATATATTCGTGGGTTTCGTCATCGTTACATTTCAAAATGAGGGAGAACAAGAATATAAAAATTGTGAATTGGATAAAAATCAAGTAAATATTTTTATATTAATTAAATCTTATAATATATATTTTGTTTTCCTAGCGTAAATGCATTGAATTTGCTCTGAAAGCTAAACCGATAAAACGTTATATACCTGTTAAGAAAAGTCAATTAAAAATTTGGTGGTTTGTTACATCACCTCCATTTGAATATGCTATTTTTTCCTTAATTATGATAAACACAGTGGTACTTGCTATGAAAGTATGTTTAGTTTTTTTCTTTTGATTTTATTACTTAAATTTTTTTAGTATCATAATCAACCTGATAATTATTCTAAAGCATTAGATTATTTAAATATTGTATTTACAGCTATATTTGGTCTAGAATTTATTCTTAAAATGGCTGCATTTCGCCTTAAAGTAAAAAATTAATGAAAATATTGATTTATTTCATTTTTTCGTGTTTTTGTAGAATTATTTTAGTGATCCATCAAATTGTTGTGATTTTATTATTGTTGTTGGTAGTGTTATTGATATTATCTATACTGATGTCATAGCAGTAAGTTTGATATATAGTTTGGGATGACATCAAAATCTCGAAAACAAGAATAAAGAAAAAATGAAATATCGAAAAGACGAAATCTCGAAAAAACTCGATAATCGAAAGCGAAAATTTCGAGAAAACATCTTAAGGGTGTGGGTATGGGTGTGGGTGAGGGTGTGGATGAGGGTATGGGTGTGGGTGTGCGTGAGGGTATGGGTATGGGTGTCGGTGAGGGTGTGGGTGTGGGTGAGAGTATGGGTGTGGTTGAGAAAGGCAAAATCATCCACGCCCACCCTTCGAAGTTAGCGTAAGGAAATGTCACAGCAGAATGCTTCCCTACGCTTTGGTATTATTTTCTAGCTTTTTTCAATTTCGAGGTTTTATATTTTCGAGATTTAACATTTTCGAAATTTTGCGTTTCGAGATTTTGAAGGTAATCCTATAGTTTGTTTTGATTTTTAAGATTAGAATCCTTAGCATTACACATGCATGTTACCTTTATATATGATTTATCTTTTTGTAATTCATTAGCGATTCTGGAAATTGCAACAGGTATCCATCTAGTGTTGTTTAGTTATTGTTTATCTATAAATTAATGTTGAAATATATATATATCGACTTCGATTAATTATTTATTTCTTTTCTAGCCTGGTACAAATGTAATTAGTATAAACTTTTTTCGTTTATTTCGTGTTATGCGTTTGGTAAAAGTATTAAGTCGTGGAGAAGGTATTCGAACATTACTTTGGACATTTATTAAATCATTTCAAGTAAGTTTTTTTCTTCTGTTGTTAGAAAAGTCATTTGATTTTTTTCCTCAATTTTAGGCTTTGCCTTATGTTGCTCTACTTATTGCAATGTTATTCTTTATCTATGCTGTCATTGGAATGCAGGTAAGTATTTGCGAAAACGTATAGCTTTTATTATGATGTGTGAACCAAGATCCTTAAATTACAGTATATATATCATATGTCAGAATTTGTAAATATGATATGGAAAAGGAAAATAGTAGTAGTTTGTATTCATTGATTAGATCTTACGGTTCAGTTTAATTGTTATTGTAAATCAAGTGATATAATATAATATTTTATATCTTTGATCATTTCAATTTCCAAGCACAAGTTAGGAGAAAAAATAATCTATTGTAATTCTGATCATACAAATGACAAAATCAAGTATGGAATAGAATTTGGAATTCTATTGTGGTAAGATTAGACACATCAACGTGACCAAGTTTTTATTGATCACAGTCACGTCATGGTCTCAGAAAATTTGGTCGCAATCACAAATATCCTTACTTGTTTATCACGATCTTCGTCTACCTGCATTTGTAATAGAATCTGTACATCTTTTTATATTTGTGCTTGTTGTCATCATCATCACCTTTAGTTGTTCTAATTCAGAATATATATATATATATAATAATTCCAGAAAAGAAAAGTTATTCATATTGTAACAGATTAAACTAAAAATAGAATTTTGTTAAGATATATAATCACAATGATCGTACATTACAAACGTTTGCTATATAAAATAAATTAATTGTCCTTTTTTTGGTCGTATGCTATGATATCGAAACAATAAGAAATGAGAGCTCTTTATACGATTGATTGATCTAACCTTTAGTATCTAATTACTGTAGATAAAAGTACTCAAATCGCTATATTTAGTATAGACTATTTGCCAATTCTCATTCATATGAATAGGAAAAATTATAGTAACTTGTTACCAAATAAACAAAAGAGAATATCTAAAAAGCTACAAAAACAATTCTACAGATGTGCTTATATTCCTTGAAATCGTAATATGATACTCATGTCTAATTGTATAAAAATTGAAGTTTTTTTTAATCTACATGAGCTGGAACCAGTGGCGGATCTAGAATTTTGGAGGGGGGGGGGGGCGATTTTGGCTAAAATCTATTTTTTGAGTCCAACCGAAGTAGAGTGAACCTATTTTTGCTGTAAAAAATCAAAAAAAATTTGGAAGGGGGAGGGGGCGATCACCTTATTGCCTCCCTAAATCCGCCACTGGTTGGACCTTATCCTAATCTCATCTACTGCATCAATGAAATCTTCGCTGTCATACAGTTCTCGATAAGAATGGATCGGAGATCATTCTTACAGTACATTAATTCTAATGAATTATCGAGAAGCGAAATAAAAGATCAAGATTCAAGGCAATTAAATTTATCTAGCAAACGTTGGTAGTGTCCGATCTTATTGTAGTAACATTTTTTGTATTTTGCACTTTGAGAAAAATGTTTAGATAAATGTTTCTCCTTTAATATATACTTAATTTTTGAAAATTCAATTCTTCTAATTTAGATGTTTGGTAAAATAGCAATGGATGATAATACAGCGATAAATGAAAATAATAATTTTCAAACATTTTTCAATTCATTACTTGTACTTTTCCGGTAATTGAAATAATATCGCAAAATTTTCATTTTGTGGTTTTTTTTCGTTTCGAATAGTTCTGCAACAGGAGAAGCTTGGCAAGAAATTATGTATTCTTGTGGACCAAGTGCCAATGCTACATGTGATAGTCGATCACGACCTAAAAAAGATGAATATTGTGGAAGTTATTTTTCAATTCCATATTTTTTATCTTTCTATATACTCTGTTCGTTTTTAGTAAGTCAAGGAAAAAAACGAAAATATATTCATTTTACTTAATTTTTTAAATAGATTATCAATTTATTTGTTGCTGTTATTATGGATAATTTTGATTATTTAACTCGTGATTGGTCTATTCTTGGACCTCATCATCTTGATGAATTTGTTCGTTTATGGTCAGAATATGATCCAGAAGCTAAGTAAGAAAAACTACATTAAAAAAACTCCCTTAGTTCTATATTTTTTCACTTACCTAATTTTCCAAAAAACATTTTTATAAAATTTCAAACTAAAACTTCTATCAGAGGACGTATTAAACATCTGGAAGTAGTTAATCTACTTCGAAGTATCACGCCACCGCTAGGGTTCGGAAAATTCTGTCCCCATCGGGTTGCGTGCAAGGTATACTTTATTGTTTAAATATTGTCATATATATTCAATGTACCACATTTCATTTCTCCTAAATATTCCTATCTCTATATTTCACTTTTCTTTTTTTTTCAATCATTATAAATGTATTGTATTTTGTAATATACGTAATATACATGTGCTTTTGTTGTTGTTTTATTCAGAGGACGTATCAAGCATCTCGATGTAATCACATTGTTGAGAAAAATTTCACCGCCACTCGGTTTTGGCAAACTATGCCCACACAGAGTGGCTTGCAAGGTATTCATATATTAGTTTGTATTATTATTTTTCTTTATTGTTTATTAATATTTGATAAGAAATATGTGTATAGTATGTATGAATAACTGATCGATCGTAGTAGAATTCGAAATGGAGGTTGAGTATTTAAATAGTTGTTCAACATGCTCCTATACACAAATATTTAGTTTCTTATCTCTATTAATAATCAATAAATCTTATATATATATTCACATTGCATGTTCATATATTTTAAACATATAATTTTCTACTTGATTCATATTGAAAATTTCATATTAGAAATTGGTATCAATGAATATGCCATTGAATCAAGATGGTACTGTTATGTTTAATGCAACTCTATTTGCATTATGTCGTACATCATTAAAAATAAAAACTGATGGTAATATTGATCAAGCTAATGAAGAATTACGTGCTGTTATACGTAAAATATGGAAACGAACACCACAAAAATTACTTGATCAAATTATTCCTCCACCTGGTTCTGATGATGATGTAACAGTTGGAAAATTTTATGCAACATTTCTTATACAAGATTATTTTCGTCGATTTAAAAAACGTAAAGAACAAGCAGCTAAACAAGTTACACTTGGCTTTTCTGGTGCAAGTAAAAATTCTGTTGCATTACAAGCTGGATTAAGACAATTGCATGATTTGGGACCTGAAATACGACGAGCGATATCAGGAGATTTAGATGATGAAGAAACATTTAATCGATTTTGGCGTGAAGAAGAACCACAACATCATGTAAATTGAAAGAATTCTTCATATAAATATACATTTTTTCTCTTTTTCATAGCGAGATCATTCATTATTTGGTGCAATGCTTGATGCATTTACACGTGCTATACGTAAACCACAACAAATGCTTGGTTATGGACCTGGTTTTTCAAATACACAACCACCAGGATCTCCACCAGTACCACCAGGTACTCGTCTTCGACGTGAACCAGATGGACCAGTATCAGTAAAAATTGAAGGAGATCCTAATGTACATGTACCATCACCATTTCGTATTGGGTATAGAATTTGGTTTTAGATTTTATTTCGTATAATAAATAATATCTTTTATTCTAGAGCTATTACAGCCGATCGACGTGGTATTGAACCTGATAGTTATGTATTTCAAGTACCTGAACATGAAGAAGGCCCGTTAGGACCATTAACATTAACAAGTCGTCGAGGAAATATTCGAAAAGAAAATAGTTTTCGTTATCAGTAAAACAAAACAAACATATTTTATTAATTTTTCTTTATTTTAAATAATTCATATTTTATTTAGTGAACCAAATGAAGCATTTATTAATGATCAAGTACCTCAAACACGTCGTCGTTCTGTATTAGCACGTATATTTGCTAAACGTAAAAATGATAGTCAAGAATCAGCATTAGTCAAAGGTTCAACAAGTACAGAAGATTCAACTCAACCACGAACAGCTGTAAAAAATTTCTTTATGTTATGTATTTTTTTCGCTTGACTATTGCTTTTTATTTCTATTGCATTAAAGACGGTCAATCGTGCATTAGTTGTTGAAAATGGTGATGCAATACGCAGTAAGTTTGATCTATTGTAATGCTATATGCATGTTTATTTATCGTGGCATGTTTTGTGATTGGCGTTTGTGTTTTTTTTCTTCTTATTATTCATAGCCCGACTTACTTCTAGCACAGACAATCAATCCGACTGGATGCCAACCCCTGCACCCCGTCACATATATTACCCAACAAAATCAACCAGTAGCATCCATACTTATGTCTAATACAAATGACCAATATCAAGGTTCACATATTCAATATCGTTATTGAAAAATAAATTTTTATTATTTATTTATTTATTTAGCTCAAAGAACAACAACACCAGCAGTATCTTATTTAATGCAACGGCAAGAAAGAGATAACGTTGAAGAATTAGTCAATGCATGTCTTGATACATCCGGTATTGACCGTCGATATAATGCGTTAATATTAGAAGAATTACGTGATTGTACAAATTTAACTCATGATCAATTAAGACAAGCAGCATTTGAATTAACTAGACAACTTCGTTCGACTTCTCCACAATATCCGTCAACTACATATGATTCTCCCCCTGCACATCTCCCATCATCAGATGAACGTTTATATAATTCATCTAATCGTTATGCTAATGTGTGATTTGTTTTTTTTCTAGTTGTTTTTTTTCTACACGGTGCTCATTTTTTTTCTTTTTCTTGTCAATTTGCACGATTTTTTCTTTGTTTTGTCTTCCGAATAAGGACCTATGTCTAATTAATACTACGTCTTCTTCTTCTTCTTTTTTATTCTTATTAAACAATGTACAATTTTCTGTGCGTGATAGGTCGTAGAAATATTTCAATCTATATTTAATAATTTATAAATATATGTGTGATTATTAATAACAGTGTTTTTCAAAATTTTATTTTTCCCTAAAAATTTATGTTTTGTTATTGACAGAATGATTTTCTCTTGCCTGATTGCTTGCACATTTTTTTCTTGTTTTGTTTGAAATACAATTATATAAAAAAAAAAAAAGAAAACCAAAGCTGTTTTTGTCTGAAGTGATTAAATAATGATTGAATAAATAAATAAATAGAAAATTTAATAAACAAAAATGTCTTAATTTAATTAATTTGTTAAATATTAATAATAATTATTAATGATTACATAGCCGTTGGGGCACAGCTGTGATGGCCGAGCGGTTAAGGCGTTAGACTTGAAATCTAATGTGATCTTCACGCGTAGGTTCAAATCCTACTCACAGCGTTCTTCTTTTTTTTTTGTTTTTCCTTCGTTATAGAAACTGCGTCATTTGCAAATACCTACTTATAATCACAACTATTCTGACAATAGTGATAATGAAATTAACATTGATGTGTAGCATATTTTCCTAGTCTATATTTGATCGACAACAGCTCTATCATCATAGACAAATCTAACAGGTGGTATAAGAGTATTTTTTTTCTTCCCTATTGATATGTCACTGTCTTATTTTCTTGTTAGATTATCCGCCTCCATCACAATAGTCTCAGCATGACAAAGATCATGGTGACAACAACAAAAAAAAAGAAAGCATAATTATAAACTTGTATAAGACTAAACATGACAATATGATAAAAACTAAATGATCAATCAAGAATCTAATATATAAAATCTTGTTCGTTTTTTGTTTGTGTCGGATATCAATTACACTAGAACTTCTTTTTAATATAACAGCAGTCAGTTAATTCTTACGAAGCAATAATAAATTGGATAGAGACGTGTGTGTGCTCATGAGACAATTGACAATGTGCATATATAATGACCTTAATCATCATTATTTGACTCTGATTTCATAAAAATGTCAAACTTTTTTCAATCGTTTATTATTTTTTTTTGTTAGCCTTCACATTTACTCATATATATATGCGTGCACATGTGAAACCTTCATTTTTTTCTGTATTCAATATATGAGTAGGAAAAGGATGAAGAAAAAAGAAAGTAATGATCATAATACGGCAGCAGCTTGTGTGTCAGTAAATAGGCAATGAAATGAATTTTATCCATATATTACTGTACTGTCCTATGTGTGTACTTTACTATGCATATAATAAGAACAGCTAATCCTTTATAAATGCAGCCATCCTCTCTCTCTCTCTCATCATAACAAAAACAACAGCTAAACGTAAAGGGTTATGTGTATATTAAATAGAGTTCATAGGCCAAATTTTGCACTTTCTTTTCATATAAAGGTGATTAGATATGTTATTGCTTATTTCATCATAGTGAATGATGAAGTATTCAGTTGTACATGACAAGCGAATATAATTATGAAATACAATGATGTAATATTTCGATTACGATTACGGTCTTAAGTCAAATATTTAAACTATCAATGATTGTCGTTCATTCACATCAGCGTTTTTCTTTTCTTTTTTTCTTCTTTCTTTTTGATAATTGTTCTGAGAAATTGATCGTAACTACTCGTTCGTTCTCGTCTGTTTTATTTTCATTGTCTATCTATTATTAGATAGGACTAAAACGGTGTATATTGTTAGGGGGTCTATTGTTTATTGATATATGATTATGTCTTGGTATGCTTGATGACTGTAGTCTATACCTGTCATAGATTATCAGAATTAGTAATTGTTGTAATAGAGAGTCTTTCTTTATTTTTTTTTCTTGTAACTGTATATTTGAGTACACAGATAGAGAAAGAGACAGCAAGAAAAAAAAGAACGAAAGAAAAGTCATACAAACTATTTCCGACGCAAAGCCAATTCTTTTCTTTCATCGGTATGTATTATACGTATATACATATACATATATATATATATATATACATTTTACAATATGGTAAGAAAAAAAAGAAGAAAAAGAGGCTGATAGTGGGAGGAAGCAAAGAAGAAAATTGTCTAGAAAACGGACTGCTTACTAATATATATATATATGTATATGTATATACGTATGGGTATATACATATATCTATACCGTTATCGTTTTGTAGTCATATTCAACACATGAATTTGCATGGATGATAGGAAAAGAAAGAGACGAAGAGAGCGAAGGAGATTTGGAGAGTAATAGGAAGAGAAAAGGAAATAAATAAACATAGAGTGTGTGTGTATACGAGTGCGCGCGCCAGCCAAAAATGCGAAATAGACGAAGAAGTAGGAGCGATTGTCGTTGGCGCGCGTCGTTTATACATATGTTATCAGCGCACTTCTAACAGAGAAAGAAAAGGAGAGAAGAATGGTTCTCTCCCAAAAAAGAGAGTGGCGATGGCATCAGCAGAGAAATTGCTGTTGATATAAACAGGCATGATGATGCGGTTATTTCCATTTTCTTCTTTCTTTCACTCATTTTTCTGAATCTAGATGTATCTACATATGTATATGTGTTCATATGTTCATCAATTTTAGATACTTTCTCTATACTTTCATCATTGATTGATGTGATCAATTTTAAAATTATACTAAATTTTATGTGAATACGTTTATATCCAATATAAATCGGTGACACAAGACAAGAAAAAAAATGAACAACGATTATCATTTTCAACATCATCCACGTACGGTCATACCCGTGACGGTAAATCCAAGCGATGATCAACGTTTTATACGTTTTCGTTCGTCGGATGGACCATCAAATGATACACATGACCGAATGAGTACACGTATGCGTGATTTTGAAGATGAATGTCGCCGATGGCGAGAAAAATTCTTTAATGAATCACGAACTGAATCATCAGGTGGTTCGTTTCCATCGTCATCAACATCATTAGTTCATTCAAAACCACGAATGCGTGTTGATTTTCCTGATTTTCCGGAATTTGGTGGAGCTGATTGGCCAATATTTCGTGGATCGGCATCTGGTATAGGTACAACACCAAATACATCAGGTCAACGTGCATTTATTGAAGAAGATAATGATGGACGAAAAAAATATAAAATACAATTTGATATTGGTAAATTTAATAAAAAAAACAAACAAAGTATCATTATTGTTTTGTTTTTTTTCTAGGTGAATTTCGTCCAGAAGAATTAAATGTAAAAGTTGATGGTCGTATGTTAATAGTTAAAGGTGATCGTCAAGTAAAAGTTGGTAATGCAACTGAATCAAAACAATTTAATCGTGAATTAACTTTACCAGAATTTGTTGATGCTAAAACATTACAATCATATTTATCTGATGAAGGACAACTTACAATGGAAGCACCTATTCTTATGGATCGTGTTTATAATGATTCGGGTTCATCAGCTCTAACATCAACATCATCAGCAGCAGCAGGTACTTTTCGTCAATCAAGTCCAGGTCGTATTGTTGATACAACATTTCTTACTGGACGTCAACCATCAACTCTTGGTATTGGTATCGGTAATAATCAATCAAATGCATATTCATCATCATCATCCTTTCGACAAGAAAGTAATAGTAGTAATACAGGATTAAATAATTTTCATCATAGTAGTCCATTACGTGATCAATATTCATCAACAAATTCAAGTTCAACTCTTCTTAATAGTGGCAGTGGTATTCCACCTCCAGTAACATTTTCAACAATCACATCACGACCAGAATTTTCTAATAATGATCGTAATGATGGAACAAAAAATGTTACATATAAATTTAATTTAAGTGAATTTGCACCTGAAGATATTGCTATACAAGTTAATGATACAATGTTAAAAATTAGTGCTTTAAGACAAGAACGTGATGGACGTGGAACAAGTCATCGAGAATTTAAACGAGAAATTGGTAAATTTTCTTTGTTGTTGTTATATTTAATAAATTTTTGTTTAGGTTTACCTGATGGTGCTGACGCTAAAAAATTAACAAATACATTAAGTGCTGATGGTATTTTAACAATTCAAATTCCTGTACGTGATTATCGTCCACCATTAACACCCACAACACCTCAATCTCAACAATTTAATTTATCAACAAATATAGGTTCTAATGATACATATACAGTAGGTGATCAACAACTTAAACTTACATTTGATTTAAGTGGTTATAAACCTGATGATGTTAATGTTAAAGTTAATGATAATGTTTTAAAAGGTATATTTTTCGAAAAAAAAATCACAACATAAACTATTATTTTTTTTGTTTGAAATATTTAGTTCAAGCTGTTCATATTGATAATACACGTGGTAATCAAATAAATCGTGAATATATGCGTGAATATGTTTTACCAGAATGGGTTGATGTTGATAATTTACGCGCTAAAATGAGTGAAGATTCAACACTTACTGTTGAAGTACCTATACCACATGACCGTGTACCTGCCTTTAATCGTCAAATTAAAATCACGCAATAGAAGTCCTAGTCATCAATTACTATATTTGTGTGTGTGTATTATAAATTAGATTGATCCTTTTTCTTTTTTTTTTTCGTTTTCTCTGTCTTATCATCTATTATAATATTACCTACGCGAGAGAACGTCGTATGGTAGTGTTCTACATTGAACAGTGTTAGTTTGCCATACGTTTCGTTCATTTTCTTTTTTTTTCTTTGCTTTACTGATTTTGTATTTTGCTGTGTCGAAGAAGAAAAAAATATCTTGTTGATTATAAATGTTTACTTTATGCCATTACGAACGTACTGTTTTGTTACATTTAGCGTGAGTAATTTCATAAAGAATATGTTGTGTTTGCATTTTTCATCTGTTATATGTTGAACGATTGGGAAAGTTTCTTTTTTTTTCGATGCAATAAATTGCCCATTTTATTCGAATTCTTAAGTGATTATGTTCACTACACAATCATTCACTTATTTCCCTTGGCTGTCAAAAGAAAACGTGTAAAAACGACAATTAATCTGTCTATTGGTAACATGATAAAAATGATTATATTCCCTTGTGTGTTATGTTAAGTTGTAGAATTAGAAAGTCACCTGTATTTCTCTCTCTCGTTCTGTCTGTTTATGATTACAACACTATAGCTTGAAATCGTATCATGTGAATGAATAAACAGTATTGATTAAACAATTCAATATAATTTGATTGATCGATCAATTCCATAGAAATATAAATGGATAGAATAAAATAATCATTTATAATTAAAGGTACAATTTTGATGAAAAGAACGGATATATCAAAAGTCATAAATAGTAATAACATCTATATAATTACAATATTTTAATTCTTTTTTTTCTATTGAATAGAATTTTTTCAATTATTTTTATAATCAAAATTATAGACATTAATACTGAACAAACATAAGACAATTATTAATTATGAAAGTGTATATTAGTTCTCACTAAATACGTCATTCTATTGTTGTAGTAGAATGATTTTATGATGAGTAATTCGATGCACACTAGCTGCACCATAATTAAGATCATTTCCAGTCATTGTTAATGCTGGTTGTATTTGTATGTTAGCATGAAATCGACGTTTTATACGATCAAACCATCGTTTTAATTCTTGATTTAATTTCGGTAATGAACTAACAATAGTAAATGGTAATAATTGATTAATAAAACATCCAATAAAATAGAAATAATCATTTTGTATATCACTTAGAAATGTTGGTAACCATAAAAGTTGAATACAACCAACAATAATTGCTGGAGATGCGAAAAGTAATGCAAGACTTGAAATAAAACCAAGTTGAATAACTAAACGTTTTTGACGACCCCAATCTATTCGATGTTGTTGTTTGATTTTTTGCCATATAATACGAATGAAAAGTAAGAGATTTGAAAAAAATATAAGTAAAACTGGTGTACCAATATGAAATAACCAATCAAATGTTCCTAAAGCTGGATCAGCAGAAAGATAACATGGTGCACCACAATAGACAATTGTATAATCATAAATATTAGTACATTGAGGTGGAAAAAAAATAAATTTTAAATAGAATGATGGTACATATAATAAACAAACAGTTAATGGTATATAATGAAATAAGATTAAATTTCGTTTCCGTTTCATCATTTGACTATGAAAAACAAATAAATGTCTTTCAATACAACACCACAGGATAAGATGTAGAGTAACACAATAAAATGAATAATTTATCCAATTCCAAATAGTACAAAATGCATATGTTGGTAGAAGAACATTACCCCAACGTAAATAATATAAATGAAATAGTATATCGGTATTTTTTTGTATAAAACTTACTATGAGTAAGCAGAATGTAACATGATTATGTGGTACATTTAAAATTTCTATTTTGAAATGACGAAAAAAATATATAAAAACAATTAAATCACATAATAATGATGGACCCATAGTCGTTTGTAATATTACATATTTGACCAGTCGAGTTTGATCAGCATCATCAGACATCGGCGAGTCTTCTCTTTTTTTGATAAATAAACAATTAAGATATATAATGAAGAAATTTTTCTATTAAATGTGCCTATCTAAGGTAGATACAATACAAGAAATGTCAATTAGAGAATTTATTATAATATTTTCTAAGATTAAATTTCATTATTTTTAGTATATCCTTAAGTTTAGTTCGAGAAAATATTCGTCTATTTTTATCTGTCTAGAAAAATATTTTTAGCCATTAAATATATATTACATAAAACATGTCAATCTTTGTCATCAATGATACATATGTTTCTATATTTAAAAGGCTTTCTTCTACATTATATATTTTGCTTTGATTAGATTTCTCTAAATAATAAGTCAAAATTGCTTAAGATTTGACATATTAATGAAGTCAGAGGAAATTTATTGTATAAAAAAAGATCTTGAAGAATTTTGATTTTTGCGCACATCATAGACTGATTAAATAGTATTTATAGAAATAGACGCTAATACTCATATTCATATTTATCAATTTTAATTACGTAAATGTCAAAAAAGTTTAACCCACTCAAAATAATAAAGCAATCTATAATCTTCTATTTCTGCCACATGATTAGGATTATATTAGCTAGACAGATAAGTAATCTTTCTAACTAGCAGCTGATAATTTTTCAAAATACAAGTATCATGAATAATATCTTTCTTCTAAATAGAGTTCTATGTGTATATTAATCATATTATAAAGAAGAAATATTACGAAAAGTTCTGTGTTATTTTAGTCCTTCAAAAATAGATGTTAATCAGATTTCCAAGTATATTTGAAGTTCTATCATTTCGCTTATCACGTGTCTTATTTATATAATCATAGATATAAAATTCTATCGCGTTTTTTTTAGAGATGTCATCAAAATTATACATAGATTCGCTCTAAAATGTAAACTACTAATCCATTTTCTAATGAACTATCACAGAGGAACGGTTGTTACCATATATAAATACTTACAGTCTCAAAATGATTTGTTTGTGTTAAAATATCATTTTAAACTACAATATATGCCTAGAGTTACATCTCATTATAAGTTGAAGATAAATATCCATAAATAGTACATTTGTCCTTAACAATCAGCTTTAGATAAGAATGCTTATTTCAACGTATTGAAAATTCAATGATTATTGAAATAATCTTAATAGTAGCAAAACAAAAAAAAGATTAAAACTTGTATTTTATCCTTCAGTGAACCCTTTGACGATGAGCTTATTCTATTGAAAATAATTAAAAAAAGTTTGAAATATATGACAAGTATGTATATAGTACGTTGTGTAAATTAACAGGAACTTGAGAGACAATGATAAATAGATACTAGATATCTAGGGATCTGAACAAATCCAGTATCGATGACGCACACAGGAGTTACTCACTGCACGAGAAGGTTGTGGATATCATTAAGTCAATCCTCACCGACACCTTTGATTTATATATCAACAGATGTAGTTTTCGATAGACTTTTAGAATATGATATTATTTTTCTGAGACACTCTGAAAATAGTGTCATTTTAACCTAAATACCTAGAACATTTTACTTGAGAATTAGAAACGAAAGATCAAATCAATAAAATCGGATACAAAGTTCGCAACATGCATGTATTTAAAAATTACTTTTGATTAAGACATATCAATCTTTTTTATTTTAAAGATCTTTCACAAAAAAACAAAAAATAATTATAAATATACATTTATGTAAAACTTATTCTATTCTGTATTATTCGGGAAAGTATTTATTTGTTGTCGATGATTTGGCGTTTTTGCTGACCTAACTTGCAATTCTATGTTATTTTGATTGTGTTTGAATAAGTTTAAAAATAATTCTTTACATTCATGACGAAATCTTTTCGAAGCCAAAAGATGAACATAAAATAATGAACATGAATTAAGAAAAATGAAAAAATTGAGTGCTAAATAACGAATAAAGTTTTCGATAGCTACACGATCCGATGTTTTGACAATACTCGCTGTAATAGTTAAATACATGGTATCTAACGGATACCATACTGTTGATAGAAGATAAACAACTACTTCACTGATTAGAATAACGATTAATTGTATATCTCGTTTTTTCATTCTCATCGCCAAATTTTCATTTCCATCGACATGTCCTTCGATTGGAAAAACACGAGCACGACTATGTTGAACACTTCGAATAGCCCAAAACGAGAATATGATCATTATTACTAATGGAATAGAAGTAACAATTGTTGCATAAATACTATAAACGATTTGATATACACCTGAACCACCACATCGGCCAGATAATTGAACATCAGTAAGAAGCAGGACATGAATTGGTATAACTAACCATAGAATAGTTGTAATAATCACCAATCTAATAGCTATATGACGTTGACTTAAACGACGAATATAAGCGTGACTTGAACATAAAGCAAATCGATCTACGCAAGTTAAAGCAACAGTTGAACGAGACATCATTAAGAAAGCATGTGTTGTATATGCTCTTGTTTTACACACTATTGATATATATAAGGCGGGATCTTCTCGTGAATAAGTAGCTATAATTACCGGTGTTATACAACATACAATTACTAATAAATTAAAAATAGATGTTGCTTTGAAATAAATTGAACATGAACTTGTACGAAGATTTTTTTTAGAGAATACAAAAAAATTAAGAAAACAACCAATAATACCCAATATGGAACATATCATTAAAACATAACGAGTTAAAATAAGTTGTGCCAAAGCAAGACATTCTGCTAATTTCATTGATTTTTTTTTCTAAAAATTAAATTAAGAAGAAAAATTATTTTTATTCAGTTCGAAATATATCACAATGACTTGTCCTCGTAAAGTTTGTTTGTTGTTGTGATTTTTAGTAATATTATTGTCTAGCAGAAGACATCTCATGTTTTATTTCTCTTTATTTTCTCTAATACCTGTCAAAAATCTTAGATCTTTTCATTAACTTTAATTTATTTAATAGAGCTTACATTTTTATGCTCGTTTCACAATTATTTACCATTACATCGAACGAAATTTTTTATCTTACTTGAACATCATTCATTTATGAACAACAAAATACAGTCTATTACTGTATTGATTGACTTTAAAAGAAAGATACATTCCGCTTCGATATGAAATCCTCTCACTAGTAGATATAGAACAGATGAATCTAAGCGCATCTTTTAAGATAGAATCACATATAAATGACCGTATATTACAAACACGTCTATACACATTAAAAAATAACTACTAATACATTCTCAAAGAAATAAATCTAATTATTATATGTAGTTTAATTCTATATTTTGGCTATTAGTAGTGATTGATTAGATTAAGAATACAAGAAAAAGAATTCAAGTCTATAATCTATGAATCAAAAATTACAATTGTCTTATTCAACTTATCTGTAGATATCAATTATAAAAACTAATGTAGGAAACTTAGATCGAATAAGTCTTAAAATATTCTAAAAATTGGTTTTTATACCTAGAGCAATTTTTTCTACAAGATGAGATATCTCGCAGCTAAATGAATTCGAAATCATGGATTGAGCAGGTATATTGGAAAATCGGTTGTTCTTGTCATAGTCATTGATCCTGAATTTCTTTAGATCTCTAAATATCAACTATCTATTTATCGTTCTCTCTCATATTGTTGTAAACCCACAGAAAATACTATATACTTACTTATCTTACTTTTCAAAAGGTAAAGAAAGTTAATTAAAAATGAGTAGTCAATTATCTCAAAAGGTTTCTTTTTTTTGCTAATTATTTTCAAGAAAATAAGCTTATCATCAAAAGGTTAACTGAAGGGCAAAACACAAGTCTTAATCTTCTCTTTTGTTCTGTCATTATTGAGACTGTTTCAATGATCATCGAATTTTCACTACGTTGAAATAAGCATTCTTATCTAAAACTACTTTTAAAAACAAATATACTATTTATAAAGAGATATAATCTTAGCAAATTCACTGTTCCCATGTGAAAAAAATGAGTACTTGTTCTACGTCAATTTTATATTTTTGGAGTGTATCACGTTTATATACCACAAAAATAAGTTTTAAACATATGTTAGATGTTTTTCTTTCGTGCAATACATATGATTCAATTGTCTCTCTTAGAATGATACTGAACTAACTTTATTGGAGAAATGATAATTATGTATATATATGAACGAGCTAGGAAATATCAAACATTCCAAAACTAAAATATGACGAAGAATAGAATATGTCTGAACAACATAAAGAGAAGGAAAATGGGCAAGTGAAAAAAAGATAGTACTTCTTATGCAAGAAACCATTCTGCTTAGCTTGCTTTCATGAGTGGCACTAAATATCATTATTGGAACTGGTGACTATTCTTTTATTTTCATTTAAATTGGTAAAGACGAACAGTTTGTCTTATATTGAAACACTCTTTTGTAATAAAAACATCTGAAATTGAGCATTCACTTTTTTCTCAATTAAAAGCAAAGCGCTATGTTTTTTAGAATTTTATTATGTCCAGTGCATCGTATGTGATTCAACCTAAAACTAGAATGCTTCTTTACATCGTACCGATACATTCTAATAGTCTAAATATAGTCAGCTAGTTGCGTTTAACAAATTCTAGCTTCAAATATCATATGCAGCGCATGCATCATATATGATGCATTCGACAGTGAACGTGTTAGGCATATATAGTAGTTTGAAATGATATTTACTGTAGAACAAATCTATGCAGGATAAGTGTGGGTATCATTCAGTCAATCCTGACCAACACTCACACCCTCAAGATGCAACCTATTCAACATAGATACTTACTGTTAAGAATACCATAATACAACCCATAACAAACAATCATATTAGCAAAACGATCTAATATAAAGTTATTTATACTTTAGCATAAAATTTTCCATTCTTCTTTGGTGTATGATTACCAATGTTTGCAATTGCGTATTTTAGTATATCTATTTCACTTTGATACAAATTGCTCATTAACGAAAGACATGTATTCAACTATCCATCATAATCATGAAAATCTTTCCAGAAAGCTGTGCACAATTTTTTATATAACCGATATTTTTCTTCACAGGAAATAGACATCAAAGAAAAGCGTATTCTACAGGGAATTGTTTATATATTTTAAATTTTTATAGGAAACAATCAGTGACAACAAAAACAAACAAACAAAATAGCACTGGGTTTACATATAAGGTTGAAGACGTTCTTTGGAAGTAACAAGTACGTATAGTGATGATAATCCCAAGCCAAAAAGACTGCCTCGTAAAGCGCTTTTCCAACCAGCTGTCGATCGATAAAGGAGACCAGTTAAACCACCACTGGCCACTGTATTTAATTCATCATCAACATCACGTACCCAACTAATACCTGTACCAATTAAACTATAGATTAATGCTAGAAAAAAAACAACATTTAAGAATAAATATATATTACTATTAGCTTTAAATATTCTACCTATTGAGCCCATCGCAGACGCAGTGGTAGCACCTTGTCGACCGACATAATTAATAATACTAAAAAAGAATAATCAGATTACTAAATAATAGATTCATTTTATGGTCGTATCGAACATACGCTGATGTTCGCACAGATCCAGTTAAATCTCGAGTTTCACGAATACCACGATACAATCCTGAGCCAGCACCAATAAAGCTTCCTATGAACGCGAAAAAAGAAACATCTCTTTGGATATTATCCTATGTTTTTATATTTCACAAACCAGCAATAACGGAGCCACCAATGGTAAAAAACATCAATTCAAGTCGACCACGTTTTTCTTTTTGGCCTTCGGGCAGAATAAATTGTGATCCACTCTAAAAATACTTTTCAAATTAATCATTATCAAATCAATTAAAATCAGAGCTAAGCACGTAAAAACAACGAGTCTCATAATTCTAAAAAGACCACACGCAGACTTCACAATTCTATATCACTGACACGACCTTTATCAAGTACAATGAATTTCAATTATATATGCTCACTGATATCACTCTAATTTTTTTTTATTAAATTCATATTACATTGTAATGTTTGATACTTGGATACAAGTATAAGTACTAGACATTGTAAAATATTCATACCGGATTTAATACTTGTGGATCAAAATTTAAATAAGGTGATAAAGCATTTGTACCGGGCGTTGAATGAACTAATAAAATAAATTATATACATACACTAAATCTTCAAAATTTATTGTTCAATACTTACTAGGGACATCTGTTACTGGTTCCGGTAAATTATAATTTCCAAATAGGCTAAATCCACGTTTATTTTGATCTTTAGTATTATTAAAATCCATTAGTCTGAAAAGAAACAAAAAAAAATTAATGAACAATTATTTTTTCTACATTTTAATATAAAGGCACATAAATGGCTCGTATTGTTTTTAAACAATTATTCACATTCTAGAAACAAATAAATGATCTATATGAGAATACAGATAAAAAGAAACAAAAAAAAAGTGAGAGAGAGAAGAACAGAAAAAAATGAGAATTGTCTGAGATGTTCGATAGCGCCATATACAGCACCTTAATACCATAGTTGAGATATTATGAGAATTAATTATCAAAAGAAAATAGAAGTATCACACACACAAATAAACAGAGAATTTTTTAAAAAACAAACAAATGCATGCTAATTGCTAAATTCAGGATTTTCGCCGTTATATTCATTTTCAAGACGATATTGTAATGTACTAAATGATGGTCGATTTTCTGGTTGAGCATGCCAACATTCACGCATGATTGTATAAAGTGTTGCTGGACAATTTGGTGGTTGTGGTAAACGATAACCTTGATCAACTTGTCGTAATACTTCCGCATTTGTCATACCAGGATATGGAGTACGACCAAATGTTACTAATTCTGTTAATAGAATACCATAAGACCAAACCTGAAGAAAAAAAATATTAAAAGATAAAAAATTCAAAATTTTCGTTTGTATTTACATCGCTCTTAATTGTAAATCGATTATAAAGTGCAGCTTCAGGTGCAGTCCATTTAATGGGGAATTTTGTGCCTTCTTTTGCTTCATACATACCACCAGCATATTCCTAGAATATTTCAAAACAATAAAATTATATTCATTTTCATTATTATATCAGACGTTTTGAAAAACTTTTTCCAGAATTTTTTTACTAAGCGCAATATTTAATAAAAAGTCGATGAAGCAGTTTTATTCTTTATTTTTTCACAAGACATTCTGTCGTATTAGATTATTTTGAGCAATACATAGAGAATTATATGAAAAGCAAAAATCGAGCAAGAAAAACATTTTCAAGCTTAGTCGGACATAGTTTGAATCAATCAACAAAATATTCAATAATTACCTTAATTTCATCCTAATAAAGCAAAAATAAATCTTAGAGAACGTCAAATCTTATCAATAATCTACACTTAAATTTTTCTAAAGTATCATCAGGATTAGAAAATGATTCGTATTTCTAAACAAACCTTAATTATTCTTGCTAAACCAAAATCCGCTATTTTAACAACATTATCATCACCGACAAGAACATTTCGAGCTGCGAGATCTAGAATAAAATATTATATCGTTTTATTTTCTAAATTACGATTAATTTGATAATGATTAACCTCGATGAATATAATTTTGTTGTTCTAAATAAGCCATTCCTCGTGCAATTTGTGTAGCAATATATACTAAAGCTGGAATTTTCAATTGTCGACTACGTGGATCTAAATAATAAAATTTGTAATTATATTTAAAAACAAAAAGAACGTTCTTTACTTTGTAAATAATCTAATAGGCTTCCATTTTTCATTAATTCAGTAATTATATAAATTGGTTCTTCAATTGTACAAACAGCAAATAATTGGATGAGATTAGGATGTCGTAATCGTTTCATCATTGAAGCTTCAGCCAAGAAATCAGTTGGATTCATTGAACCTGGTTTAAGTGTTTTAACTGCAACAGATACATTATCATTCCAAACACCTTCCCAAACATCACCAAATTGTCCATGACCAAGACGTCGAATTAGTTTTATTTCACGTCGTAATATTTCCCATTTATCAACAAGATTATGTGATAAACCGTCTGGTTCAGGTTTAATAATCTATAATTATAATGATTAAGAAATATAAATAGATATATATATATATAAACATTTTCTCTTACATGTACACAGGGTTGTCTTAAATTTACACATAAACCATCTGACGTTTTAGTATAATGAATTACAAGTTCAGGTAGATTAGGAAATGTTGTTCGACGTGCTATATAATATCGACCATCTTCACTTTGACGTATTCGATAATGTTTGACGGAATCATTATCACGAACTATTCATAGATAAAATATTCAATTGTAATAAAAATGAAATAATTTGAAAAAATTAATTTACTTGAAAGAGAAAAATCAGTCTTCTTTGTTTCACTATCTCGAATCTAAATAATAAAATATATAATATAAATATCAATAGGAAGATTTCGCTTTTACTTCATATGAGCCTGTTAGCATAAATAGAGTTTTTTTTACGGATATTGTATCTCGAGAATGTTTAGTCCAAAAATTTTAGAACTTTGTGGATGAGCTACTATGGTTAAAGTCTTAATATAGGCAAAGTTTTACGTCAAAAATCCAAACTATGTACAACATTTGAGCTCAAAAGCTTTTTTGACACCTCGAGTGGTTTCCTCGTTAGATAATTGTTGATCTGTCTAGAATAATATTTGTTTCTTTCCAAGGTCTAATTCAGCTTGTATCTATTAAAATACATTTTTTCTCTTGTTTACTACAAAATATCGATTGTTTTATATTTATGCAAAATTGCCAAGATTCATTGCTTACAATAAACTTTAGTATTTCATTTTATAAGACACAAACACTTCGAAGAAGTTTGAATGATTACATATGAGTCTCATTATTTTTCATATACATTTTCAATCGATTTTTCATTAATGATTATAATTATATAAAAACAGATATTATCTAAATATCTATTAGATTGATCTTAGTCTTCATAAAATAATGAAGGACATTATGTTTAAAGAAATGGAGAGAGAAAAAAAAATATTCACATTTTCTATTCAATTCAATACCTATTCATTCGATTACATAACCCTCTTTTTTTTAACAGTATGACTCGAAAATGAATATAAATGGTAGAAGTATATGAACATAAAAATTTTAATTTAAATATTTCTTTTTCATAACTTAATCGAAGGTTAAATAGACTATTTTACGTACAAGAAAACTTCCATGTTCATTAACATCTGACATCAATTGTTTTTCAGCATCAATTCGACGTATTGATTTAAAATACCATCTACATATATATAGAATAAAAATAAGAATAAAAATATAGAAAAAATTTAATACGAACGGTTCTGATTCTAAACTATCTTTTTTTGCAACATAATTTGATGGAATCCAACCTTCTTTTCCATTTTCATTTTTAGCTTTCCACCATGCCGCATTTTTTCTAAGCGTTATTTCAAGTAGATCATTTTTTCTTATTGTTAAATCATCATTTGTTCTTGCATCATAATCAAATATAGCCACATATTGAAAACGAGTATTTTCATTAGTAGATTTTAAAACAATTGCTGAAGTTGTTGATGATGATGCACTTGAAACACCTGATGATGAAGGTGTAGTGATTCCATTAGTATTTGAATTATTAATCGAAAATTGTACTGATGATGGTGAAATAATCGGCTGTTGTTGTGAATTAACTGATAAAGGTGAATTAGGCACTTGATTCTTCTGTAATTTAGAAGATTTCCCACGACCAAAATTAATACAATTTCCCATATTTCGCTAAATCATATAGATATATTCATTAAAGATTTAGTATATGAGAAACAAAAACAAAAAAAAAGAAGGGTTTCATTAATTGTCTTACATTCTGCTGTTCAATTTTATAACGAACATTTCTCTGTGATTGTTCAATTAATAATTTTCCATCAATATGATCAAAAAAAGAATTTTTTCGTGATTTTAATCCATTATGCAGCAATTGCTGTACATATGATTTATAAGATTCAGCCATTTGACTTCGATTTCGTCACTCGACTCTTTTTTTATATCACGATGCAAACATACGTACAATTTCTATTCTTCAAGTACACATACAAATCAAAATTTCTATGTGTTCAGTTTACATCGTCACCATATTCCTCTCTTTCGTGTATATGTCTTTATAAAAGACCGAAAAGTCAAAAAGAAAAGAATCATTTTTCTTTCCTTCTTCGTTTTCTTTTTTCACTTTTATACAACAGGTCGATATTCATTTGATTAATCAATTACTCATTATTATATAAAAATTTTATTTACCTGTTTATTTTCGTTTGCCAAGTATTAAATATTCTAAATAAATAAAAATTCATTAATTTCGACGTTTTCTTGTTATTAATTATAGAATATTTTCATACCTTGATAAAAGATCTTCCTCATCTTAATTGAAGATCTAGAAAAAAAAATTTCTATAAATTTTTTATTTAACACATTAAAATATGTACAGTTTTCTTTTTTTTGCCTATAGAGTAATAAAAACAAAAGAATGAAACTTCAGACATTCGAATAACAGTTGTTATTGTATGTAATGTAGAAGATGAAGAAAAAAAAAAGTAATATGATGTTTGAGAATGAAAAATGATATCATTTTTTTATGGACAAATATGACTGTTTAGTCTTGATATAAGCAAATGTGTGCTCAAAAATGAGTTTTGTTCAGATTAACAAATATAGGAATGACTATTTATAATGTCTCGACGACAAGACCTTGACCTTATTTTGAATTTATTCTCAATATTTTTTATTTATAGACAATATTGATCAGTATCATAAAATAATAAACAACTCATGAATGTCTATACGAACAGATGAAAGAACAAATAATTATTGACCTCGAATATTATCCATAAAACGATTTCTTTTTTTTTATGGGGAAAAAAGAAGCAAATAATACTAAGAATTTAATTAAGATAAAGAAAAAGAAAGTATGAATATAATATTGTAACTTAATCAACGAAAATATTTGAAGATGTACAGACTCGTTGAGCTGATGAAAGGGTGATGATGTTGATGACATGACATACACTGAGCATTGCAACTACTACTACTACGAAATTATTGTTTTGAATTTTTTTCTATTGGTTGTAGATCATTGTAATATTTCAGAACAACGTAGGTAGATGTCGCCAATAATCGTCAAAATATAGACATATATTTTTTTTCACTCTTTGACTTGTAAAAAATAATTTCGATCAATAATTATTCTTAAATATCAATTGATGGACACCTGAAAAATATATATCATCAAAATACGTAAGCTTTTTAATCACTATTTATATAAAATTCTTCTTCAAATTCTTGCCTAAATATAATACTAGTCATTTTTACTAGCTGAAGTCATCATTTTTTATGAAATCTATAGAGACGATATGAAGTAAGAACATAATTCTGTAGTCTTCATTTTCTTCAACTAATTAATCAAGAATACAAGTGATAAAATCGATTTGAAAGTAAGTATATTTGATTGAGTTTAAATAGAATACAAGTGACATTTATCGTTTCTATTTGATGAATATTTTATTTAATCCTTATCTTAATACATTGTAATTACACAACGCGTGGCAATTGGCGTCTTCTTAGTTTTCATAGTAATAAAGAACAAAAATTTGTTACGACTAGTTGTTCGCAAGCAAGAAGGATATTGATAAGAAAAAAAGTAGAGTAAAATGACTGCGAGCAATCATGTTTTATCGGATTTTGCTAATATAAATCGACGTTTATGGAATGACAAGGTTGATTATCATGTTGCTTCGACTATGTATGATGTTTCTGGATTTCTTCAGGGCAATGATTCATTGAACTCGATTGAAATCGACCTATTAGGCAATATTCAAGAAAAACGTATCATTCATTTACAATGTCACTTTGGACTTGATACGCTTTCACTTGCTCGACGTGGTGCAAAACAAGTGATAGGAGTTGATATTTCTGAAAAAGCAATTGCAAAAGCTCAAGAGTTAGCGACTGCCACAAATCTAACTGTATCAACTCAATTTATTTGCTGCAATATCTATGATTTACATCAACATTTATCGTTGCATGAATCCGAAAATCTCTTTGACATTGTTTTTGCTTCTTATGGTACAATTAATTGGTTACCCGATATCAATCAATGGGCTCATATTGTTTCCAGTTGTTTGAAGCCAAATGGAATTTTTGTTATGGTCGAATTTCATCCAAGTTTAGATATGTTCAACGAAGACTATACACGTATTGAAAACTCGTATTTTAATCAAGGACCGATTGTGAGTGAACGCGAAGGTACTTATGCTGATCGTACAGCACCCATTCGTAATCAAAGTGTAGAATGGTGTCATAATCTAAGCGATGTTATTCAAGCACTCATACAAAATGGACTACGTATTGAAACTATCAAAGAATTTGATTATTCACCATACGACTGTTTTCCTAATTCGGTGAAAACAACCGATGGGTTCTATCAAATCAAAGGATTAGAAAAGAAAATACCGTTGGTATACGCTCTCAAAGCAAGCAAATCAACATGAATTTTATAATGATATCATTGCCGAGTATTCAAACAATTTAGATTGATAGAAAACCGACATTCTTTTTCTAATTGTTCAAACATAATCTATAGAAATGTATTAACATTTGAATAAAGTAAAACATATCTTGAGAATATGCGAGTAACTCATCAATTTTGATAGAGGGCGTTAATTATCGATTATTTAAATAATTCTCATACAATTAAATTCGATAAAATAATTACACAAAACTAATTTGTAATATTTAATTCAAATTATCTATTTTTATTTACAAAGCTTGACTACATAGAGGTAACGTCGATACCATATCTGCTATGAATAATGCATGACACCATTTAGTGTCGTTATTCTTCCTTCTATTCACCGCTATAATCTATACTATTCTTCCTCACTTCAAAACAAATACCTTGATTTATTCTCTTTCTCATAACATAAAAATACAGTTTGATTTTTTCTTTAAGACTTATATATTTAAAACTCAATTATTTGCTCATCATGGTATGACACTTAACAAAAAACGAATATTAATATAAACTATTTCTTTATAGGGATTACTTGATATATTACGCAAACTTCGTTCGACTCCACAAGATGAACTTCGTATTTTACTTTTGGGTCTTGATAATGCTGGAAAAGTAGAGATATTTCTTTTTATCCATAAATAGATATTGAAACGAGAAACTTTTCTAGACAACATTACTCAAAGTTCTTGCTTCAGAAGATATTTCACATATAACACCAACACAAGGTTTTAATATTAAAAGTGTGCAATCAACTGGCTTTAAACTTAACGTTTGGGATATTGGTAATATTCATACGTCTTGTTTTTTTCTCAATGTTTTATTTGATAATTTTTTGTTCTATAGGCGGTCAGCGAAAAATACGTCCATATTGGCGCAATTATTTTGAAAATACGGATGTTTTAGTATGAAAAAAATATTGATTTTATTCTATAAAATACATACGATTTTATTTAGATTTATGTTATTGATAGTTCTGATCGAAAACGTTTTGATGAAACAAATCAAGTATGTTGTGTCTACTAAAAATTCAATTTACTAACCCAGTCCTATTACAGACGTGTCTTATTTTCAGTATAAAAGATGTTTACTTAAATATCAAGAGTTCAAAATCTCCCATTAATCTAAACAATAAAAAACACGGATTATTTGAAAATGAAGATATGATTCTGATTCAAGGAGGGAAAAGCGATACTTCCGTACTCCCACTGTACTCCCATTATACTCCCATTGTACTTCCTTGTACTCCTACCGTACTTCTCTGAACTCCCATCGTACTCCCCTGTACTTTCATCGTACTTCAAAAACGTTTTGAAGTAGATGAAGTCTCGCTTTTTCCGTCTTGTTCTGATTCCACATCTGAAAAATAATTTAATTCTATAATATCTGAACGGAATATTCAAAATTTTGATCCTATCTAAAATCATATTTGATATAAACAATTAAAATATATGAATTCATAAAGAACTTTTCTTATTTTCTATAGGAACTATCGGAATTACTAGAAGAAGAAAAATTACATGGTGTACCATTACTTGTTTTTGCTAATAAACAAGATTTATTAAATGCTGCTAAAGCATCAGATATAACTGATGGTTTATCATTACATCAAATTCGTGATCGACCCTGGCAAATACAAGGCTGTTCAGCGTATACAAAAGAAGGTGTTAAAGTAAGATATGATCTATCTATAATTTTGTTATATTATTTCTTTTATTTTTTTAGGAAGGTTTGGAATGGATATCAAAAACTGTCACAAAAAATAAAAAATAGACAAATTTCAAATTTTTTCTTTCTTTGTTTTTGTGTGTGTATATCAATTATTTATTTGCGTTTAATGCTTAATTATACAAAAGAAAACAAATATCTACCGAGCTACTATCAATGCATACCAGAACAAATTTTGTTCATTCTTAAATGAGAATATACGTGTGTCATTTGTGAATTGCGTTCATTTTTTGTTTTTTTGTACTATTACCGAGTGTGTATGTGAGTTATATTCAACATGCTGAATATAAAGAAAATCTTGTGTTGTGGCTTTTTATGTGTTTGCTGATTTTCTCAGAAAATATGTTTAGAAATGAATATATATTATTTCACTTTTTTTGTTCTTGTATAAGAGATATTGGTATAAACAATATGTTGAAATGTTGCATAACTAATGATAAAAAAAGAGTAGAATTCATACATTCATTTATAAGAAAGAATTTTTAATTAAATTTATTTATGTAAGTTTTGAATACTCATAGTTGTCATATTAATGATATGCTGTTGTGTAAGATGAATGTCTCAAAATAGAAAAGAAACGTGTAGATGAGAGTAAGTAGAATAGTGAGATGAATTAATTTATCTGAAAGTACGTGAAAGTCTTTTATACAGAGACTGATGTTCGATGATTTCAGAAGCAGTGATTTATCTAGAGGGAGGGCCAGGATGGCGGCGCTCTCTCGGAGACTGATTTTACCCTCCTGAAAATTGCAATTTTTGTGCTTATACTATGTATTTTCCTTCCAGAAATTAGGTTTTTGCACTCCCGAAAATCGCTATCGCACTCTCAGAAGGAAACGCCTCGATAAAACATAGTTCAGAAGCAAAGAATGTATATGAAGATTCTATCAATAACCAAATGATTGAACTAGTATTATTTACATTATCACCAGATAATTATATATACAATTAAAGAAAAAAATAGAATCAAGATATTTCTGTATTATTATACTGACTTACTTGAATTGCACCAGTGTGCATTCATAACTGGTATCCTAGCAACGCTTATAGACTTTAAATCAGTCTTTTTGCATATCCTGCGTTCATATTCTTTTGGGAAGGATGGCTATAGTTCATTGATTCTTTGACAATTGGCAAAATTCGAAAATCTCGTAATATTATCTTGACTGTGAGAGAATTTCGTTTATTACGAGTATTTTATCAATATGGTGCGTCTTCGGGATTGAGTATTTTCAAAATAGAGACTTCAGCTTAATTCTTGGATTCTTCTGAAGATGTACAATGAATAGAGAATAAAATTCTCTATCAGGCTATTGTATTTTCGGATCTCACTCAACATGTATTACAGGACAAATACCAACGGGATTTAAAAACCCGACAAATCGGGGTTTTTCTAATCCCGCAGATATTTCTTCATCATATATCTTGAATGAGATCTGAAAGTACAATAGCCTAATACAGAATTTTATTCTCTATTCATCGTACATCTTCAAAAGAACCCAAGAATTAAGCTGAAGTCTCTATTTTGAAAATACTCAATCCCGAAGCCGCACCTTATTTATCAATCATGTTATTGATTCTCGCAAAGATTTCTTGGTGTTTACTTTTCAATATATTATTTTAAATCATATATATTCTAATAATCAACTGTATATTCCTTGTTTATTCCTTTTCCGTATTCACAAACAAAAATTCCAAATTACACAAAAAAAATATACGACTAGGAACAAAAAAAAACGACAATCAAGACAAAGCACTATATTTTTGTCATCAATCAAAAATAAATAAACTTGCTGGTTTATAAAATAGCACAGGGTTATACGCGTAAAAAGTATGTAAGAAAATTTTTCCTGATCACAGTAAATTTCCCAATGAAAAATAAAATAAAACAATAACCGAGAATAATTTAAAGATTGAGAAAATTATCTAATAAATATGAAAAAAAAAATATATGTATATATATATTTTAATATGGGATGGAATTTTGTTGATATTGTATATAATCATAAATACGTGTTCGTAAACTGTGTGCACAACGATTTATCACTTCATGCATATAACGAGCTGCCTCAGCTTCACTTGCATCCGGTTTAAAACGAGCATTTAATTGTTCTAATGTATGACCACGAAAACATGGTAAACCAGTATCAAGCATAAGTGCAACAAGTGTAATAAAATGTTGTCGATAAGGTCTAAAATTAATATTTTTACAATTTATGAAAAAGAAATTATAAGTTTTGACGTTTACAATAATAACATGTTCTTCTGTATGATTAAGAAAGTATTAGATTGATAATGATATGTCATTAACAGAAAGGAAATGCTATCGGATTTAGAATGTCAGAAATATGAGTAGTATTTAGTAACTCTTCATTTAGATTTAACAACTGTTGTAAAAAAGTTGAAGCTCATAATCATCGATTTAAATAAAAATTTCGAATCTATTTTTTTTACCTTAATGCTAAATAGCCTTTAATACATAATTCTTTAAACCATAAGAATGCAGGAGCTGTTAAATCACCCATAATAAGAATCATTTCAGCAGTTAATTTAATATCCGGTTCAAATTTCATATTTCCACCTGGTGATGATTCAAACATAAAACCAAAATCTACCAAAATCAATCATTAATATATTCAAATAAATATATCTCTACAAACCTATATGAATAATATGTCCTTCATCATCAATCCTAAAATATTAATATTCTATATAAAACCTTTTTTTCATAAATTATAAATACAAACATTATATTTCCATTATGACGATCTTTTATTTGTAACATAAAAAGTGCTACTGAATATGCAGCCATACTTATAACAAAATTTCGTCGAGCCTAAGTAAAATTAACATAAAATAATTATTTTTATGGAATAAAATATTTTACTTTTTGAAATTTTATTGAATCATCTTTACCATAAGTATGTCGAAAATATTCAAATAAACCAACTTCAGTACTTCTACCAATATCTTCACGTGAACGAGAGTCTGGTACACATTCAATAACACCACACTAGATAAAATTTGTTTTTTGTTCTTTTCAGTAATAATAAACAAAAGCAACTTACACCAGGACTTGTTGCAATAACTCGATATGTATATAAATATAATTCTAAACCTTCTTGTTCAAAAATATTATGAAATAAACGCATTAATTGTAAAGCTAATATATCCTAAATTAGAAAAAGAATTACTTTTTGAATATTTGAAAGAAAAAAAATTTAATTATACTTGTCGAACATCATCACCAACTTTAAAAATAGCCATTTGTTTATATTGATTACTAAAATCTGGTATAAATACATAATCAGGTTCAGCAGCGCGTTCAACTTGTCCGATACCAACATTTTGTACACGAAATGTTGCTCGATATGGTGCTTTAGCCGCACTAATATTTAAGTAAGAAAACAATTTTTATTTGAAATTTTCTATGCAACTCTTATTTACCTTTGCATAGGTGCACCAGTTTCCGGTAATAATGATATTACAATTGCTTCAGGATTGGATGGAAGATAAACAATAGAGTTTACTTCACTTCCAATTTCTTTCAAGGCTTTTAGACAAGCTATTAAAAAAGAAATGGTATTTTATTTTTTGCTAAGCATGAGGTCCATAATAACAACTGGCTACTGATTTATAAAGAGTATACAAAAGATGCGGATGAAAATTAGGGAACTAAAAGAATCTTTTCAACTTCGCCCACCTCTCCAAATTTTGAGCCTCGGCTGAAGATTCGGACCTGGACTATCGTGAATCGGATGAGATGGGCTGATCCCCTCTCCCAATCCTAAAAGACTCGCGATAGCGCTGATTAATCCAGACAAAGAAGATAACTGTTTATTTCAATATGATTTGTCTATTATTATTTAAAAGTTCAGTAATGAAATTGAGGTCCGTCTAATTATAGCATTCCTAATTTATGATTCATACCTTCTTTACGTTCGTTTCCTTTTGGATAAATTTTAATAATATCTGATACATTCGTAAGTTGATCAGAAAATTTAAAAACATTTTCATAAAAATCTTTTGCAGTTGATGTAAATGCTGTTTCAATTTGTTGTGCTATTGGTTCTAATTTTATTTTCATTTCATTATCTGGTGTAGTTTCATTTTTAAATATATTTGTTCGAATATTCCATATAAGTTGATGTGCTAATAAATTTGATTTTCTTGATAAAGCTAAAAGTAGACGACGTACAAAACCCATCTAAAATAAGATAATTGAAATAAATAAACAAGTAAAAATATGAATATTACTTCATCGTAACGAACAGCTTGTACTAATTGTGGAATATATAAAATAAGTGCTTCGGATTTTGTTGTATAAAGTATACGAGAAGCAAATTGAATTGTATAAGAATTTGCGACTTGATTAAGACGTGCACTAGCAAAATAAGCAAGTGCAGCAACAGGATTAATTGAAGCCCAAGTGAGAATGTGAGATGTCTAATAATGAATAATTATATATAGATAGATATGTATTATTTCTATTTACTTCACAATGTCGAATATTATTATCTGATATAACTGTAAATATATTTAATGCTTCTGGCAGATGTCGAACTTGTAATGGATATGATTTAACAAGTCGTTGAATTTCAGTACGTAATGGTTCTTTTGGAATTCTAAATTGAAATTATTATTATTGTTTTAACTAAATATTTCAATGAAATTTACGCATAATAAAGACTAATAGCTAAATCAGGTGAAATCAGCCAAGCTAATCGTCCATATTCTCTCCATGCTTTATTTGATGTTCCATTCATATCATATAATTTCCAATTTGTATATGTTGATTGTGTATCTGTATCAAATTGAAGATCCGGACGACCCAATGGATTATGAAATGTTTCCAAACGTTCAATTTCATAAGCCTTTGAAAAAAAATCAATTGATTTTAAATAGATATTCAAAAAAATATAACTTACAAGTAATGTTAAAAGAAGATTACGTTTTTTAAGTAAATCACGTGATAACACTCCAGCATCATTGATTTTATCAGTGTTTTTTGTTGAAGCTATTTAAACAAAAGATTTTAGTATTCGAAAATAAAATCATATATGTTAATAAAACAATAATAGTATTTTTTTTTAAATTCAATAATTAGTATTCAAGCTAAATTAGTTTAAGATCACAGCTGCCTACCTCGAAGTGATCCATTACGATAGAAAGCTTAGTTAATAAGAAAAAGAAAATATTATAGTATCAATGAATAAATATTTCTTATCCAAGGATTTCGAATGGAAAGCATTGGTTCTGGTTAAAATTCAGTCAAAAGGTTATCTATGTCGTTCTAACCGTCGACTAATCTGCTAGTTAACCGGAAAAGTGATCGGTTAATATCCAACAGAACGATTAGCTTTCCGATTAGAAAAGTAATCGAAATCAGCTGACTGAAGTCAGGAGTGGTGCGATTCAGCCAACATTGAGGAGTGTAGCATTATATTTGGTGAAAAACCTAGGAAGATTTGCCGATTTTGTTGAGCAAAAAATAGAAATTTTCGAAAGATTGGGAAAGCTCTACACCCCTGACTGAAGTACTATGTAGTGATCTCTGTTAGCCTTCAATTTTCTTCTACGAATTTTTTAGATAGATAATTAGTATATGAGAAATTTAATGAGTAATTAAATCTACTTCATGCGATTAATATCATCTCAGTGTTTTAATAATTAAATGCGATTTATTTTAATAGATCAATACATGGAGAATAGTTGTGGGTATCATCATGGTGGAATAGATGAATCCTTCGTTGTTGACGATGAGCTATAAGGAAAAAATGATCTCTTTTTTTTATCAATGTAATGACATATTTTAATTAGAATTATTGAGTATGAATCATAGAAATCATAACTATGCTTATTTTGAAATGACTGGATATCTAATTAGTCATGATTTTAATTAAGAAAACAAACTGTTTACTAGATTTTCGACTAATTGTTGTTTGACCGCCGACTCCCGCCACGGCTCCACCACCACCAGCTAATGAATTAATCAAACCTGATGGTATTCCACTTTTTAATGAACCATCACCTATTTCATTATTAGAATTTTTATTCGACATTGAATTTTCGAAATCAACTAAACAAATACAAATGATAAATTTATCTTTATCGTTAAAAATCAAAACAAACTTTTAAATGTTGAATCATCACAGAATTTTTTTTCACCATGTACTAATGAAAAAAATCGAATTAATCTTCGAATATCATTTCGTAATTCATTATGTGATTGAGTTGGACAATGATGAAGAATTCTATTAGAATAAATTTATATTTCTTTTGGATTTTACTATTCGTTGCTTACGTAAAATATTCAAATGCTGTATGATAAATTTTTTCTCGAAGTAAATATTTACTAATACCAGTCGCTAAATAATCACTTTGTACAAGATACAATGCAAGATATAAAAGTTGAAATCTAAGACCAACAGATTCAATATGTTTCGTCATTGGTGCTTTAGAATTTTCCGTTATTAATGAAAGTGATTTATGAAATAAATCAACAAGCATTTCCATTTCAATATCAGATTTGTGCATACATAAATATACACGTTCTTCAATGAACTAAAACGAATTTCAAATGAATAATAATTTCGGAAACAAAAGTAGTTACTTTGAAAAATATTCGATGTGGATTAATCGATGGTGGTTTAGGTTTTAATTCTTCATTTTCTGATGGAGCAAGTGGAGATGGCTCAGGTTTATCAATTGAATATAATCCGTGACGATCACTTATAATTTTCTCCCAAACTTTATATATCTCTTCTACCATCTATATTTTTAATATGATAAATTTCAATAATCAAAAAAAAAAGATATTTTTATTTACTAATATTTCTAATTCAGGTCGAGCAACTATTGCCCAAGACCAACAATCAACAGCTGCTTCCATTACAGATGTTGTAAACATTTTTATAGGAAGCCAGGCTAAGGCATGAACCATATCTCGATCGAGAACATTTTCTAAAATAATAATAGATGACAAACTAATCGATTTTTTTCCAAATTAAATACCTTTATGTCTATTATTTCTATTAAATGTACCAGTAGAAGTTGTAAAACTAAGTTCATTCTCAAAATCATCTAAATATAAATTTAATTTTTCTAATAATTTTTTCGATAAAAAATCGTACCTGTATTATCTACATTATAAATCAGCATTGCTGTTAATTTAAAAAGTCCATAACGAAAATTACTATCAACTAAATAGATTTATAAAGATAAAATAAATAAATTCAGCTTTGTTTTTTTTTGTCTTCTTACAAATAGCAATTCGTTCTTCGAAATCAAGTGCTACGCCTTTATGATTAAGAGGTGCTACAAATGACATACGTCGACGACGTTGTTGCATTAATTTAAATTTATCCAATGAATGTACTCGATCATGAATCGCATTTCCCATTTCTTCTTTTACTTGTTTCAATGCTGATCGAAAATCCTTACGATTAAGTCCTTCAACCTAATATAAAAACTTTTCTATCAATCAAAAACTATAATTAAACTACATACAAATCCAACAGCTGCATTTCGTTCACTTAAAGAAACCATATAATCAGCAAAATCCATTCGATAATATATTTTACTTCCACTAGTTGCTGACTATTTATATTTTTTAGAAAGAAAATTTTTGAAATTAAAATAAATAAGAGCTTATTTACATTAGCATCAGCGGATCTTGAATATGTACTCAAATATTCCCACATAATCTATATAGAAATATAAAGATAATCGTTCAAAAATGACAGATAAAACTTACATGTAAACCTCGATGTTGACGAGCAGCATCGGAATTTCTTTTTCCTTGTTCAAGTTTTAACATATATTGCTAAATGAAATCAATAAGTAAAATTAGTTCGATGTTGCATTATAATTATAACAATCGATCATAGGATTTAGATCTCAATGGAACTCGAAATACTCTCAAGGAAATCGCTACTTCTAATAACAAGTAACGCTCGTCTAAGGACTCGCTTAGGTCTTTCTCGTAGAAATGGTGTTCTACAATGCTACGGGACCTTTTGCCTATATGACTTGCAAACACTAACATTAGATTCGTGTTCCCCGATCTCAAAAACCGTTTCGTCAAATCTTATATCAAAAAAACATTTTTCGTAAAAAATTGGTCTTTGTCTAAAAAAAAATTTTTCTTCCAGAATTTTGAAAAACTAACATTAGATTCGAAGTCCCTGCATCGAAATACCTCTAGAAATGTCTTTTCTGAAAAATTGGTCTTCGATGTTTTTTTGACCCTGCGGACACACAAGCAAGTCACTCCTTTTAATTCTTACTTGAATACATGATTTAAGTAATATCGGTGATATCATTAAAGCTTGTTCGATAAATGTACGACCGAAATCGATATATGCATTGTAAAGTTCCTATTTAATTACAGAAAAAAATATTTTTTTTAGTACATGATTTTGAAATCTTGTTTTGGTATTTTAGAAACAAACCAATCGTTTTTCATGAGTATCAACAAATTGAATAGTATAATTTGTACCCGGTATACAATGATGTGCAGTTACTTTATGTAAATTATCTTCATTTAATGAATATGATAGAATATTAATAATATTCATGAGAGTTTCAATAACAACTGAACTGCAGAATAAATGTGGAAAACTAAAAACAATTAAATCAATAATATTATTGTAAGAATTTATGATAAATAAGAAAATTTACGCATTTTTTGATAATAATGTATGTAGATAGAGTTTAGCTTCTTCTCGTACTTCTGTTCGAACATGTGTTCGTTTAACCATAAAAAATTGACATTGAACTTCAAGATTTTTATTTCGTTCAGGACTTTTTGGCTATGAATTAAATATATTTTTCAAATCAATCTAAATATTTAAATCATACTAATTTTTTCATTTCATCAACATAAATCGCAAGACTTTTTCTTCCCACAGCTATCATTAATGTCCATAAACCTAATTGAAAAAGAAATGAAACTATTCAATTGATCTATTCATGTCAATATATAATTTCATTACCATATTTATCTCTAATTAAACCTGGATCTTCAAGATAAGAAAATATACATTGTAATGCTGATGGATCGAGTGAGTGTCGAACTCTAAATAAATAGATAAAGATATAATTATGTAATATGATGGGCGACGCCCACCTAAAAAACAAAATACTGCGTTTTTTCTTATACTATCGAATAGAAAATCTTCGTCCTGTTTATTTCTTATTATTAAAAAAAGCTAGTTTGTAAAATCCTACCTAAATGTTTCAAGATAATACACTGAAAGTGTATAAGCACTTTGTTCAAAACCAAATCGATCAATATATCCTTTCGCACCTGTATAATATGAGAATAAATAATTTAATTTTGATTTTAACTCATTATTATCTTCCTATAGAAACAAACAATAAAAGCAAATTATTAAATATTATAATTTTGATTTACTTTTGTAATTTGTTCTGGTTTTAATGGCATTGCAGCTTTTAATGGTACATAGTTTAAATTTTGAGCAACTAATGCAGGTGATTTAGTTGAAATAAATCGAATACAATCATGCCATTCTGATGGCCATAAACCTCCTTCTGATTCAGTAAATCCATATAAAACACAATAAAACCAAAAACGTTGAAATAAACGAAAAACACGTTCGGATGGGTCTGTTATCACATTCATTCGAGACATAATAACCGCAATAACTGGTATTAAAATACCAAGACTACCAGCTGTATTTGAAACCTTTGATATATACATATATATAAGAATATGGTCATGTATAGAAGATGTGAACTTACTTTAAGAGCACTTTTAGTCGATTTTTCACTTGCATCTTTAGCTCGTAAACCAAGTTGAACAAATAATTCAAGAATACTTGTTAAAAGATTCATTAATTCTGTTGAATCTTGTATATTAGCAGCAACATTACCTAATGCATCAATCACAGCTTGAGATGCTTGTCTAAGAAAAACTTAAAATTTAGAACAAAAAAACAATCTTTTTTTTAAAAATTAATATACATATATTTTGTTGGATATCGATCTGTAGTATTACTGGATGTACTTGCATTATCATACGTTTGATAAGTAGAATCAATAATTATTTTCGTAAAAAGTTGAATAATTTCTTCGTAAGTTGTTGACGGCTATATAAAAAAGTCAAATGATTTTCTTTACAATTAGCAAAATTTAACTTACGAGACTAGAAATCAGCATAGATCCAATTTGATTTATAATAAGTATATCAAGCGGTGATGGCGGATCACCAATACGTTGTTGAAAACGAGCTAAAATTGATTGTTGAGTATGTTCAACATCTTTTAAAGCGATTGCCATATGACCCAATGTTAGAATTGTATTATGAGAAACTAATGATGTTTGCCTAAATAAAATTATGCTTTTTAAAATATAGAAGCTGTTTCGAGGAAGTTGAAAGCGAGCATTTTTCAGCTTAATAAAAGAGCAATGATTCCATCAATTTTTATCCAACGTCAAACTCATATCAAATCGAATACAACAACTAAACAAATGAATTCATCAAATGCACGCACAATAGTCACCGTTAGCTTTTCACATACCAATAAACAATAACAAAAGCTGAACAAACTAATAGCATACAAGCATTTTTCTACGAATTATTTCACTTACAATAAATTTTCATATTTTTCGTTATCAACATCATTTCGTATTGCTGAACGATGTTTAAGTGGTGCTGCATCAAGCAGTATAATATTAAACATCCAATTCGTACTGAAAATATCGATGAGATAGACGTTTTTTTTATATACAAAATGCAATCATATATAACCTATACGATCAACAAAAAAAGAAGAAGCCCAATCATCTATTACTTACTTATTATTTATATGTCCTGATGCAAGTCTAGCCGAAAGTTGTGTAAGTAATGCTTCAACACATTTTGGATCCGAATTTAAACGTATAAATAATGATCTTGACAAAAGAACCGTTATTATATATGAATTTTGTTATACAAAAAATACTAACCTGCATAATCCTTCAATTGCAGTATCTCGTAATTTTTCGAATATGTGATATGCTCGATATTTTTCTTTTGAATTCCGATTATATTCATTTGTATATGAACGACGTCCCTCTCCATCAAGTTTTTGACTTGTATGTCGATATAATTTAAAAAGAACAGGTGATGGCTCAATTAAAAAATCGCATAAGGCACGTATTGTATATGTTGACAATGATTGATGTTGTTCTGCTAAACGACTTAATACTTCTAATGATGTCATTAATAATGGCATTTGTACTGATAATAATTTTGTACTAATTGTTTCTTGCGTGAATTTTTCTGCACATTTTGTACATAGTTTTTGTGCTTCTATACGATGAGAACAAAAAAAAGATAATCGATCAATCATAAAAATAATAAAGTTTAAGAAATTAAGAATAAAGTTGACAGTTACGATTTTCTTACGAAAGCATCGTACAGATTTTTACAAAGATGACAACAATTTCGATAATAAGATACATTGAAAAGAATAAAACAGCATGCTATATGATTAGTTAGATATATATTCACACGCATTAAGAAGTTTTTTTCTTGAGTTTAAGAAATAAGATCATATCTTGTTAAAACCCCTGTTTTTTGTTAAATTATAAACAAACAATTCACTGATTTTTGTCTTATATTTATATATACGTATGGAAAAAGCTACAACTGTTAGTATGTGCTTTCTTTTTCCTCACAAAATAGAAGATTTAAAGTTAAGAAGAAGAATGCATTGTGAATACAAACAATATTCAATGATTTTAAGTATATCGTATTATTTTTTGATGAAAAAAATTCGATTAAACTGTCTTATAGCCGAATAAGACAAAATTTATAACAAAAAAAAGAAATCGATATGACTGTAACTGATATAGTTTATTCAGCTGTTGTATCAGCAATATCAATTTACTTATAAGTTGAATACGATCGATAGTTTGTTTACTCATAATTCTCTAAACTTTATCATGTCATAATAATCAGAAGAAATATCGTGACCATGACAAAAATATTTTCTTCTTCATGTATATTATGATTAATACTTAAATCAGTGATAGAACGAAAAAATCAGTGAAGAAGAACATTATTTATGATAAGTAAAGCCCAGTTTGTTTTTAACATTATATACATACTGAAAAAATCTTTACTTGAACCCTGAAGATCTAAGAATATTCATTAGTAAGAAATATGTTAAGTACAAAAAAGAAAAGAAGAAGATGAAGATTAGTAAAACTAATTTGAAATCAATATAAATTTCCTTCTATAACATACCTGTTTCATCATCACAAGATAAACAAAGTAATTCCAATGCTGCTGCATTAGCATCAACACGTGTTCGATATCGATGTGAATTTTTTTTATATTCATCATTATCTAAATCTAATACTTTGATTGCAATTAATTGTTGAACAAATAAATAAATAGATTTCCTAATTGACACCAATCGTTCTAAAGAATAGATTAAAAATTAATATTTTCAATTTCGATTTAACTTACCAGAAGATTTATTAAGCAATTCAAGATTATCACGAAAAAATTTTATAATACATAAAATAAGAATATCACCAAAATACGCATAAGGAAAATAACGTTTTGACTAAAAACAAAAAAAAATATTTCATGATTTATTCGAAATAATTTATTACATATGATGCATAAGTAGTTGATTTATGAATTAAATCATGTTCTTCACTAGCTATTTTATCCAAATATTTCACAATATGATTATCAATTAATTTAAATGTCTAAAACAAAATTTCAGTTGATTTATTATTAAATATAAATAATAAAATTTACTTCATGTAAATGATCTAGAACAGGTGCAGTTAAACAAATACGAAAACGATTCGAAATTGTCTCTGAAGATGATCGACGATGACGTCGATATGTTGAACCAGAAATAGAGAAAAATAAAGAAGTTATTGGAAGATTATCTTCCGATATATGTTGATCAGTGCTTTCTGTCGACCTATAAGAAAATATATATTTCATTAAATTCAAATAAATTGATAGAATATTTTCGAGTGCAAAAGCTATTATTGATAATTAACATTTTTTGTCTTGTTTTTATTTTTTGATATATGTCTATCGAAGTACGTCAATAGATTTTATTGTTATTAATTGCTAAAGGTAAACGACTATTAAACATTCTTTGTATGATAATGACAAAACATATTGTAAACAATATGATTAATGACAATAATAAAAATAGTTATATATGATCAAAACAAGACAACTTACGATATGGATCGATATGTTGATGAAATATCATGTTGATCTAATGGATTTGAAAATACTAATTGTGAAATAGTATCATTTGTTGATGATAGAATATTTTTTGATAAAATTTTCGATAAAATTGGACGAAATGTATTTGAATTCGTTTTATTATTATTATCTAATGATTCTTTCTGGTCAATATAAGTTGATTGTGTTAATAAATTGAAATTTATTGGAAATAATTGAGATATTAAACTTTGATCGGTTACAGATATTCTAAAAGAAAGATAAGAGGTAATAACCTTCAATAGATACTGATAAAGAAAAGTTCAAAGATTACAAGATAACGTGAATCGAAATAAAATTCTTTACCTTCCAATTGCTCGTAATGCTCCAAATAGAAATGGTACTTCAAATCGATAGATTGATTGATGTTTTTCTGTAATTTAAATGTAAAAATTTCTTATTATTATTTAATCAACAATACCTTTCGATTTATCATGAACTGCTTTACGTAAACCTTCAACAATTTGTCGAATAATATCCGCAATATGAAACATAATCTGATAGATAAATAATATGTAACAATATATATAAATTTAATTTAGTTTACTTTCTCTCGTGATTTGGCATCATCGGATGTCGCTGCAAGTTCCGTTAGAATTGTATGAAGAACAAAACTAAAGACTTCCGCCGAAGGTAATACTATTATGAGAAGAAGAAAAAAATAATCTCATTAGAATAAAGATGATAAAATGTCTTGTTTGTTGTTACCATATTTATAACTAAGTGTAGCTACTTCATAATATTTTGCTGTTGGTATTTTCTCATAAAACTCAATTAAAACTTTAATAATTTGTGCTCGAATCTTTAAATAAAATGAAATGAAGAAAATAGTTAAAAATAAAATTGAATTTTTATACTTTGCATTTATCATCTAATTCAACAGCTAAATAACCTACAGCTGTAATTATATTTTCTAAACGTTGATCAATGTAAAATTTAGAACCAGATGAACTACGATCTTGAATTTGTTTTAATAATGAATTAAGTAATAATGAACAACGCTATATATAAGATAAAAATAGAATAGAATATATATATATTATTCTATTAGAAGAGAATTTTGTTTATATACTTTATTATCTAATAATAATTTATCAGGATCATTTGATTTAGATATTGTACGAACAAATGATAAAAGGATATTAATATGATTTGACTCAAGCAACATTCTTATTATTATGAGTTAAATCAGCTCATTGCTATGAAAACGACACTTTCTCATCAATTATTTTATTATAGTAGCCAATAAAAAAAACCTTTTACTTCCTGAAGGTGTTTAAGCATAAACTAGTGATATCTATGAATTAATTATAATTCATTTAAATCATCAATAAATCATATTGCCAAATTAACTATCTTCAGAGAACATACCTGTCAAATTAATTACTATTATTTAACATCTTTAGTCAATTAAAATGATAATATAAAGAAAACATGATTCAAAATCAATTTTATTTTTGCTAATATGATTAGTTTTCTGTCATAGACATTTTGTCATTTAATTCAGTATGTAAAATATTAAATTGAAAATTCCGTTTGACACGAATGAATGTATATAAACAATTTTATCCAAGAAAATATGTGATATAGCATTATTTTGAAATATACGCTTTTCTTGATTTACATAATAGAAAACAGAAAAAAAAAGAAAAATTGGGATTGCAAACATGTATCACTCTCTTGGGAAGTCAATCATGTAAAATGATAGAATAACAAACACTCTTCTACAATTTGTATTCTATTAGAAATTTTGAAAAAAATCATGACTTTCTAGAATACACTTTTCTACACAGTATTTATCCCTATTTACAACTATATAAGACAGACAACATAGAATTATACAATTTGTCAGAAAGCAAAAGTCATCTGTGATTTATTGACTGCATAATTAGCCATATCTCCGTTGGGAAATTTGCCAGTATTACTGTTGATAGGTGTTATTTAGTTAAATCACTCATCAGTGTCTCAATAAGGCTATTTTTATATTTATCATGAATGACATGAGAAGGACTGCTTAAAGGAATATCATACAATATTCGAAATTTATTATGACCTTTGGTTAAATATTAATCTCATAAATAAATGTATATATTTGATTCAGAATAATTTTTGTTTTGTATATAATGTAGTCTCTGCGTTGACGAACAGATGCATTTATATTTTTCAACAAGAGAGCAAAGAAAGATCAGAACAAAAAATGAAGGAAGAGCAAAGAACCTTGAAGACAGAAATCATATATAGTATAGCGAAGAGAGAAGAAAAAAAACGATATATTCTTATTTTTCTTTTCACCCACGTCGTATTCTTACGCATAAATACACACGTCAGAAGTCTATAAAATAACACATAACACTAATTAATTTAGTTTCTTCTTATTGTATATGGTGACATCAGATTTCCGTCTTTATTTTATAGAATATAGCACGAATGGTGTACTGTCAACAATGTTATCTTTTTTAAAACTATCATATACTAATTAGAATTATTTACTTAGTTTATATTATTTAATCTTCCGATAATAATAATAATAATTATTCTTCAAATGTCACTAATATGGTCTGTTTCAAGTTCATTATCGTATGTACAAGAAAATAATATTCATTCAAGTGTAACAACAATAAATACACCATTAAGTACATTAATAACAGAAATAATCTCTGTACCAAGTGATATATATGATCCTCGTATTACACGACCATTTGCTATAATTTGTTTATTTATTGGTAGTATTGGTAATTCTTTATCATTCATTGTTTTTACACAAAAGCAATTACGTACACATTCAACATTTCGTTATTTAGCTTATTTATCAATTGTTGATTTAATTGTACTTTATTTAGGTTTAGGAAATCTTATATTACGTGATTATTTTCTATTTGATATAAGAGAACAAAATTTACTACTTTGTAAATTTCATACATTTTTAACATATGTTACAACACATTTATCATCATGGATATTAACTATTGTTTCAATTGATCGTGCTATTGCATGTACAGTTATACAATTAAATAAACGTTTTTGTCGTCCAAAATCAGCCGATCGAATATTTTTAGCAATGTGTATAATTATTTCATTAATAAATAGTCATATTCTATTATTTATGGGTTCGAAACAAACAATAATTCATTCGACTATAAATAATATTTCATCATATCAACAAAAAATTGATTGTACACATAATACATCAAAAATTTATTTTGAATTTTTTGAAAAACCTTACAGTATTATTGATCTTTTTTCTTATGTACTTATTCCATTTCTTATTATGACTATATGTGCTGGAATAATTGCGTATCGTTTATTTTTTTCCTTAAGTAAAACAACAATGAATAAAACAACAAAAAATAAAACACGTAAAGGTACACATCGTGCAAAACAAATATCCTATATGTTATTAATATTAAATCTTGTTTTTATTGTATTACTTGCCCCGATTGTTATTGGACAAGTATTTCAAGAACTTAATCAAGAACATCGTTATCGATTATATAATTCTATAACATTATTATTATCATATTCAAATCATGCATTAAATTTTGTTCTTTATGGTATTGCATCACCACAATTTCGTGTAACTTTAAGACAATTATTAGGATTAGGAAATAATGAAATAACACAAAGACGTTTACATACATTTGGTTTATATACTTCAACCGGTTTGTGAAACAAACAGTGAACTTTTCTTTTCTTCTTTTTCTTGTTTCAATAAAAAATATCGAACGATACTCTATTTATTAATATAAATCGAGGTGAACCAGACAGACAACATCTGAATTTAATTATTCTTATCTCCTATTATGGACGATTAAAAAGATTGTATTTAAGTACAAAATATCAGTCGTCTCCTCCATGGAGTTTTCTACATCATTTCATTCAATTAAAATCTATTGAAACCTAATCTACCCGTTATTAATTTCAATAAGAGATTTATATTAAAGAGTAACATTTCATAAATTTCGTATTCTATAGCGTGCGTGTCAAATGCTAATCAGCATACAAAAAATAGAAATAAATGATGTAAATATTCTTTTTTAGATAAACAATAGAATAAATGATTAAAAGAACACATTGTAAACACTTTAATTAAACATGAGAAGGTTTTTTATTGTTTAGACATAAATTTTTCTGTTGACATCTTTTGATTAGTTTTTTTTCAAGAACATTCTTATATTCGATAATAATAAACATCCGAAAGACGATGATTAAACTTCTTATAAATTTACCGACATAATTTCTTTTTTACTATTCATATCGAATAGTATAACCATTTTTTATTATAACAAATCAAAAACAATATTAATAACAAAACAATTTTTAAATCAAAGTTTTTGTTAAATTATGATAGCCAATTCCTATAGCAGTAAGAAGAATTTTTGGACTACCAGTTTTTAATTCATCATCATCATCAGTATCATCGTCATCGTTTTTTTCTTCATCTGATTCATTTGTTTCTTCTTCCATTTTTTCAGTGACATTTTTCGGTAATTCTTTTGCATTTTCGATTTTAAACATTATTTGAAAGAATTGTTTTAAATATCGAAGATATTGCATTCTAAATAATATGTATTATTAAATAAAACTAAACTATAAAAATGGATTAAATACTAACGAATAAGAATTAAGTGGACCTGTTATAACTTTTGATACATCTGCTTGATTTAATGCCATATAATGAAAAATTAATGATTGACCAAATGAATCAACTACACCTGCCTAAAATATTTTTAGAATTTATATCTTCAAAATAAAATCATTTCTTTTTTTTTACTTTATATATTTCATCAAGAAGTTTAAAAACAGCTTCTTTAGCTAATTCTTCTGGGATTGTTATAGTTGTTGTTTCACCTTCTTCAGCTCGTGGTATTGAACAACTTTCGGCACAAATTACAGTACCATTTTTTGTTTCAGCAGCTAATGTTAAACCATAACCAGGTGATCTATATAAAAAAAAATAAAGTTTAAAATTTTTAGTTAATATTAAATGAAAGACTTACAAACCAGCATTGATTCCTTTTTGATGATCAACATATATATAAACATCGGGTAAAAATTTTAATAATAATCCTTTTGCTGTTTCTATTAAACGATTTGCTATACTTGGTGATACACGCATAGCATATCTAGAATTTATTAAAATAGAATAGAATTATTTAAATCTAATATTCTTACGCAACACCACGAATTCTTTTAATTTTTCCAACATCCGTCCATTGACATGGTCGTAATTTCATTTTTGTTGGACAACGAAAGAAAATTTCACCGCCACCATTTGGTTTAGCACCTCGTTTATTAATCTATATACAAAGAATTGAGAAAAGATATTATTTTTAATTATATAATTACTTTGAATTCTAAACCATCGTCTGATCCAAGAAATCGTTTCATAATTGGTATCGCTGAATATTTGATTAAGTCAACCTAAAATCACATCAATATAATTATAAAAAAAAAGTCAAAAGAAATATTTACTGAAGGATCATCACGATCATTAGTTACACCTTTTAATCGAAGTTCAAGTGCTGTTTTCATAAATGGTGCCATATAGAGAACAAATTCAAGAAAATAACCAATACTACGTTGTAATGAACATTCATGTTCGATACTTCCACCAATTAATGCACCGGGAGCATAATAAAGTGAAGTACCTGTGGCATTGATTTCTACTTTACTTCCATTTGTAAGTTTTTCTAATAAATGTAATAGACTGACTTCAAAATCTATTAAAATAAATAAATTCATATAAAAAATTTCGAACAAATAATACTATTACCGCGTAGTCCAGGTTGATTTTCTTGTGAACGAATATTTTTTATTTTAATTGATTGACAACTAAGTGTTGATAATACAAGACGTTGACGAAAATAAGCACAACCATCAAATTGAAGAGTCATTTCGTATGGCAACAATCTACTAATATTAATAAAAGATTTATCGAAATCTTCAATTATTGTTGATATTTTCTGGATTTTTATAACAACCAATACAAATATATCCATCGATAGTCATTGATGGAAACCAACGACATCTGTTCTAAATTCTTTATAAACTGTCTCTGCTTGTAATTTTATAGTAAAAATGTGAAATTTCAAATCAATAAATAACATCATTGTTTTATTTTTTAATGATTTCTTAAATCCAATGTAAACTATATATTGATTCATTTCTATTTACGAGGAACGATCCTCAACTGACAACTCGATTTAGACGTGAAAGTTAGTGAGCCATTGGTCCTCAATCCGATCCTCACCTTGCTTTGTGCTGCTAGGCCTTGCAAGTACTGATTCTTCAAAAAACCAGGTAACAACAGAGAAAAGTTTTTTTTGAAATTTCTGAGCAATGAGAGACAACATCAAAGACATCACTTATAAGCTTCACTGCAAAACGTTACAGTGCTCTCTTTTTTATTTCTGTTTTATTATTGATTCAACTTGCTTATCTCAAAAATTCAAAAGTTATGGAGGGCCTACTGAAAATGTTACGCAATAGATAGGAAACATGAAAAATAAACTTTCTCCAAACAATCGTTATTACTCCAATCATGAATTACTTGACTATCATCCGTGATTTACACTTCTGATAATCACTCTATAAGATTAAAATAGTGAAACATCCTAAGTGTGGATGTGAATGAGGGTTGAATCTAGTGTCACCATACCCTTCTGCCAATTATTTTTCACTTTAATCAAGATTAAAAAAAGAATCAGATGAAAAATAATATTTTATCTATTATTTCAATTTTCATATTTGAACAATTAACTGAAGAAGTCATTGACGAATTACTTATTCATGCAACTAACTATCCGGGAACTGATTGTTCAATCACCCCTTTAGGAACATCAATAGAAGAAAACATTAAACCTCTATTGAATGATTAATAACTTTTTAGGATGCTAAAAATAAGTGAAGTATAACTGGAATAAAAAAGACTAAAATTTTGGAAAGATCCGAAATTTCTCTGGTTTTTTAGACCATTTTTAGGTTAGATCTGATACGTTTTACTGTCTCTCGGACAAGGATTAGGAGTTAGAAATAAAGAGGATATTGGATATTTTATGGATCCAGATAGGTATTCTATGCTCTTTTTTGGATTAGTCAATCGGATTCTGAATGTGACTGGCCGTCGTACTAGTTTCGCATCGATGGATTTGGTTGATTTTACCTATTTTTTTCCTTCTGCATAATATTATTTTCAATAGTAACCAGGTGAAGTTTGTCCTTGCGTGACAAGAAAAAAACACGAACATTCGAACTCGTTGAAAGATTTAGAAAAACTAAATTACTGTCTATATAAAGAAGAACAGTAATCTTTCTTTTCGTCTAAACAACACTATCTACTGACGAGTTCATCTTCAACAACAAGATGAGAACGAGCGAATCTAAATCGAATCAAAATGCTGCTGCACCATCCAAATCAACGACATCATCCAATATTCGTCAACCACGACTACGTCGGGCTCAAAACTACCTTCTTCTATGGGTTGATACCAGCATCGACCAAAAAAACGAAGATTATGAAAATACATTAAAACAAATACGAACCATTACTGGTGATGTCAGTGTCTATACGCAACGAGATGAATGTATAGACTTTCTTACAGATGCTCAAGAAGACGTCAAATCTTTTCTCGTCGTCAAGGATACTATGTTTCAACAAATAATGCCTCTCATCAATGACATTCCTCAGCTGGATGGTATCTATATCCTCAATGATATTGAAACCGTACAGGACGAGCGGATAAAAAAATGTAACAAAATCAGGCGCATTCGTACCAACATTAATGACATATGTAAAGGATTGCAATCGGATATTAAACAACACAATCAGGACTCGATAGCTATGAGTTTTATCACAACGAATGAAATGGCTTCAACCGATAATTTAAATCAGTTAGAGCCAAACTTTATGTATACACAGATATTTAAAGAAATTCTTCTTGATATGCAACATGATGAACAGGCGATAAAACAGTTTACTGCTTATTGTCGACATCATGACTCTGGATCGGCAAAGAATATTAATGAGTTTGAAAAAGATTATCAACCTGAATCAGCTATTTGGTGGTACACTAGCCCATCATTTATCTATTCTATGCTGAATTATGCTCTACGTTCTATGGAAGGCGATACCATTATTAATATGGGTTTTTTTATTCATGATCTTCACCAACAAATCCAACAACTATACCAACAACAGGTTAATAGTTATGCCGATGAACCATTCATAGTTTATCGAGGACAAGGTCTTATGACATCAGATTTTGAAAAACTTCAAAAACAAAAAGATGGCCTTATATCATTTAACAATTTCTTGTCCACCAGTAAAGATAAAGAAGTGTCTCTCAATTTTGCTCTATGTGCTTTAACAAATCCGGATACGGTCGGCATTCTTTTTGTAATGTCCATTGATCCTTGCATTAAATCAACACCATTCGCCTCCATCCAAGAGATGAGTTATTTTAATGAAGAAGATGAAACTCTCTTCTCAATGCACACAGTATTTCGAGTGGGTGTAATGAAACAAATGGACAATGAGAATCAACTTTACCAAGTTGAATTACAATTAACATCGGATGATGATCAACAACTACGAATACTTACGGATGGAATACGAGAAGAAGCTGGTGGTGGTACTGGATGGCAAAGATTGGGTGACTTATTGCTTAAAATCGGTCAATTTAATAAAGCCGAAGAACTTTATAACGCATTACTCGAACAGACATCTGGAGAGACTGAAAAAGCTTTTTATTATTGTTGTCTGGGATATGTTAAAAATGAATAGAGTGATTACGAAAAGGCTATTTGGTATCACCTACAAGCACTTCAAATCCATCAAAAAACGCTTCCATCAAATTATTCTCATTTGGCTACTTCATACGGCAACATTGGTTTGGTGCATTTCAACATGGGAGAATGCTCGAAAGCACTTTCATACTACGAAAAAGCACTTGAAATTCGACAAAAACATCTTCCTTCAAATCATCCTAATTTGGCTACTTTATACAACAACATTGGTAGACTGTATGACAAGACGGAAGAGTACTCGAAAGCAATTTCCTTTCACGAAAAAGCACTTGAAATCTATCAAAAAACTCTTCCTTCAAATCATCCTTCATTGACTACTTCATATAACGACATTGGTAGTGTGTATAACAATATGGGACAGTATTCGAAAGCACTTTTCTTTCACGAGAAAGCACTTGAAATTCGAGAAAAAACTCTTCCTTCAAACCATTCTGATTTGGCTACTCCATACAACAACATCGGTATGGTGTATCACAATATGGAAGACTATTCAAAAGCACTCTCATATTTAGAACGTGCTCTGGACATACTACAAAGTGCCGTACCGCCAACGCATCCGCATATAGAAGCTGTGAAGAACAATATTGAAATTGTAAAAGAAAAAATGACAAAGAAGGATTGATAAATAAATAAAAGAATATTATGTACAATTATTTTTAAATTAATTCTATTTTCTAGTGGCTCACGGGCGCATGCAGAGAATAATTCTGTAAATAATAAAAGCGTAGGCGACTAATAAAATAATACACATACATTCATATGTGTATAAATGACCATGTGAGACATATTTACACTTATTATTCTTTACGAGAGTGCTCCGTACAATTAAAAAGAATAACTTAGATGAAATTGAATTGTATTGTAATTGTGTTGAACGAGGCTCGTGTGACGAAGAAAAAGTTAAAAAACTACGATATATATATGGCTATGTCACCAATACATGGTCTAACTGAATCAATCAATTAATATCCATCAATAATAAGACAGAAATGAAAAGAATAATCATGTATTAATGATGTACTGATCACTCTAGACATATTGAAGTTATGACAAATTATAATCTTTCATGATGGATAGGAGATATTTAAAATCTTCTGATTTCGAATTCAGACTAAGAACGGTATTGTTTTATGAGATGTATTACAACGACTTCTCAGTGTTTAATCATTATATTTAGATGCTTGACAGAGGACACTAAGATATAGAAAATAGATCATTAACTTTGATGTATGAGGAAAAACAACTGACATAATTTTATGAAACTTATGAACTTTGTAGTCGTAGTCGGACTATATTTCCCATATTCCTATATTTTTTTGAAGACATTGTTTTATCTGGTCTAGTTTGTATCAAGATAAATTTCAATCCTATGCACATTTATGTCAATTATTTTTGTTCATGAATATTTTAAATTAAAACAAATTTCTGATTTTGATGTAAATGTTAATTTTAAACAAACAAATAAATCTTTCTAATTACGTCCGCCTGTTGTGACTAATGAAATTATACATGATAATTTAATTAATTCTTCAAGTGATAAAACAATTCTAGTTGCTGATCATGATACATCACCTAATTCACATGATAATCATTTATCTAATTCTAGTTTATCTATGACAATTGCTGAATCTTCAGTCGATAGATTTATTACAGATCTATTAAAATTTTCTGCGCAAAAAGAAAATGTTATTACGTGGATTGATGAAATCGAACAACAATTTAATATGATGCATTTAAGCAATGCCAGTAAATTAAATTTGATTCGTATTTGTCTTAATGGTGATGCATTACAATGGTTTAAACAGCATAAACATAAATTTACTTCCTGGACAATATTTATCAATGAAATTAAAAAATCATTTACGTAGAATTTGCAATGTGATTTAACATTTGAAAAACTCAACTAGTTCATCAGTCAGTAATACAACATTATATAGAAATGATTAAAATGACGAAACAAGCTGATTCACAAATAAATGATTCAACAAAAGTTCGATGGGTGGATGTAGGTGTGGATGTGGTTTTAAATGTTTGTCTTCTTCTTATGCATTACCGGTATCGCATCGGCACTCACACCCACCCAACACATCGAATTAAAGAGCCGACACAGATTCAGAAGCGAATGTCAGCAAGAAAAACTCGAATTCGCTGCTAACTTTCATTATGTCGTAACGTTGATAATCTACAACAATGTCTTGTGCAAATAAGTGATATATGAATAAATTTCATATATTGACCATCCATATTTATATTTCAATCTTCTATTTAATTATTAGAAGTCTATTTTCATTACATAAGTTCGACATATTCATAACTTCATCTCTTAATATAAATTATTATTATGATTACCCCCTATTCTGTTCCTTGTTTCATTCAAATTTTATATATTATTCCAGATTTTTTTCTTTTCACTTTTTTTTTATAAATGCAGAGCCCCGATAAGTATTTTTTATTTTCAAATAAATACACGAAACATGTCCGCGAGGCAAACATCTGCATTTATTTCTAATTGAAAATCTATTAAATAGATATTATTTTGGACAATACATCGATTGCTGAAGTTAGCAGTTTGATTTATAATTGAGATATATAAGCTAAATTGTTTTATACTGCAATTAGCAGACTAATCTGTATCTTTGATATATAAATTGATTTGTTTTATATTAACCCACACGCACCCTCAAGAGACGAAGCACAAAAAAAAGAAAGAGAAAAGAGAATGCTTTTACGATGTGAGGCATAGAGAAAACGTGTAAGCTGCGTGGACACGTATACACCGCCGTAAAAAACGAACCAAAAACAATTTAAGGAAAAGAGAAGGCTGGTATTTTTTGTCTATCAATGGGCAACAAGCCGATTCTCATTAAGGACGTGACGGACGAAAAATTTGAAAAAATTTATTCAATTACTGATGGTGAGGCGCAACTACTCGACAGTGGACGGTCATTCGAACAGATCAAGCACTTGTCGTATCAGTGCGTTCTTGGTAAAAATTCGTATTCATCTGGTATTCATCGAATTCCACTAAAACAACACCATGGGGCTGGATTTTTTGGAATTCGCTCACGTCATATACAAGTTGAACCAGATATATACAACACGTTTCAACGTACTCCTTCTACATATGGCTGGTTCGCACGTGGTAGACGCACTGTTAACGGACGGTATGAAGATAATAGATTGGAGCTATCCGACACCGAAGATGTTATGATTGAGTTAGTATTGAATTGCGATGAACGTCGACTAAAAATCGTAATGAGTAAGGGCAGCAGTAACGAAGATGAAATGGAAGTGGATGGTCTTCACGCTCCTTTTCCTTGGTGTCTATTTGTCGAACTTGGTCGCGTGGGTGGTCGTATATCGCTCGTATAAATAGTTTACTTTATAATCATGACTACACTCTAAAAAATTAAGACAGATTAAGTGTATATACAAGACAGTTCAGTTGTCTCTGGATAATCGATTTTAGTCAGTCGTATGTCTTATTTTTTTTGGTTGGTTGATTTAGATCAATTAGATAAGCGTCTAATATCTGTGTCTTCTAGACGCTTCGATCGATCTGAAACCTTTAGCTTGTAGAAAACAATGAATTAAGAATTGAAATGGATCTTTTGCTGGAAGACTTCTACTAGAACAATTGAGATCAAGTGTTTTTTGAGTATCAAATATTTAAAATCTTTCCTTTAATAAGTTTCAAAATTTATTGATTAAGCTAAATTCTGAATATTTAGCATTCAGAAATCCAAGATCTATACTGTTCTAGTAAAAGTTTTTCAGCGTTAGATTCATTTCAATTCATTATTTTCTACAATCTGTAAGTCGCAGATCGACTGATATATCTGAAACATATATGATGCTAAGCAATGATTTTTGGTCGAATAAATACTATTGATGATTAAATTATTTAGAAATAAAAATAAACTTCAAAATACAATTTACTATTGCAGCAATGTGAGTATTTCATACACATGATATAATTTTCAATAGTAGTTCTAATACAAATAAAATGAAAAACAAATATATCAAAATATTAAATGCCAATTGTTCACTATAAAGAAAAGAGAAAAAGTCTTCAGATGTCACGTCGGTACTAGTTCAATTCAATACGAATTTCCTTCCACATTTTCAACAGTAACTAGGGCGTGGGTGTGGGTATGTAGTTTATTTGCATCCACATCCTTAAAAAGAAACAACACGAGAGAAGAAAGAGAAGTAAATAAACAAAGTCATCCACGTAGATAACTATCCACGTATATAACAAAAGAGGGATCGATCATCGATATATAGATAGCGATTATGATACCTCCCCTTCGCCAGATTTAGAGGAAGATATCGATTGGTAATAACTCTTCATACTGTTGTTGATGCTGTTGCGACTTAATACCAATATAGATAACATATTGCATTGGACTAATATTGGTATACTTAATGTTACATACATCAAGAATATTCTCGATCGTTGTAACATCTATATTGATTTGTTGGTGAATTTCATATATACGTCATCTACTGCGGCTATGACATGAGTTAGATTTCTGATTTCGTCGTTTTTGTGCTGCAGAAAAATAAAGTGGTATTGTTAATTGTTGAGTTGATGGAAAATCTGACGTTGGTGTTGCTTAAATTGTGATAGGATCAACTGTTGTTAATGGCTGAGCTAACAGATGATGACGTAATGATGGTTGCTGTTCGTTTAACTCATGAACTGTCAACAAATCATCACTACCACCATCTGTATCAGAAAAGATTCAAGCAGGCAATGTTGCTTGTTTTTCAAGTGAAGAAGAAGAACTTGAGGAAGTAAATTTTTGTTTTAAAAAAGTAAAATACTTTCCTAATGTTCCCATATATAAATCACTATCTGAAGCATTTGCTAAATAATTTTTATACATAAATAACATTAAATCCATTAAAGATAGGCAATCATATGCGGCATATTTAATTAAACGATCGCAATAAGCCAATGAATAATTTCTATTGCGACATTGTATTTTTACATCTAAACTAATAGACCATGATCTTAATATACCACGTTTTAATATGTACTTGTAGAATATGTATGCAATGGAATCTTACAAACTCCATAACTGATTTTTACTCATTCTTATCTGATTAAAATCTGGCGGTGGAAGAAATAGTTCTAATTCATCAACTGAATATCCCCATGAATAAAGATTTAACGTACAAGAGAATATATAATCAAATAATTTTTGTAACCGAGAAATATAATGATGAAGAATCACGTAGATGAGATGTTTCAACCAAAACTGCTGGAGTTGTTATTTGATTTAGTTCAAAAACTAATATTTTAAATAATGATGGAAGTTTGGAGTGTATGTTTGCTTCTGTGTCTAGGACGAAATCACTTGCAGCTTAAACTATATTAAGTAAATTATTTACCTGTTGATTTTTTGTGGCTGAATTTATAAAATAAATATGAAATTGTTTGCTTGGTTTATGTGGTGGAAACCAACTTTCATAATGACGTTCACTCTTTTCATCGTCCACAATTATAATTTCAAATAAATAAAATTATTTATGATGAATATCAAACATAAAAATCCACAGAAGGATGGGCGCGAATGTGTGTGTGGGTGTGAGCTAGTGATTAACGTCACATCCACACCCATACCCAACTCTTTTGATACATGATCAATTGAAAATATACATAGCTCCGAATTAGGTATATGTTTTGAATTATATTTCGAACAACAATCTTGAAAATGCTTTAGTTCCATAAAACATGTAGAGCAACAATAATACGATTTGTATATAAACTCAATACTAAGCTTTTGCTACAAAGCATTTGTTGTTTTATTTAATTTAGCATGATAAATAAAATTAATGAACTTTAATAATAATTGTTGTTCTTGAACACTTGTAAAATCACTTGAGATATTGTCAAGAGCAAAACTAATTTGATGCGAGTATTTTTCAGATATAAAATGATCCATATCATCATATGGTTCAATATTATCTTCAGTACTACTGTTATCTATTTAAAGAAGTAACATTAATGAAAATAAAACTGTAGAATTTTAAAATAAAATTGTTTTACTTGAGGGTGTGGGTGTGTATATGGGTATAAGTGTGAGCTAGTGCCTAACGCAACATCCGCACCCACCCTCTTTAGTAAGGGACCCTCCCACACCGGCACCGGTCCCAAAAAATAAATGTTCTTTGTAGTTGAATTCTTCAGGGCTTTAATTGTGTTTGTTAAGTTTTTTCAATCGTATTGGTACCAATAGGCTGCAAGAACTACTGAAACTTAGCTTTTATTCACGATGATATTATTTATCTTCATAGAGTTTCTTTTCTGCTTGCAAAAGATACGAATAAAAGTCGAATGTGGGTGTTAGCCTTTTTATTTTTATTCTATTCACATTCACACTTTCAAGATGCTTATCATCGATTGATAAATATATGTTCATGGAAATTTAGTTTTCTTTGTATTACACACTAAAAGTACATATACTTCAATAGTTTTCATACGACATACATGCCGTCATCATTATCCTGTGTAAAAGAAACAAATTCTCTTTTCAATATTCATTCTCAGTATTCTAAATCAAGAAGCTGATCTAAGTATCTCTTTTTATTCACGCTCATGTGTTGCGGTATTTTTTATTGAACGCAACATTTTCGTTAAAAATAAAAACTTGTGCATTTGAATCAAAGTGATTAAAATAGAAGTGATGATGCCAAATAGAACAAAATTTACCATTTTCAGTTAATTGTGTGTACTAAAAATTTCGATGAAATTTATGTGTGAATTTATTTCTAATAGAAAATTATTTACCGATTTGCACATGGACGATGAAATTCTTTTCGACGATATCGAATTTGAGGTAATTTTACAGTCAGTAATAACAATTTTTGTTTTGTTTTGTTTAGTATTTCATTTGAAAGTTTCAAATCATTTGATTCAGTCAGATTCCCATTCAATAATTTGTCATAGATCGAATTAAGTGGCTTAACGATTGTTTCATAATCCAACATATACATCAGTACATCGAGAAGTCTTTTTGACGAAGTAGATACTGTTTTAAGTCGATTATTAATCAGCTGAAATTCTTCATTAAGTGCATTAGTTATTGATTTAATTTTTATTTGTCCTTGTAGAGTATTATTTAATTCATTTAATTTTTGAGAAATATTCGTTAATTGAAGTTGTGTTGCATTGTATTTGTTAATTTCATCTTTTAGTTGCTGCTCTTGTTTCTTTGGCTTATCGAAAGCCTCATTCATTGCTTTTACACCTGATTTAACCAATTCGCCACTATGGGACCCATTGGTGGGTTCCACATTATTTTTATTGGGTCTCATCGTACTGAATCGGCCAAACCTAGTCCCCGGGGGGTAGTTCTTTAGACGACGAACACACCACGATCCTGACTCACGTTCAGTGCGATCACTTGAAGAACAATTCGCTTCTTTAAGATAAAGTTTTCGCAATATATCAATGAGATCTGATTTAGAAGGAGATCGCTTTGCTAGTTCCTTAGCTACTTCTCCAAGTCGAACATGTTCTTGAGTAGTTTCAATAGTTTTGTTTAATTCATTTATTAACATTTCCGCTTCTTTTGTTTCATTTTTCAATTGTGAAATTGATCCCACCAATTCATTAACATTAACATTAACGTGATTCAAAAGTTTTTGATTAGCTTCGGTCGTTTCCTTCAAATTTGCTTGTATTTCTTGAACTGTACAATGAAGTTCATAAGCTAAATTAGAATATGAATGATTTACATTCATTATTTTATTTACAATATCCGACTTAAGTAAAGTAAACACATGTCGATAAGGTGAAATGACCATCGAATTAAATAGAAATGTACTTGAATTAGACACATTTTCACACTGAATAACAATAGGTAAGAGAAAGAAGAAAACATAACGGAACATCATTATTGTTTTTGAATTCAAATGAAATTTCCTTTCATATTTATCGATTTGATGAAATTGTTTTTTTTTGCTCAAAAAGGTCACTTAGATAAAGCTAAAATATACAAATAAAAGAATCAAATTTCAATAATTAGTTTTTGTTGTATGTTTTGCCATTAAAAGATTAAAATACAGATCATCTATCACATGTACTCAAACATATATCAATCACTTCCTTTTTTTTTACGAAATATTACTTCCACTTCAAAGATAAGATACCGTATTTCAATCGTTGCTTGCTATGAAGTTCCGATGATAGTACATGATCATTGACAAATCCTATATGAGCACACATATACAACTACTTCTCATTGTCAATATATAGCATATATACACTGTGTGCTATCCGTGTCGGAAGAGTAAAACCAATTAATAAATTAATTTTTTCTTCTTGTTATTGTAAATAAACCATTAAATATTATATAATCAGATGAAGATGCTCAACATGAATATAAACTTGGTAGTCTTGCTGGATGTGTTAAAAATTCTAGTCCATGAATTGTTTTTCATCGAGCATCAAGAAAATGGAATCAAGAGTAAAATATTTTATTTTAATTAAACGAAAAAAAAGTTAATACAAAAAAATAATTATTGACGTTCCCTTGTACGTTTTTATTAAATCAAACACGAATTTTTTTCTAGCCGAACCTGAAATACAGAAGAAGACTCACCACCTGAAGAATAACCATACGATAAATCAAGAGAATATGACGTGATTTGACAACAATACTAACAAAAATTTCTTACAGTTATATATTAATATCTAAAGGCAAAACATACACATTAGTATAAAGAAAAGGAACAAAACTGAGTCGTTTTTTTTGTTATCTTTGAATATAATATGTATACATATTTAGCTAGAAGCTATATTATAAAAAAAAGAAAAGAATAAAGTCCATTAGAAACTTGAGAGAATAACGTTGCAACAGCAACTATGATATTTTTGCTGAAACTTCAAATTCCGAAAAACATAATTCAAAATCACATGTTCATATGAGACGTAGTTCAACTTATCCAGGTTATGATAATGTTTCTAGTGCACGTATGATAGCTGCATGAATTCGTCGTCAGTCAACATGTAATTTTATTCCTCGTCATAGATATCATCATCGTTTAATTCGTTATGAAAATACATATCGAATAGAACCTACACATGAACATAAAGTTGATATTGATCAAGTACGTCGTCTTACAACAGATATTATGTAATGAAATTAAACAATTAGCATTTACACGTTATAAAACTATTGAACAAAAAAAGAAGTCAAGGTTTACTTGTAGCTAGTCGATGTTTATGGCATATACAATTTCCAAACAAACAACAAATGAATGTGTCATATATAATTGAGTTTTACCAGCTAAATCTATTTAGAAAAAAAGGAAGCGATTTGCAAAAATTTCAAAAATTTTTTATATCAATTTCGATTCATCTCTTCCGTTTTTCATAGAAAAAAAATACAGAAGCTTTATAGTAATTGATTTTTTTAATCCTTAGTCTATATGTATGTATCATATTTTTATTTGATATTGATTTAATACAAGGCTAACAAAACAGTTTAACAGAACTATATATACCATCAAATGTAAAAGATCAATCACTTCAATCAATAAAGAAAATGATGATTATTATTCAATCGATTTTAGTTGTGCTATCATTAGTACAAATTCATGCAGCTGACAAATGTGCAGCTCCCGATGGTAAGAGTATGATTTTTCTTCATTAATATAAATCTTTTTCTTTTTAATGTTTAGTTGCCTTTTGTGATTTTGTTCAATGTGAAAATGGACGATGTGTAGAAGATAAAACAAGTTCGGAATGTTTTAAATGTGAATGTAGTGCTGGATACACAGGCAAAATGTGCGAAACATCAATTGATTTAGCAAATTTAGGTAATCCCGGTTGTAATGTACCAAATCCAAGGAAACTTATGAACCCTTATGTCTATGTTTTCGATCCACAAATTATTATCCAGCAGAATGTGAATCAGAAAGGATTGGTTGTGATGGAAGGCAAATTGACAAAACCATTCACGAATGACCATGTAAAGCTTTCAGTCAAGTATCAGGATGACCAAGGGAATTGGATAACAGGCTGGTGTAAGACACTCTATTCTTACAATCAATACAATGAAAATGTAAGATCTGCATTTGAACTACCTGCATCTGCCTTAAGTTCTTACAACGTAAAGATCGAACTAAGCTCTGATACCGACCTTACAAGCTTCAACAGTGTTGTTTGGGACAAAACCATCAGTCATTACAAGTTCGGTGATTATACAACAGCTAATTGTGATCTGGACGAAAATGAATATACAATATTGTTGACTCCTAAAAAAGAAGGAACTTTAATTACTGATGCAAACGGGCTGATTACAGGAGTTAAGGACAGGGTGACGTCTGCACATTCCTGGAATAGACTCAATATAGGCTATTCATTGGATAATAAGAAGGACGATATTATTTTTTCTCTTAAAAATCCTGCAACATTATTTATCGACTCCAATGGTGCAAAATCCATAAAAATGGTAAATCAAGGAGCAATAAGTGATACATTAGGCTCGACTCCTGAATTTATTTACGATGTCGGTCCAGGGCATCCAATTCCGTACTTATACAGCTATGAAGATCCTGTATATATTTTTGCAGGCAAATTTTCAGTAAATGGATTTTTCATAAAATTCAACCAGTGGCCTGGTGAACCAAACGGTCCCGGATATCATAACTTTAAAAATCCTAACAGCCTCCAGAGCAGATATTTCAATTTATACAACACTATTAATGAAAAACTATCAGACTTTATCAGCGATCAAGAACCTGTAGTATTGGTATCGAGTATGACTACAGGCTTCAGGGTTTATAAAAGCGACGGAACTTTTATAAATCTAACAGGCTCAAGCAATTATGGACCATTATTTTTTGGCTATGGTAATCTTGGTAGCAGCCGCAGAGGACCCGGATCAGAAAATCTTATCATTTCAAATACTCCTGAAATGACATTATATGGTATGGGTGCATTGCGAAATGACTTCGTAAATTTTGTTCCCGGCTATCCATCTATCCGGTCAATGGAAGATATTGAAAAAGAAATTTCTAAATTCATTAAATATACTGGTATATTTGGAAACTCTGCAACGTATGATGATACTTCGGAATGTGCTTCCGGATGTTTTACAGCAAATCCTAGTGCCATTTCAGATTACGATGTAGTAGATTGGACAAAAGCACCGAACAGCTATATTTTCACAGGAAAAGATAAAAACGGCAACGACGTTGATGGTCTTTACATTCCTGTAAAAAAAGCCTATGAAATGTGGTCTAAAGGTGGTGAGTTCATGAAAGATGATAATGGAAATTACACTCCTATTCCATTGGGAACAGCTAAAGCAGGATTATATTGGGAAGACGAGGCTGGACTACTCAAATCTGTCACTTTACAAGGAACAGGTGAAAATGCTAAAATTCAAGTTTTAGTCAATAAACTTAAAGAAGGAAATGCAGTAGTTTCATATAAAGTAAACGATAAAGTTTATTGGACATGGCACGTTTGGGTAACAGATGATCCAACTATAAACGGAAGCACCTATCACCTTGGTTTCGAAAAAGATAAAAACGGACTCCCAGTCACAGATTGGAAATGGATGGACAGAAACCTTGGAGCAACAAGCGCAAACTTCCTGGGTAACGATTGGCATAAATCACAAGGATTACAATACCAATGGGGAAGAAAAGACCCTTTTCCTGCTCTTACACGCAAAGATGGTACAATGTATGAGATTTCAGGAGAAGCTGGACACATAAGAAATCTAGGAGCCGTTTATAGCAAAGGATCTACTTCCGTATTGCCTGTAAAATATAGAGGAAACTTATATCCACAAGATAATACAGGATTTGATACGCCAAATGGAAATATTCGTTATTCTGTTCAAAATCCAATTCACATGATCATTCCACCGCTTTATATTAAAAAATACAATGAGACGGTGAATAATAATGGAGAAGATATGTTTGTTCAAAACAGTGGCAAAACATGGTATCTCCAAAGATATACAACATGGTTCTCTAAGCAGAAATATAGAAACGAATTCAACACAGATGCTTTTAAAAATGTTGCCTGGGATCTTTGGGGAGATACACGAGGAGGCAAAATAAGTGACTTAAATAACATTGCATTAGCAGAAGAAAGTAAGCGTTACGCAATGAAATCACCTTATGATCCTTGCCCATGCAACTGGAGAATTCCATCGTATTATGACAATATCGGCAGCCACACTAATGACAATAATGCTTCTCCGTGGGGAAGAATCGGCGGTGCTAATGATGTCGATACTTTCACATCTGATCCAGCAACTTCAAGTACTAGATTTCCAGGAATAAAGATATATCCTGGATTGGGTTACGACTTTACAGGAGTTCCTGGCCGTAACTTAGGGCTGATTCCTATCAATGGAAACTATGAATATTATCCTAATTATGTAACTATTAATACCGTAACATCATCCGGATTAGTTACACCTAAGATCTTATATCAAGATGGTTCGTCAGACGGTGGATTGAGCTCATCTACATTTTCAGTGGGAGCATCTGGAGGGGGACCATGGTATGGACCAAGAGGTTTAGCATATATTTCAGATCCTGGTAACGTAAAAGAAACAGCAAATAATTTCGGATGGTACACAATAAATTCCCTTTCTCATGATGGCAATACTCATGAAACAGCTGGGATAAGATGTATTAAGGATCCTAATAACGCTTATATGGCTGCTGATTTTGAAACGGAATTCATCAAAACACCAAACGAAGAATATCCATTAGCAACTTTGAGAAACTGGGCAAAAGATCCGAACAGCTATGTAGAATATACTAACAGCGCAGTGACAACAGCAAATCTGGCAGAAAAAGATCGTGTTATTGATATTCCTTTACGTAAGGCGTATGCAATGTATAAATTACATATAAGTACAACAGAAGAATATCCTCAAGGAAACATTAAATCAAGCTCTGTAGTATGGACTACCAATACAGGTCTGATACAAAATATAGAGATCATCGATGGAACTAAAGAAACAGCTAAACTTCGAATTACTTTAAATGAAAATCAATTTGGTAATGCTGTTGTCGCTTTCCATATAGGAAACTCTGGCCAGTGGGCAAACGGAAAAATGGAAGATCCTATTATTTGGAGCTGGCATATCTGGGCTCCTGAAACAGTTGTAGGATCATTAGATTATGAAACTGAAACTGCAGCAAACGGAGGCATTGTAAACGTTGCCAATTCAGCATTTGTAAATCCTGTGAAAAGTATTGGAGTTCCGTTGAAAACCACCTTTATGGACAGAGATTTGGGAGCTTTAATGGTATTCCCAAAAGAGGCTGCAGGCGGTAGTGCATCATATCTCTATAGCTATGTTCCTCAATTCAGTAAAAGTGGAGGCCTGCATTTCCAATGGGGAAGAAAAGATCCTCTACCTGTTTTCTTCAATGCTGGAGGCAATTATTATTTCAGAACAGCAGTAAGCAGCCAAGAAAGCATGTATAAAAATTTGAACAGATATACAATCCGGATGCAAAACGGACCAATCAGTAATGGAGTAATTCCTTATTCAGAAGCTATTGACAACACTAATTATATGGTCAATTACTCTAAAGAATTTTCAACAGATTATTCTTCGGTGGTTTCATCTACAGATTCTAAGAAGGATAAAATTAAGAAAGTATTGATGTACTCTGTAAACAATCCGCTATACTTCTTACACCAAAATCCTTCTACGGAAACAAATCAATTTAAAAAAGTACGAGATTGGGTATCTGATGAAAATGGTCAGTTTACAGACAGATGGGGACACGCTACAGAAAAATCACCTTTTGACCCATGTCCTGAAGGATGGAGAATACCTGATACTTTCTCTGCAAGCATGCACGGTACAGAGCCTAAATTAGGCAATTTTTATTCTTACTGGCCATTCTCTCACGGAAACAATCCCTGGTATTATAATGGTTATCAGGCTTCAGGTACAGGACAATACGGATTATCACCTTCAAGTGTATACCACGTTAGAAGAGATGCTTATTCACCTGCAAACAAATTGTATCCGGGAAGCAGATCTGCAATTTCTAACTATCCTGCTACCAGATTTGGATTTGTTTTCAACGATGACAGATATAAAATCGGCAGTTATCCAAATAACGGGATTCGAGGCTTTGACGGAGGGAAAGATCTAACTATGGTTACAACTGATGGGCCTGATAGATTAAGATTTCATATGTCAGGAGTTTGGACAGCTTCACCTACTGACGCTTACTCGGGAACAGCTATTGGACTGCATTTCAATATAGAATCCTCAGCCGAGTTCAATATGCAAACAGGATATCCTTATTATCCACAAGCAGCAATGTCTTGCCGTTGTGCAAAAATTAAGTATGATGGAAACGGAAATGAAATTGGAAGATATGAACCTACTGCTATCGAAGTTCCAAAGAACGCTACGACAAAAACCGTGAATGTTTTCTAAAACAAATCGATTGATTTATCTTCATTATGTTAATATTTTTATTTTCAAAATAAATTACAGTTAACATTTATTAGTTTTCATTTTTAATTAATCATATTCTTAGATTTGCGCAACAAAATCCGTGATTCTTTTTTCCGCCGCTTTGTTATTCATGAATCGATCTCGAACGTGTTTCATTTGTTCTTCAGTTGAATCGTTTGCATGGTTGTTTGAATTCTTCAGGTAAACCGCAACTGCCTACTTGACACGGTGGATCAAGCCCACATTAGTTTTAAAAACTGTACAGATTGACTACCTGGAGTATTGTTTGCTAATAATTTAATTTTTTGTGCTTTTATTTGCGCTTCCTCATTAGTTAGTTTACATTTATCACTAATATCATAGACATATCCGTCATGATAATGACAGTTACCATGGTTAGTCTTTGATGGTATGTAATTTTGTTCACATTTAGGACACTTCTTGACTGAATCTTCGTCAAGTCGTTTCT